AGTCGAATGTGCTTGGATAGTGTCAGTCTATTTGACGGCCGATCGGACCTCTACCTGATAGCAAATCTCTACCTGACAAATTAACGCTCCGTTTATAAAATGTAATAGGTTTCAAATAAGAATAACACATCTAAAGGGCTGAATTAATTCTAACCTATCGAAGGCCATAAGGCCAACGTATATTATGATTGCGGAGAACTGGGTCCGCTAATTTAAATACTCGTTAACGAGACTAGACTTAAGCCGAAGCGATATTACCTTCTGACGCGCCAAGCAGCTATAGACTTGCTCCTTTGAACTTGAATTACATGTTCACTATGCAGCTAAAATGAATATTTCCCAAATATCCATTTACACTGACAGTGTTATAGGTTTGCTTAAAAAGGAATGCAGCGTTAGGCCACATAACAAAGCAGAAAGTTCAAAAGGGGCTTATCAGTTAGGATATCAATGGAAGTTTAACGTCTTGCAGAAAAACGTCTCGTCGGCCCCTACTGTTCCTTTTCTTTTCAATGCCTATTTATGTTTAATAACAGTATGGAAGAAGATGTGTACTGTGTGATCCGACAATGATAATCAACTTAAATCATCCATGTCCACTTTTGGATACGCTATACTGGATTTGCAGATGATTAGGGCAAACAACAAGAGTGCCCGAAGCGATATCTAAAAATCTGTGATAATTGTCTTAGTGGCTATCAAAGGCTCGGTACATCACGTATCATACAATGAAATTAGTTCGTTTTTCTTCCAAACTTAGATTGTCTCATCTTAAAGAACTTCGTAAAGTCATCGTCGTTCTATAAAGTCTTTAATACCCCCCCCCCCCCCCCATGCAAAGGATTCGTTTAACTTACGTTGCCCTATATGTAAACAATGTAGGTAGTCGAATCCGTTATCTATTGTATCCAAAAAGGAAAAATCACCCAATATCCAAGCTGAACATGTGTATTTCTTCAGCGAGTATCACAATATTAATCACAACCAAACCTGTCTCTCACCATTAAGGGAATCCACTGGATATGATGTTTATCTACTCCTCTAGGGGGGGTTCCAATTCTCGGTCGTTGCGTTTTGCTTATTTATCGAATTACACACAGATCCGACCAGTTGCGCGGGCAGAAAAACACTGTAGTAGATCCGGAGTCGTATCTGCAGGCTGAATGCTGTGATCTGAACAGAAATGGCGCTGGCCACCCTTGCAAAATCCCTACCATTGTTATGGCTACTCGCTGGCTAACCGGATATTATATCTGACGTTTCAGTATAATGTATCCAGAGTGTCGGTCCAGGATCTATTGCATAGATAAAAACTTACTAGTCATAGTTTTTTCAAAGGAGTTTAATTCCATTGTTTTGATCACACTGCTTCTATACAAACCGTTAGAGCAAACTTGATTGTTTCTCATACTCGAAATAATAACGTAGTCGTTGAAAGAATAGAAACACTCGCATCCAGAATGCAGCAGTGGAAAAGACACGCATAGATAATTTCATTTTTCTTTGGAATCATTTCAAAAACCGAGCAACGTTTTACACTATGAAGCTGAAAAACGCAATAGGACTGAAAGCCGATTTCATATGCGATACCGACGGTCAACGGTTAAGTCGATTCTATAAACATCACCTTCGCTAGGTCTGTGACGCCAGCAGCGTGAGCCGTCAGGCTCCTGAGGGAATCATGAACGACTGACGCTTAAACAGCTGAAGCCTCGATGTAACCGTCTGCAAGAGTGCCTTGAGCTACCATAGGCGACGTAGGTCCGTTTATAAGTAAAATTTAGTAGTAGTTACCACCAACCATAATGTAATCGGCGGGGTTCTTTGAGCCCTTTTTTTCGTGCATCAAATTTAAGCGAATTTTTCCTGCAATTTTCCGAACTCATCTTCAGAAATTATGTCACTTGGATAATCTTAACGATTTCTGATCGCTGAGCGTTAAAGTAAATATAATCCTCTTCAATTTACCTAAAGTACTCTATTCTTTGGGGTTTATATTATAGAAATTATATGATTTAAGTGTGGCATAGCGCAACAAAATCTATAGACGCCTCGCCAATCATTAATTTCACTACGGTATAGCTTTTCTATCGATAGGGATGGTCAGATATATATATATAATATTTAATATGTTTCATTTTTATGTAGAAATCGAAAGTTCCCTTTAATTCTCGTCCTTCTATCCGGAGTACAACTACCGCGTGACCTGTAAGAATGATTGTATCTTTTATTTAGTTTTCCCGTTTGATGCGACAGATGACTTTTAAAGTTTGTTGGCTCCTTCTATTCTCAACTCTTTCTGCGAAATACGTACTTCGCGACTAAGCAGGCTGCCAAATAGAAACACGCTCTATTCAGTGCAGTAGCACGGAACTCGCGAGACGTTTATCCTATTCGGTACGTTCATGTTTCTTTCTTGATATTTAGGGATTTGGTTATTGGGATTTTTTCAATGAGGACATCTAAAGAATTGCAACAAAAGTGTAGGAGTGAAAATTTTCACATATAAAGGGTAACTATTATTAACACAGAACTATTGTAAGCAACATGTTATTTAATTATATAATGCCATTAATATTATCAATGCAAGAGTATTATCATTCTGATAGCCTTTGTATACAAACCTTAGCTTGATTTGGTGAAAAATCGTTGAGTCGGGTTATAACGCCAGGTGTTTTTACTGATATTATTGATACTACCGTGCAGCTATTGGTTTAGACTAAATCCGAAGTCAAACCACCTTGAACTGTAGTTACATCGTACCAGATACCACGTCTCTTCCTATACTGTACGAAGGTTAAACAATATCGTACAGCGGATAATTAAAGATATCCTTGATCGTGATCGATCAAACCGCAAATCTTTCTATACGATACGTCCGACCTTGATTTGGTCCTGAGAAGATTTTTCTCCCCACAGTCTGTTTTGCTTGCCACTGAAAATGATTTTCATTGTAATAACGTATCGACGCTATAAGGGCTCTCTTGTGCTATTTCTCGAAGAATTATCCTTTTTTGCATTCTATAGCTCTTAGTTTCGCCCTAAGACTTTCACCCACTGAGTATCGGTACGCGACTACTAACTGTCCAATGACCTATACTACTAAGGCTGACAAGGGCCGGGAGGGGGCATAGCGATGAGGCGGAATCGGGGGGTCGGACTCACGCGTCGGCTGTGAGATTAGAGGTGATGGCCAGGTGGTCAGGACAACCACAGTACCGGTCGACACTCAGACGTGGCTCGTAGGATTCCTGCCGACCTTAAAGCGGACCTCTGGAGCGGCTATCCGGAGCAGGTGAAAGCCGCAAGCAGACTTCAAAAGATCTGTCCTCGAGATTACTGATGCCACCATAGCCTTCTGCCCACCTGCTCCGAGTATCTATCCGTATGTATGCCCCTCCACTACCGAGCGTGAGATGCTTCCTCTCTTTTCTTATTCTACAGCTCAATAGGGTTACCCAGCCAAGCTTGAGCAATCTCCTTCGCCTCGCTTTTCCCTGCGACGCCCGGTTTGTGATAAAAACGATATACCATACGCTATCCCAGGTCGATCTGCTGTCCGTTGTCTAGCAGAAATGTCCACGGATGCATTGCCGCCCTGGTCCGTTCTCTTCCCGTTTTTCACCCCCTTGCTGCCACTACCACCAACGCCTTGAGCCCCTCCTCGTTTTTGCTCATAACGACACTGTCACATAAACCACCTGGCTATTTATGAGTTGTAAGCATCTCGATGGACTGCGCAACGTCTCACCAATGCTGGGATAGGTCTTTCTACTTGAGCGGTCATCTTGATTCCTTTCGATAGGAACCCTGACGCAGAGCCTACAGAGTTGCTTGCTAATCGGTGACCGCATAGATGATATATTATTACACATCTTTCTAGAGAACACGGGACGGGCTACAGACGTTCTATCACGATCCATGCAACAATAATCCATGCTGCGTAGCAAGATTCATAAGAATAACATAAAAATACTTTACTCATTTGCTACTTGAGGGGCTCTAACAACAAAATATCTAAGATAAAAAGCCTTTTATATTGATAATAGTATTTACAGTTTTTGAATTCATAACATTAGAGAGATATTTCTCCTTTCCAACTGGCAACCAATTGAAACTGAAAAGGAATTAAAAAAAAATAAAATAAATAAAATGGAAAGACTCCTTTGGCTTACCAATCGTAGAGAGCATATTGCAATAGATCTTAGATAGATGCAATAGAACAGAAAAAGTCGAAAAGAATCGACACTATAAGGTTGTATATACATTGAAGCTCCATAAAAAAGTTCGTATTAGCTACTCTTTGGCGCACGGCACTTTAGATGAGCTGTAAACTTGAGCTAATTAAAAGATCCTATAAGGTGGAACACTGCGGTCTTCCTGCAGTACACTTCACTGCAATACCCTATCGCATACCCAGCGACCAGCTCAGAATTAGGGGAAATCAGGAAAATTTGGGCGTCCTATGGTAACCACTGTAAATATCAGATTCTTCAACAAGCGAAACAAGAAAAAGATGTATGAGCTCAATTTTTCTATTTAGGCTTTTGATTAACTGGTATACTCTGTCGGTGTCTCCGAACAGCATCTCTTTTATATCGGCAGATCGCTGCTTTAAGCATTAAACATGCTTGTCAATATAGTAGCTTTTTTCATGCTACGTACAACAATGAAACAAAGCCGGAAGATTCCGAATAAAAATAATTACATTTCATTACTAATATCGAAGCTAAACGACTGTCGCCCCCCGACCTCAGTGGTAATAAACAGTACCACGCATATGCATGGCTATTTGATTCTCACTGTCGGTGCCTGCACTCATGAACATACTAATCCAGACCTTGCCCATCGCCCACACTGACTATAGACACCAAATCAAACTCAACACTATACTACTAGTTTTCCCTTTCAGGACGAGCCTTGACTTGCCCCCGAAATTGTCACTGCTAGTCGACCACCATCTTGGAATCACCACAGTTATCTCCGACCGCGAAGTTAGAGTTAGGAACGGCACGTCTGGATGGTTGAGGGGTGCCTCTTTGGTGCGTTGCAATAATAACCAAATATAAAAAGCATACAGCGACGCTGGTTCAAACATAGCGGGTACTAAAGATGATTATTGCGTACGATTATGGAATACGAATGAACGATGGCCAAAAATTCCGAGGACGTACGATTCATACGGAGAAAAAAGGCCGGAAAATGAAGAAGCAATCATTCACTAAACGAATAGGCCGCTGACGATTGTATAATAATAGATTATCAATCATATTGCTGTTAGTTTGTTTCGATTGTTTACCTACCTTGACTCAGATATTCTAAAGCGTCCGAACTTCGTAGTCAGATGGCTGACGTTTGTGGCCAACAATACGCAATGAGGTACGAGTTTAACTAAGAAGTAGAGCATGAAATGATTACTTGCTCTAATAAATGTCTTTCAAATCGTGGCAGCCAGCGGGAAATCAAATAGAAACGTATTAGGACCTAATCAAGGTCAGCTAGGTATTAAATAGAGCAACTTTATTCGTTCGCATAAATACGGATACAATGTCTTTTTTTTTGCAAAACGATTACGCGTAGGTGCGCACTTACTTCAACAGGACGTGTGCGTTCCCTGTAGCCAACACGCAGTACTGTGCTTTTTTGTATTGCAGGAATCACTAATGAAATGGTCTTGTTTACACATCGGCGGCCTTCAGTGTCTTCGAATTAAGGCGACAAGGTGTTCGCGGAAGCGGTCTGTTCTGCCCATAAATAAACAGACCAAATAGGACATGCTAGTTAGGCAGCCGTTACGGATTTCCAGTAGGTTCTAGAAGTGGGCATCATCCAATTGGAAGCCTCCAGCAGATTCGTAAGTCGGACAACCAGCTGAAGCGAGCGTACCGATTAGATAGTAGCAGCATTAATAGTAGCCGAGTAGACGCAGGCAAGAAGGATGAGAGCTTATCGATGTCGGCTGAGACAATATTCATACGAAGTTTGTAAACGGGATTTGTTTCCTTTGTACGGTAAACATAAAGCTACGAAGTTCTAGTTACCATTATCATCGCGATCGTAATATGCAGCCAGAACTATCATTGCTCTAGTGGAAATAGTATAAAGCAAAACGGCGTGAGTATAAGTACGAATAAGGAAAATAAAGACAAAGAAAAGTCAAGAGTCGTGGCAATGGGTGGGCATCTACTATCAGCGTCTGCGTGTGCGCTTCTTAAGAGACTACGTATAGATTATCCACTCCCCTTTGGCTTTTTCACCGAACCATTTATCAAGCAAAGCAATTTGCTCATCATTCATCATTTGCTCATCAAGGTTTGTCGGCAGCACCCTCACTAGTGACGATGATTGAGGACAAGTCACTTTAATAATGAGGTATACTAGAAAGATCATTGCTAGGGTTTATTTTACTAGTACAATCCCGCATAACTAGCTTGTTTGGTGCATAAAAGCCGGCTATTGTCGATTCGTAAACAGGTCATTTGTGGTTCATTTGTGTAACTGTTACGTTAAAAATCGGCATAGTGAGAGAGTTCACTTATTTATAAACTTGGTCGCGACAAACCGTCTATATGCAAATGCACTAACGCCTCAAATAAACTTAACATAATAGATAAAAATACTTTACACACAGGAAAAGTGTTCGAATTCGTTGGTGACCAATAGTCAGGCTAAGTTTAAGATTCAGATCAACTTCAACCAACCTTGCAGACCTAGTGTTACTGGCTTCGAAGGTCATAGGTGTTCACGCATGGATCTAATCCGTTAAGGCTAGACCTAAAAATCACTGAAATAAACAGCTCCTCTTTGTGAGTAAATGACTTACTGTTAGAGAAGCCTTCCGTGTTTTGATTCTACTTTTTTTTTTTTATGAGCGCCTAGAATAGAAAATTCACATGCACAAGGAGACACAAATTGCTTACGTATCTTCTCTCAATGTGTACGTGTGTGATTCTTTACACCGGGCTATTTATGTACTGCCAAGAAGTAGAATGAAATTCTGAATATTTGATAAACTTGAAGTAACTTTCTTTTTTAAATTATGATGTATGCTAAATACATACTAGGATGGAGCCATTGCACGTAACTTCATGCCTTCAATGATGTTTATTTTTTAAGACAGTTAAACACTGCACCTCTTTTGCTCCACGGTATGAAACGCTGAGGTCGTCGATATACGGAGGCTCATTATATATACGAAACTCTCAGACTGTGGGAGCTACATATAAGTACAATGATATATAGTGCAAATGTTATTTATATTGGTCTACCTGCATAGCTCAATAAAAACATACGGTTTAGAGCTGTGTATAGTAGCACAAAGTAGTTGATATCATTTACGTCGCTTGAAGGTAACCAGGTATACATTGTAATAGCGAGCACACTTGATACGATAATTACCTCTGTTCCTGATTGCTGATTATTCATTAAACCTAGACAATCACGTTCTCTTGAGTTTAACTAACTAAAAAAGTTACAGTCGTTAGTTGTTATGTGCGTTTGGGACCTCGATGCATCTGATGCGGTTGGAGGGCAAACGATTCGTTGATAACACAGATAAATTGGTTGAATGAGGACATGAGAAGCCCCCAGAGGCAAAACGGCAAAGATCACAATGCGTTTTATCTTTCTGTGACAACATTGCATGCTTACTAGCAGTACAACGACGTTGTCAGGGGAGAGGACTGATCGTTATTCTGCATTGTTCCAGCAGTAGCTGTAAGTAGAGGTAAATACGGAGAAGTAGGAATAGATACTTAGGCTGAAGTAGGGATGGACAGACACCTGGATTACAACATATAGGATTGTTTGTGAGCCTATCACCGCTTTGGTTCTGCAACTCCTGGCAGGCAAGTTTATATTTCAAATATCTTTCCTCCCTTCGTAATCATTATTTTAGTACAACTGAATTGTGAATATAAAAAATATAAAGAAAAAGCAACCTAAGTATAAAAGAGTTTATGAGCCATGGAAGAGAATCAGTACATCCTTGGAGTGGATCTTGGTACAACAACAGTAAAAGTGTGCCTTATCGATGCGAACTCACGTAAAAAAGTGTTAGAGCAGAGCCAAATAACGAAAGCCAGAGTGGAGGTTGAAGCTCCACGGGCCGAACAATGCCCAGAAAAGATTCTTTTTGCTGTACAGTATTGCCTTGCAGCTATTGAAAGGAAGTACCTAAGCAATGTGGTCAGCATCGGAGTTTGTGGACAAATGCATGGAGTAGTTTTATGGAAACGAAACGCATGGACTTACGATCCTGCAAATGAAAAGTTTGTTTTTAACAAAAAGTGCATGAGTACGCTTATAACCTGGCAGGATCAGAGGTGTTCCGAGGAGTTTTTGAGAGCTTTACCGAAACGGTCTTCGACAAGTGTCGTAGATCCTTGCGCCGGTTTCGGATGCGCAACATTATTCTGGTTACTGAGAAAAGGTGACCTGCTCCAAGATTTTGAGTGTGTAGGAACGATTCAGGATCTCATGGTGGCCATGCTCACCGGACTGAATAAACCCGTCATGACACCCCAAAATGCCGCCTCATTTGGTTATTTTGACGTGGAAACTAACCAATGGGACCTACAAGCCTTGGAGTTGTCAGATTTTCCATGTGACATTCTGCCTGAGATCGTTGACGAAAGTCAAGTAGCCGGCGAACTAAGACACTTTTGGCTCGGAATTCCTGCGCGTACCGTCATATTCCCTGCTACAGGCGATGCACAGTGTTCAGTGTTGTCGGGCCTTCAAGCCAGAGAGGGATCCGCTATACTTTACATGGGAACAAGCGCACAGATTTCGTTTGTCGTTGATTACCGTGGCCGCAACCACAAGGGCCACCACACATACTTCCCATACTTCAACGGTAAGCGAAACTCTTTGTCGTATAACTCAAACAATTATAGATATAATATTAACAAATAGTCAAGCCATCGTTTCTCTAGATTACACCGGAAATAATTGCTCATCCCTGCATACTCGATAAATGTAGCCTTCTCCCACAGCGTCTACTGCATAACTGCAACGTACTACTGCAAGTATCTCTTGTACTGCAACGAAAAAAAGCGGCGAAGCAAAACATCCGGTGTGATAACGTGAAATAATCCTTAAAATAAATAGGAATTTACTAAAATCAAGTTTATTATCTACTTATATTGATCGCTAATCATTTGGAAGTTGCAATTGAGCGGATAGCACCGATGGTTTCTGTTCCTTTCACCAGACAGACTTGAAAAGTTAAGGCCAAAACACTGCATTGTTCATCTCCCATTAATGACATCGGAAAAAAACATCAAAATTATCCGTTCTTGCTTTGGCCTCACATAAGCATCAACCACTCTTCGTTACTCCCGCGCCGTGTGTGTTAGCCCCTCTGCTGCCACTTGAAAGCGGCCTCTCAAGTTCGAATAGGGTAGGTTGCACTCCCTAACCTCCTGGGTATGAATTGCTACGCAACATGTGTGGGTCGAATTTACTTACTTCCATTAATACGCCCTAAATGTCTCATTCAAGATAAAAACACATGAAAATCTAATGTAGTAGGTAACAGCTTTACCTTTTTGTCATTAATGTTAATAAGTTAACATTGAAGCGCTTCTTAAGACACTGAATCGACTTGAGGATGAAAGAGTTTTACAGTCCGTTATAACTATAAATTACATCACTTACATACACAGGTACGTAGTTGCGGTGAATCTATTTCCAGAGAACTGATTTGTACTACTATTTCACGTATTCCAGGAAAACATCTTTGTGTAGCAGCATCTTTGAACGGCGGAAACGTTTTGACACAATTTGTAGACATGGTCAAGCTATGGCTTTATGACCTCGGTGTGTCACTGCCAGAGTCCAAAGTCTGGGACCGACTGCTTAATCCAACCGCTTTGACCGAGCAGCAGATCTTTACTGGTGTTAATGCCCGGACAGAAAGTATTCGCGTACGTCCTCTTTTATTCGGCGAGCGTCACAATCCACAATCAAGTGGCTCTGTGACGGGTATACGAGCTCAAATGCCAACTTTAGATAAGACTTTTCGTGCCATTTGTGCGGGCCTCATTGACAACCTTGTAGAAATGTTACCTTTGAGCGTCTTGCAGGATCATGGTATTAGCAGACTTGTCTGCGCTGGTAAAGTAATTAACCACAATCGCGTTATAAGCTCGGAAGTGCAGAGAGTTTTCCAGGATTTTTCGGTCGAATTTGCAAGCGATTGTGATTCCGCTCTTGGGGCGGCATTAGGGGCTGCTATGTTTCGTCGTTAGTAGTTCGATGCAAATACCCTAAGAAATATAGAACAAAATCTACCTTTGATTTACATTGGTATTTACCACACGGCCCCGATCAGTTAACTTATATGAGTAATAAAAATACGCAGAAAACAAATGTTTTACAAACGCTGCTTATATATTAAGTGTCGATAATTGGATCCATTTTTGATAATGTATATGTTGTCTTTTTGTATTTAAAATATTTTTTTATTATATTATTAACGTTTTCTTTCTAGAGGTGTTGTCTGTGGTGAAACTTCTAGGAGCGACACTGAATGGTGGTTACCGAATATATATAGCCCCTAAAACTCTCAACGGCCCTATTTTATGGTACTGCTAGTTAAAAACAGGTTCATCACGCACATTGTATTATTAAGGATTACTAACGGCTTACCGTCACCCTGATAACACCGAAAATTGTCTAGCTACTGCGACGTGGAATGAGTGAGCGATTACAGGCTACAAGTAGCACATGGTAGTAACAAGCAGCAGTATGCCATCTGGAGAAGTCCGGCAGCTATGAGGTGTGCCATACCGAGGATTTTCTACGCCAGGGATCGAAGACTTTCTCAACTGATAGGTTATTAGTGGTAGCGTTGAACACTGATATTTTGTGAAAAGTTTTACTTGTATTTGCTAGCAGCTGTGAATTCCTCTAGACGTTCCACATATCACTGAATTTAATTGAAGATATCTGATTTCTGAACCCAAACTGAATATATCTGCATGCGTTCTTTTTGTGAAAACTATCATCCACTGCTTTTTAATAATAGCACGTGTAACGATCCTATCGCTAAAGGAGAATTTAAACTACTATGGAAAGGGAAGATATTTACTGAGACGTGTCGTAAAATAGGTATCCATTATCACATGTACAAACAGTCGGCCTATTACATGTGATTCAGGCATCCGACTGTCTTTTTGTTTGTCGAGAGGTATAGATTGTTCAAGATGTAGTACATCATTACTCTTATCTATGATACCTACATTTCTATGACTACGCAATATTTTAAGTGAATTTATATATATATATATATATATATATATATATATATATACATATATATATATATATAACAAAAATAATCAGAATTCACTTAAAAAACTGTATATATATATATATATATAGTTGTGAAAAATTGCAAAAATTGAAGAAGAGCAGACTTTGAACAGAAAAACAGAAGACATTGACTTATAAAAGAAAAACGATCGGGAAGAAAAACTTCGGAGTGGGTCTGCATATCGAAGTCCGCAGTTGCCCAAGAGCTGGAACGTTTGGTGGTGCAATAAAACGCAAAAAAAAAAGGCAACAAAAATAGAAGAAGATGCCCAACGCAGCGACGGGACAGAATCATTCTAAGCGTCGTACGAAAAGACTGATTTGTAATGGCCCCTCAACTAGCAACAAGCCAAGTGCGGAACCACTGTGTCCATAAAGACCCTGCGACGTCCTATCGAAATGAGTAACCTTAGTTATTACAAAAACCACTTGGGCGAAACAATTGTAAAGTTGGGTGGTTGAAGACTAGTAAAGGGTGTGTTTTTCAGGTGAACCGGATTCTGAGAGGTAACGATCAATATAACGTCTATTGGCGAAAGATCCCACGAGTCCTGTGTAAGACAGGAGGTCAAACGTTGGATCTAAACAATGGTCCATAAACGAAGCAGAAGTTTTATATTTTCATCGTGCGGATTATGGAAAAATTATAATACATTCAGATGAAAATGCTGCTTCAGACACAAGAATAGTCTCCGGATAAGACTAATAATGTTCATGCACGACAAGTAACCATGTCGTGGGCATGGTGTACTTCTGGGCTATTTACCGCTGATGGTATTGGCGCTCTATCATCGCCTAAAAAGTCACCCAGTTTAAATTTGATCGAAAACTTGTGGCAGCACCCTAAAAGCCGGGTCAAGGTCTAACAGGAAATTATGAGCATCGCACAACCCGACCATATAGTGCTTATAGTGCTTCAAGTGTAAACCCAGGACTTGATCGTGACGAAGATGGTACGAAGTGCGTTCGGAGTATGACGAACTGAGTCGAGAAGTGATTGTAACCAGGAATGAGGTGCCCAAATACTAGCATCAGTGAGTGTCTTCCCTTTCAGAACAGCTTAAAAATACTCCCTTAGCAAGACGTCATTGTAGGTGGTATCAGTAATCTATTAGCGGAAAATAGCATCAGCTTTATGAAAGCTTACGCGTTGCTTGGTTCGAACCTTTGGGAATAATGTAGCAATGAATTTATCTTTTGTTATATGGACCAAGCACTGACTACAGATATTTTGAAATTCGGTATCCAATTCTATAAGAAATGTCATGGAAGATAGATAATCACCACAATAATCGCCAAGCGAGTGTTATCCTGGGCTCAAAAAGGAAGCCTTGATACTTTTAAGGATATAATCAAATAAGGTTGCATCTGTTCCAAAAAAAAGGATAAATAACAGGACAAGTATCACGACCCAAGCATACTGACAAATATCGTTCAATGAATTAAAAAGTATTAGAAAACCGACATCTTTTATCTGAAGCTAATACACAAATTGGCAATATACCTATATATTTAATAAATATACTTAGATATATGATAAACTGGGAAATGTACTAAATCACTGTGACAATTAGAAGAAAATAAAAAGGAATTATTTAAGGCTACGTGTTAGTAGTGGTCTATTTGGTCTGCTACCATGCGTTTTACCCAGTTTCCGAAAAGTTGTGCTATTAATTTAGACGATCCACTTAAAAGATCTCAATTACTATTTAGATTCGTTTCCTCGCTCTACATATGGTACCGTCCTTTCGTCAACTGAAGAACTAGACGACTTGTTGAATTCAAGGGCGAATTTTTTTCCCGAAGCACAAAAAGGTTTACAAGTTGCAAGATGTCTTCATGTTCAGTTCGAAAACTATATGTAGGACAGTCAAAAAAATGCTGTTCCATGCCAAATCAAAGCAAATTATTTTCGTATCTTACAGAAACTTTACTACAATAAATATATACCATTTCGAGCTGGCAATTCCATAATGGCGTCACGATAGAATTTGTGCGGTTTTTGGGGCGAAAAATGGTTTCTGTATTCTTCTACTGGAACCAAATTACCTGCGTCATTAAAGAAGCTCTGCAGGGATCGAAACAGATGATGATGATGATGATAGTCAGATGGTAGCAGATCCGGAGCTATACGGCGGACACAGCAAGGTTCCTTATCCGAGGTCTGTTTGTCGGAGCGTTGCCAAATACGCGTATGATCTGGCATTATCATGGTGGAACTTACCCATGCTTTTTCTGTTTACTAGCTTCAACTTTCAGTGGCCTATTGCAATTCTGTTCGACGGCAAAGGTCCTAGTTAATTGTCCTTTCAGGCAGCAGCTACTCACAGTGTACGATTTCTTTCCAATCCCATTAAACGCACGGCATCACCTTCTTTGTCATTGATTACCCATCATTATAAATTATTAGAAATTGCTTGATTTCGTTGCCTTTTTATGGAGTTTTCAAAGATGGAAATACAATCGCATAGATTATCTTGCGCCAATTCGTGCGGCACCCAAACATCGAGCTTCTTTTTTTTGCAGCAACCTAGCTTCCTTGAAACCTGTCTGATCACGGATGAGCAGTCCCTTGCCGACATATCGACCGGACACAACTTACGCGATAATTGCCTCAGCTTTTATAGTAATTGTTACGATACTACGAGATGTATTTTTCACATCGAAATTTCAGCGACAGAAGCATTTTTGAGCCTTTTTTTTTTTTCCGATAACATATCTTGACTACAAACAACGTAAATTTTTGATAGCCCAGGTAGTATTTGTGCCGTCATCATAATAGAATAATAAATATAAAAGAACATTCACCGTTGAGGCGCTTCATCCAAAATCGGATGAAATGTTAGCACATATAGCCACAGCTACTGAAAACTCAGCGTTTAAATGACATTAATGCTGACCCGACGCGACTCATACTGCCCGTGACATATAACTTTAAAACCATCTAGCTAGACAAACCGTAGAAATCTTTCCGGCAATTTAATGTAAGAGTGGTACTACAGGTCTGCCTTAAATGTTTCCACAAGGGTCATAGACTAACTACGCTTCACTAGTAATGAGTCATTTTTACGTATCGAGAGTTTTTATTCATAGCTTATTTCCATGTATGAGGCGTTCGGATTGCTACCTATTTAAGTGAGTTTTATTTATAGATATATTGAGAACAACATCTCTGAAATGCCATGGTCTCCTAAAGAGGAGACCTTCACTATAAATGAATAAGTAGACGTCGCCGCTTCGAGCGTTGGCTTGTCAAACCCCCATATGCAATCACTGCCATCATCTGCCTCAACGGCGTTTGCCGGAACAAACGCGGGAATGAAGCGGATGCATTTGAGGAAAAATTGTGTGTGAAAAAAAAATGGCGCCGTAGACGGCACGCTGATTGATGCTGTGAACTGCATCAACCCGAATCTTTGATTTTATCGGTGAGATTTTGATTTTTCATTGACTATTTTTCCCTTGTAAAGGATACTTCTATTATGTTCCGTCAAGCATAAGCGTCAGTTATATTTCGGATCGGTAACTCTTTTACCAACGTTGCGTGCATAAAAGGAAAATACATATAAGTCGTCGTCATATATATATACATATATATAAGACCACGACTGTTCTTTGGTTCGCAACTAAACGTGTGCTTGTGCATAGAGTGTGAATAAAATGCAACAGAAACAACTGACTTCTGCTTTCAGACTGTTCGCGTTTGGAAAATCACCTACTGACCCTCGCATGTAAAATGGTCATAGGCGTCACACGGTTTGTCGACGACTGCTATAGTACATTACAGCACGTACACAGTAAATACATTGATGACTAGGTACAAGTAAATAGATCAAATTAGATTTTTTCTAATCTAAGCGTCTGTATAATTAGGAAATATCCCCTCTTGATCGCCGAACTTATCCCGACTACTGGTCTTGATAATTTTCCGTTACCTTCGTTCAACGCTCTCGTCATTAGCTGTTTGCTGCTTCCCCGAATTCATCATATTCTGTTTGCTTTTTCCGCTGCTAAACAACTTTCCAATATCCTGTTTTTTTTCCCAGTTTTACACTGTCGTCACGAGTCTAGCTTTAGCCACTATATAGCCTTCTTCGTCGGCCGTAGCGCTCACAGAATTTTTTCGGCTGGTACTTTCCCCGCTAGTTGGCGTGTCCGAGCGCATCATCGGAATTTTCGACCCATTTGGTGTCGTCGGTGTAGAACGCGGTCGATAATTGAATGGCGACACGACAGCGGCTGTGGGTGCACCGACGACGGAGCCGGCTCCCGGTGAGCGAGGAATTTTCGTGACAATGTCACAAGGACTTTTCAGACTTGGACTAGAACGCGGAGTTACGATCGGAGGCATTGATGAGGAGTCAGCTACACGGCGACCCCCGCCGCAGCCGCTCATCATCATCGACTTCTTCAGGAAGCCTCCTCCACTTCCTGCCTTACCTCCCTGCTGACGACCGCCGACTGATTGATCGATGTTTTTCTGGTCTCGGCTCCAAAATTCGCTTGGTCGTACTGGTTGATTGGTGGACGTTTTTGTGTTTGTGGTAGTCGTCGTCGTCGGCTCCACCTGCTCATTGTGATTTCTGTCTTCGAATGGGGGGCTGCCCACTTCATTGATCTTCTCGTAGGTTCCGCTACGCATCAGTCCTGGATTTTCACCCATTGTCATCAACTGCAGACGATCATTATTGTTTTCAATTATCTGTTGGTTATTATTAAGGTTATTGGACAACTGCTGTAACGGCAGTTGCTGTTGATTTTGTCTGTCCCCACTGGAGCTGTTTCGTCTCGTAAGGACAACCCTCTGTACATGTCCTGGCTGCATCTTCGATTGCGCGATAGCAGCGGCCCGCGCTCGCGAAGCGGCTGTTGTTCGCATAGCCAAAGGCACCCTGAAAAAGCCACAGTCAATAAGGACATTTCGAAGAGTCACCCCACTGATAATCGGTGTACAAATGTTTATTCTATTCTTAAATATCAAGACCTCAGTGGCTTATTTTTACTGCAACTTTTCATCTATATTTCTAGGTAAGTATTTGTTTTTTGTTCAACATTTTTTGCTGGCCAAGCCTAATTCATTAATGCCGAAATGAAATACGAGTGGCAAGACTTGCTCTAGCGAACTTCGGATATAGGCTATTAGCTATTTCTACTCCTTCGTCCGAGTTACACGTTTAGAAAGCCAGAATTTAGAGTCCACGTATAAGCCTAGTTTCAGTTCGAAATCTGTGAAATGTAACCAGATGATAAGTGTCCGTTACAATGTTTTTAACATACTTCGTTTAGTAACAAAAAAAGTAACTCAAAAAACCTTCAGCAAAGATCCTCATTCTGTGAAAAAGTAGTGTTCCGTGACACACGTAACGCTGTACGCGTGGAACACAGAAAAGCATGTCCATGGCATTTGCTGGCGGTCTCATTTCATCTTTTGATAGTTTCGACCCTAAAGCTTATTAATAAAAAAATTTATCTATTATCTTTACCTTTGTATGGGTGACTCTCTGGTTTGGCCTGGCATAATAGACGACCTTGCCATTTGAGCGGCATCAGATTGCGTCCGATTGAGGATTGGGTGTGAGTTGCGCGTCATCGTCATGTTAGTATTCACTGATGAGGATTTATGCATTGCTCCCGACACCGGCCGAGATACTGCCTACGGAGTGTTCATGCAAACACGAAAAGGATCCACTGGCAGTAAAATGAAGTAATATGCTTGACCAGGTATACAGTTATGTAGGCATTGCTATATAATCAACGCTTGCTTGTTTTCCTGTTATATGGCATTCAGAAATATATACGATGGTATACTAAGAGGTAAGTGGACGACTTACGATGCTTGGGTTGTGTGACGTCTTGTTGCTTTGGAAATTCTGATGGTGCGTTGGAGGTGGCTTGATTGGCACGATTGTCCTAGCATTAGGCACGGGTGGTGTTACAGACTTAACCGAAAGCCCTCCAGACTCCTTTGTGAAGGTTCCTTGCTTTGTCAGTGCCGGCTTAGGTGCAATTAGTGGCTGGTCGTCATTTAATTGATTTGCGGCCCTTGTCGATGGCGGGGGAGTCATTCGCTGGGCATTTAGAGGACGCATGTTATCTGCTGAATGAAGTGAAGTTGTACGTGAATTTAGGCTAGAAGAACGTGACGCTAAAGGGCTGGCTACCTGAGGCGCTCGGCCACCAATGGGGGTTCTCGTTGTCGAAACAGGTGACGACGCTGTACGGGGCAACGGACGCCGATTCGCTGGGCTCGAAAGACGTGCGCTTACGGGTGGAGATCTAGCGGGCGAGGAACTATTAGATCGCGTCCCCCGTTCGGATCGCTCCGTCTCAGAGCTTTGCGCTCTAGAAGCACGAAGAGCGCTTGCACGCGTTTGTCGTATAGGCACGGGGGGAGTAGCAGCGCTTTTTCTTGACAAATGCCGAGGCGAATTTTTTCCTGTGACAACGATTACTGTTGGTTTGACTGAGGCCGACCCGGGTATTACCGGTAACCCATGCACAAAAATAGGTTTCACAATTCTAGCCTGGCCTCTAGCAGGCGTCTGCGACTGCGGTGACGAGATGTCATAGGTGGCGTCGTCGACGCTGCTCACGACAGAGCACTCATCATCTGCCGGATCCTGGAAATCAGTATCGAAAACCGAGTGTTGCTGTTTGTGCTTCTGCTGTTGCTGCGGGTCGGCTTGCGGTAGCTGTCGCTCTTCGGGTTCGAAAACTAGCGTAGCGTCGTACGTAAGGTCTGCATACGAATTCTGGTAAGTGACAGCCCTCTTTGTAGACACATCAAATGTGAGTGTGTTATCAAGCGTTGTGAGATTTTCGCTGCTACCGACAGTCGCATCTCGGGTTTGGCCGCTGTAACAGCTCTGAAAATGTGAAGCTCGTAGTGTATCGGAGGATTGCTGGCAAGTGAAATAGTCTGTGGTCGAGTCATACGGCAAATCTTCACCCTCAGCATCAGAAAGAAACGCGTCCGACCCGATTTCCGTAGGATCATCAAGCAGATGCGCAACCAATCCGTTCGCCGGCTTTGCGATTGCGTAGAATGATGCGGATGAGTTCTGTATATTTGCGGGTTGCTGATGGTATTGCTGCGTGTAGGTGTCTGTATTTACGCGAGGATAGATTGGGTCCTCATTGTGATTGACAATATCTCTGGTCCGCTCATCTAACTGCGTGTTCTTTTCGTCTAGCTTATCGACGTTATCAAAGCCATCAACCTCGTCTCGAGATGCTGACATCGAAATTACTAAATGAGTATCAACATCGCGTGTTCGGTTGTCCACTTCGATGTCATGTGTACGATCATCAAATGATACATCCTCTTTTGTGGAGAGGTCATCAAGGAAAGAGGGTGGATTCGCACTAGAGAGACGTTAGTTGGGAAAATACAAAGAAATCAAGACAAAATAGAAGGTTAATGATTTACATTTTGCGTTAAAAAGTACTAAAAATTAAGCCATTTGATAAGTAAACCCGTTTTGCTGGATACACAGGAGTAAAGCTGGATTTGTTAGAATGCTCTGTGACGGGCGAAAAATAAAGTAAATGTCTCCTTCAAATCTTTGACGACATAAAAATAGAAGGGGTGAAATAGGTGTACAGCCGCGCAAAACAGTCTAGTTTCCATTAGCAGAGTCATTAATAAAACTTAGTTATAGAACAGCCAGGCTTGTTATTGAACCCGTCAGATTCGTCTGTAGAATCTAAGTGAGACGTGTGCTTTAAATTTATAAACAACCCTATGGATCGTTTTTTACCTTCCCACACTTACTTAAGAAGCATTTCGGAGTTAGCAGAACTCCTCAGAGAGAGACATTCGACGGAGTTGAGGCCAGACGGCGGCATGACGTTATCGAGATTTTCACAGCTTTTTGGACTCCATTCATCGGCATTCCAGCATGGACGGGCTTTAAGCGAAAACTTCCTGACCGGTGAGCGGTCTCCAAGTTCGAGCGAAGCACAGCTGCTAGCCATCGAAGCCAGGTCGTTGAAGTAGGATGGAGGTTGCACTCCCCCGAGATCAGACACTATTGATGAATCGTCCTCGATTTCTACCGTTTTCAATTGATTCAGGTGTTTATTGGTCAAATTTCGACGAAGTGGTGAGGCAGGAGGACTTTTATCTGATACTGGAATCAGCTGTTCGAAGTCATTGTTGTTGCCTGAGCTTTTCCGTGATAGATTGACAGGAGAAGTTGGGGGTGGTGCTGATTGAAATGAAAAGAACAGACTTTGTTAAAACGAACTTACGACGTACCTAGATAAGGATCGAATTTATGGCAAATAATTAGACGTTGTATAAAAGCTCTTAAAAGGATAACCTCGTTCCAACATACTCGGAATCGACTTGACTGTCCTCGCAGGTACAGATGGCTTGCTTTCCACAACAGGTGTCAACTCGACATCACTTATTAAAGAAGTTCCGCAAAGGCCAACAGTTTCTTGAGTGGTGCGCTCGTCCTTTGGATACGCAGAGCTTTGAGTCTCCATAGACTCTTCGTCCCTATTCAGATCTTTGGTGCTGAGCTCCTTAGAACCACCAAGAGCATGCGCTAATTTAGTTGTAGTACTTTGTTGGTTATTGCCCTGCCCTTGTTCCAGCGTTTTTTTTTTGGCAATAGGCGGCGGCGGAGGAGATTCGGTGGGTCTCTTTACTTGGAAAACTTTAGATTTTTTCAACGGAGTCGTGGAGGATGATTGAGAATCAGTGAGCGGTTCTTTCATTGGACTAGAGATAGGCAATTTCGCTTCAGCATCAACGGCTACTTCTTCCGCAACTCTCTCTCCTTCACGAGATTTTTGTTCCTTTAGCTCTTTGCCCTTATTGCTACCGGCTTTCTGTTCCTTACTAGGCTCTTGAGTTTGGGTACGAGGCTCACGTTTCGGAGTACATTGTTGCTGTAACTGACAATAATGTGCATGTGTTAGCCTACCATAATCAGGGTAAGGAATCGTTCTAGGTGAATCCGTGTCAAGGCAATAGGAAATATTCACCCTTGATATGAAAAAAGCTCCCCTTCTTGAATGCAAAATTCAAGATGTTGCCGGTGTCGCTATTCTTCCCTTTAGATTAGATTCCTAGATTACTAGACTTTTATAAAATTTGACAGAAGCAGAAAATAATTGTTATTTAGCTTTATCCTTTTACTCAATCGTTCCCATATTCATTCGTTTCCAAATTCGTTCCCATATGGAATTAGAACCTTATAATTAGCAAGATTAGCAAGAGCTCTGGTTTCGCGCATCCACTTCCACGCACAAAACATTATTTACAAGTTTAGTTCGAACTGTTGCCACGAGCTGATTGAAGCCCCGATTTTACAGAAATTGTTTATGAGCCTAATTAATGTCCACTATCAATGCAAATAACTGAGATGAAACATGGCAGAAGGAAGTGATAGATGAATGCGTAGTTTTTATTTTTACGTTAAAGGCATGTCTTTGCCGAAACGCTTCACTTTATGTTTAGTACGTGCGTGCAAACCATGCACATAAGATGCGATTGAGTGTTTAGGACAAATAAAAATGCAAAAACATCCTGCGTTATCTGTCTGATTTGATTCATGTTTGTTCATGTATTCAACATGTAAGTTGTCGTTTGAAGGATATACCTTGCCAGCGGCTGGTGAAGAGTCCTCTTTATCTTCAAAAATTGATTTAGAAGAGATAAATGATGCGTACGTTGAGGTCGGACGAACGCACAACGAGGAACTCGCAGGCCGGCGCCTTGCTGATGCTGCACGAGTGCCTTCCGATGAGGCAAGGAAAGCTATTTCACGAAACCATTAAACAGTACTAATCATTGTTCCGCTATTGGCACAGAATGGAGAATATAGAGAGTGGTATGAAGCATGCAGTAACCCCAGACGATTGTTTATGTTGGATATTGTTATTAGTAGCATTATTTATACTGGTTTTTTTTCCATTGTAAAAGCAGTACAGAATTTCTTGCTGCCTACATAGCTCTGCTGGTTCTTTGTTAACAATATAATTGATTGCTATTTAGGCAACTGTAATGATGCTCACCAGATGCTGTACTCCAATCGATCGTGTACGAATTGGAGAAGTAAGTCGATGACGGATCTGAATTTAAGTGCCACAGGTGAAGCTGTCCGAGAGAATGGCGCCGCGGTCGGATATAAACACCTGGTTCAGAATGGGCTGAGCGTAGAGAAGTTCGTGAGCATGAACGCGATACCTGTTCGCCCACCGAATAAAACATGCGTCCGTCAGACGCCAGCGACGTGAAACCTCCTCCTAAGAACAGGGACCTCTTCTCTAACACTGCAATGAACCGAAAATAAGCAGAATATATAAATTCCGCATTTGTAAGGTCAGTTCTATTTTTCCACATTATAAGTAAACATTAGATGAGTATACTGGATAAACAATTTCATCTTGCACTAACGTATTCGTTTTTAAAAGATCCTCAATAATTTGTATGCTTCTGTCATAAGGCCTCACAACGTATCACAAATAGTGATTCTTCTATGTGGTGGAGATATTATTTTTCTACGAAGTTCTAATCAGTCCATATCTTATTGTCGCATCATGTTCGAGTTAGATCTCTCAGTAATATCCCTGTAACACTGAAACAACTCCGAAACCATACCGGATTCTGGCAAAAACTAATCGCAACAATTAACGCCCAACAGCAGCTAATGTATACGGAAACGTGCAAGATTCAGGATGCAAAACCGGGTACGAAGGATAAAGACGTGAACGTGAGCATTCGTGTGGCCTAAATTTCATTCATGCCGTTTGATTTATGTGATACATATAATACGATAACCTTAATCCATGCGACAGAAACATTCGATGAACGATTACAGTCTAATGAATACACCGCTTGAATTCTTCATCTTCATTTTCTGCTTCATTTTCAAACAGGTTTTTAGTGCTGTCAAGCCGTCGCAACACCCTACGATACCTTCAAATGCCTCCCGTCGTCGAAAAAAAAAGAGGGGCGACACTTGCTTGTTTTATCGTTGCCAACAACGGCGTCTGCGCAGCGCCCCTTCTTCGAGATATCTTACTCAACTAGACTCTACAAGTTCTTCGCGAATAGGCAAAACCGTTCAGGGTCGTAGTGCGAAAGTGCTTTCCGTGCCAGAACAGTGGCAGTCCGTCAAATTGCTACTTCTACTCTTTTCTAGATCGGTAAAACAAGGGCAGATAACTTCTGTTGTGTGTGATTGTGTGAACTATAGAGGTACATCGTATCAAATTCTTTGTACAAAATTATTCTGCCAACGAACTTGCAAGGGTAGGTCCACTGGTTTATGACTATATAATTTACAAAATTCGCATAAAACTATACGTGCCCTATTTCTATGTCTCGTTATTTGCGGAGCCTCCAATGATCCGTTAATGCAGTATTCAGTCTACCATGACATGATATAGCGATGGGCATTCGCGTGTCTAGAATTTCTTCATCACTTCTTTGACTTCTAGGAGAATCTTCGCCTTCGTTCAATAGGGAAGCGAACTCTGCTTTTTAACTATCTGTCACGTTCATATTATTTTAAGAAATTTTTCTTTGTAAGCGTTTGTGGTCTGCCGTATATATATATACATGTACATAACTCACCGGATGTAGAAATCAGATATAGCACTTATTTAACTAGAATTGCTCTTGCTATACATATAATAGATGTTTTTGTTGCATTTTAGATAATAATGTGATGTACCTTAACACAGTGTTTTTAAAGAAAAGTGTTTATTATCGTGCCTTGACATTCGAATATTTTCAAAAATATATACAACAGACTGAGGCAAATGAATGGGTAATGGCACAATAAACTGAGAACTTTTTCTTAGTAGGTCCGATAGATATATATATATATATATATATATATATATATATATGAGAGGTCATATATCTCATATGTATTTGCATAAGTGGAGCTTGCTTATACATTGCTTGTTCAAAATTAAACCAAATACAATGAGCAGTGGAGATTATCAGAAGTCTATTAGAAACGTCTATTATTAAACCCGTCCATTATTATGTTACATTTGAAACAGCCACCTCATCACGCTACCTTACTAGACGCATGTACCCTCGTTGGTCTTCCGTCCCCTAACTAGTTCGCTCGTTTAGAATGACAAATATACACAACTAATGAAAAATCGTGAAAAATAATTGTTAGAAATTATACGGCATTGTTAATTTACTAACAAGAAAGGTACATAACCTCTTTTTGGTCCTGTCTGATAAAGGCAGTCCGATATCTGCGCGATAGAATTTCCATCCGACCAAAATGGCTTGTGAAAACTGTATAGGCCTATACGCATAGGGGGTGCTGGTAGTAGATGCTGCTCTGAAAGTTAGCCTCGCAATATTTTCCTTCTCACGTATGAATAGGTTTTTAAATCACGTGTGTGAATCGCCATACTGAATAATATTGCTTAAGTGTTGAAGAGATCTAGGACCAATCTCCAGACAAAACGGTCCTGACTATAACTCAAACTTGCGTCTTTAGGCATTATGTGCATAATGATGAACGCAATCAGAATCCGCGAGTATTTAAATCGGATTCATGAAATTTTGAGTGATGCGACAGAGAATGTTCGGGAAACTTGTTCAATCGCTGTTTTCCTTGAAAGTATTCTCCACTATGTCTAAACGTGCGATTTACCACAGAACAAAAGCCGTTCTCAAAATGTGTCGTCTTTACCACTCGCGTCACATGCTAGTTTGTGTACACTCTTAGTACTAGGCAATCCCGTTCGTTTAGTTGCACAAAGTGTGTAATATGTGCGGCCATGCTTGTCTTAGGCTGGGCGAATATAAACCCCAAGATTCAGCCACGATCGGTATCCAGACAGAAAAGGGCACAACGAGGAAGGCATTACGGTTGTAGTAATGAATGAAAAACTCTCCGCATCCACCCTGCGCTTCCCTCGTCGAGAGCACGGTTTTTTTGTCAATATGTAGCAAGTTAGCGCATAACTGCGTACCGGGACTGGTTTTCGGAGAGGCTTCGATATTGTCGCACAGCTCACTGAGGTTCTTGGCGTCTTCTGCTGTAACGAACTGCTGTTTGAGATTGCGCGCCTTTCGAGCCAAAAGCATGGGGCCCTGTGTTCCTGATAAAAAGTCCTGCAAGGAGTTAGGAGCACGTTTTTGCAGTAAGGTTCGAGAAGCCGCGGGACTGACGGCCGATCCACCATCAGTTGATTCGCTCGATTCTGTACAAGCTATGCCTTGGCTTCGTAAACTATTATCATCGCCAGAGCTAGGCGGCGCGCCGGTGGTCTTGTGATACTGATGCCCTGGCACAAACAGCAGTGCATCGTCAGAGACAATAGAGCTGAGTCTCGACTCAGCGCCGCTACCTTCGAGCGAACTACAGTCTACGTGTTGTTGCTGTTGGGCAGTCAGTAGGTTTTTAAGTGCTGCCGACGAACCCATCGAGATCATCTTGTGTTTCGAGTTGACCAGATTACGCAGCATACCCACAGCACCTGCGAACGCCACCGTAAGAATACAGGTACAATTGAGAAAACATGTTTGCTAGCGAAAGACACTAAGAGCTCAGATGGCTTAACGTCATACGCTGCGGAATGGGTTTAATCTTTAATTACAGCTAGAAGACAATCGAAGCACCGGATCATAAAGGGTTGCTGAGATACATATGAGACAGACGGTTAAGCTGCTTGTTGGCAAAATGTACCAGGCATTAGTTCGCCGGGCGCGGTTCCGTACAATAAGCAGTCAAATTAATTCCTGTCTCATAAAACAAAGAAAATGCCGAAACTTAAAATACCGTGTGCAATATGAGTTATACAACAATATAGCTGGGCAAAATCAAAGTTTAAACAACCTACCAATAGATGTCTTCGAAAGTGATCGTTGTTAAACACAAACGGATGACCAGATAAGCTCACTTATAAGTGAAAAAGTTAAATTAAACTAAAAAAATTGATTTCACCATTTTTTATGAGTCTTTACTCAGTGGTAGGGCGTCTAATTTAATCATATATACCATTCGGAATAATTACCGAGTTCCCAAAGCTTTGTTTGATCTTGTGGGCAGCGTGCGGAAAGGTTCCAGAGAGTGCCGCAAGCATTGCTCACTACGGTTAAACTAGGCGATTTTAGTTGCTGAAGGAGAACTTCAAGGCAGCTATGTCGTCGAAGAATTGCTCTGAAAAAAATTGAACATATTAGGAAATTTTTTTTTGGGATCGTTATTGCGCAAATAATTCTTCATTCCTAAACGTCTAACTCAAAAAAAAAGCCCATTTTTTATCCTCTCAGTCTATATGCCTCTCCCGATTCGTATGTCATACACTGTTCATTTCGATGACAGTCGGGAAATAACGGCTAGGGAATACTGGTCCAAGTTCACACTATACTATTTACTGACCGTCCTCACTCACTGCAGACATATACGAGTCTAGATTACTAAGCATCTAATATCGAACGATGTGTCCGTCTGCTAATCTGAGGAATATTGTTTTCAAACAATTAATCTAGTTTTGAGGCGAGGCGTAACCTTAAGATACCTGTATTCCTCTTGAGTAGCAACATATGACGAAATATTTCGAAGAATACCTCCACCATTTTCTACGATAGCCAGTGTTTTCGAGTGACTTCGATAGGTCAGCGTGCTAGAAACAAATGACACAAAAATCAAGGAACACTTTTTAGTTATAGCAGATATAAGTAGTAGTAGTAACACAGTTGAAAATAACAGCTGCGGCTGAACTGAATATTCAGTTCGAACTGAACGATCCAGTCTAGCCTATCCTACGCCTAGCAACAGCTTTTTAGTGATAGTCCTAATGAAGTGCTCATAGGACTATTCAGGGTGTAGTTGCAGTGGGTTACAACCTACCTTACGAGGAACGCTAGTGAACCGTCAACTGAGCAGATTTGAATTTTGTTCTCGGTGCAATGCGCACTCAGATTCCAAAGGGCAGAGAGGACTGATTTGAGTGTGGCCTCTTTCTCCATGGACATCATGCAACGCGTCAGTGATAGTACACCACCCGCGTCGCGGAGGGCCACACGACTCTTACTGTCGGCGCGCCATGACAAATTACGTAAAACTGATGCGGTCACCTGCGCAAGACGGATTCGAAACCTTTCTATTAATTTGTTACTGGCGTATATGAAGATTATACCACCTAAAGTATTTAAAGGAGAGCAGAAATTGATAAAAACATGCGTCGAAGATAAATCAGTGGCAAGGCCTTCTGCCTCCTGCGAAACCTGCTGGTAAACCTTTCATTATACATATAGTCGCGGTTACGCAGAATTAGCATACCTGTTTAAGGTCCTCCGAGTGCGAATCGAATTGCGCGACGAGAGAATTCATGAAATCTCGCATAGAGCACAGCGCAGCTTTATTGTTTCCGTCTCCGAAAGTGAGATTGGTTAAAGCCATACCGGAATATCGTCTTACGAGGATGCACGATTCACGTTCATGACCGTGAGCTATATAGTCAAGATGTACGAGTTCAGCTATGGCCTGAAGCCCGCCTGCAATGTACAGCAAACTTGGTTCTAAACAACTTCCAGCGTTTCAACTTTTCCTATAATTTGTTACGTTAGGAAAGAATGCACACGAGCGATATGCTGCCTAGGAATCAAATTCTCATGTTAAAGAGTTTATGCTCATATTTACTTCGTACATATGTTAAATGAAGGATCAACAATAGAATTGTATTTTTGTTTATAGACATAAGACTAAAACCAAGGTTTAAATGCTATTGTATATTTTTAGGTTTCATTTTCAAAAAAACACACACAGGTAACGCATTATTTCAAAATACCAGAGTCGCAGACTGTCGTTTCAAGTCCGATGTGGTAGCTATCTTCGCTACCAAAGACCAGGTTAATATAGTTCATAATCTTTATTAAAACTATAACTGTTAAATTTGGTTATGATTATGTAACATAGGCGCTTACGTAGGATCCTATATGCAGACCATTAAACGAGTCAACGGTACTGATTAACTGTAGAAGTGCTCTGTGTACTTGACGCCCATTTATGCTATTATCCCGAGCTGCATAACGAAAATTCACTGAATTCGCTATAAGCGGTAAACTTCGATGCTGGCAGCTGTCAGCGATGAAGCGATTTATGGCCAAATGAAGCACTCACCAAGATGGCACATCGCATGACGATGTTCTTCGTCAAAGGACAACTTCATAAGGGCTGCCACAGCTGAGTTCGGATGATCCAGTTCACCGTCTCTTCGATCGTCCGTTTCTTCTGTACCCATGATAGCATCCCCATTCTCTAACTGATTGCAAAACTCACGAACCTAATTTTATGTAAAGCCCAAATTGAACGACTTAGTATTATGAAACGCAGTATCGTTTGTCGACGATGGCAAGTATCCGTAACTTTTAGAACTGAATCAAGACAACCTTTTAGTAGAAGGTTAAATGGGAGGAATTTATAGCGAGCAGTAGATTCTGTCCACACATTTACTTCAGGTGCCAAATATATGCCCCGAAAATATCATCAACTAGGATCACATCGGTGTGGGCCTTAGTGTGTTACCAATATTAGGGGACAAGTCAATTGCCGTATGTCAATATCAGCTGTATAAACATTTCTCGCATAGCTGGGGTTCACTTAGTTGGTTTATCCGCTGGATGAATATCAGGTACGCAAACACCTTTTTCGGAGATGTCAACTTTGTCCCCAAACTGTCAAACTTCAATGTCATTGAACTCGTAAGGAAGAATGTAAAAGCGACCTAAATTAATCACTACCCTTTTCACGAACGTATGTTAACCTTAGATACAGGCGAAATAAAATTTTCGATTCTCATATCTATACGTTAAGGATTCAGATCACCTTTATTCTTCTTAAATCAATCATTTCTAGCGATTAAAAATGATCTGTTGTTGTTTCGCTTTAGGCGGCTATGTTAGGACAGACCTGTTCTAGAAGTTTGAGGACGCGCACTTCTCTGCGTGCCTTTTTGTCCTCTGGTAGCGCATGCACGATATTCCTTAGAGCTTTTCCAGCACGAGAGCGGGACTCACGACTACGTAGACGCCCTAGAACGTTAAAAGCATCATCGTTTACAGCCGAAATGTTTTCTATCAGTTTCTTGAGAACGTTTTTCTCCGTATGCATACAGCAAAATGTATGCTTACCAGTTTGTAGTGTATAGAGATAAGAGCGCAGCATCTAATATCATGCATCTATCTTCACGACTGTAAAAGATGTATTACCTACCAAAAAGTTTTCGCGTAAATATTCTGCGGTGTGCTAGACTTCCTACACCAGAAAATGTTATGTGATCAATTGTAACGACATATTTCTTTTTTCTAGAAGGCTCCAGGAATACAGCGGAAGTGTGCAGGTTGTTTATGTACATATGTACTACTATACGTCACAGAGCCGTCACTCTTGATCGGTTCTCACTGTTCTATCGCGCTGTAAATAGACATCGTCAAACCTTTCAAGTTGCCCTGTTCATCCGTCGCACCGTGCAGCAACTGAACGAGCAGTGGTATACATCCACTCTGACGCATCGCAAGGCAGCTCTCCTTCGAAGATGTCATGTTCTCAAGGGTAGCCGATACATCATCACGATCTTCCGAAGCTAGGCTGCTCAATAATTGATAGACCATCTCTACACGGGTGTTTACCAACTGCGGATTGATTCTTAAGGAAGACGAAGTCGTGGAGTAAAGGGATGAAGCCATTAGCGGAGATCGGCCGACACCTGCAACACCCGTAATCCCGGCAGTCCCGGTCAGGACGTGGTCCTCTTCGGCAGTCGAATCCGTCAGTGAAGTAGGTACACCAGATGAGGAACGGCTCGAGCGGTTATCCACCACTGACGTCGGTAAGGATCGCCATAAAACTGTGAAAAGATAATATGGCTAAAATGATTAACTAAATCATTTTACTAATACCATTTGTTATAAGAATAATATTAGCAGGGCCGTTGCATACCGTCAATAACACACTTGCCTAAGAAGAGACTAATAATAGCAGGTAAAAATGCAAACACATATCCAATGGTTTAATGTGTTTGAGGACGGCTAGAAAACGCTTTCCTAAACTCATGCAGCCTAACGATAAAAGTGCTGGTTTCTTGGATGGATGTAATTTAGAAGATTCGCTTAAAGATCTAAGGTTCTGACTGTCCGTATATAATTAACGATTTTTAAAACAAACAAAATAGAAGCTTTCCTAAGATAAACCTAGTTTATACCTAGTACTTTTTTCTTAATCTAAATGGGAATTATTGTATGCTGTTCGGACTGTATCCGGCGAATACGAACAGTCTAGTTCGTTAGCGCTCGACCATTTGCTTATATACTAACCTGTGTCAGGAGACCAATCGGGAGTGTTTTCCTCCCCTTCTTCGCTTTTGTTCCCCAGTTGTAGTAGCTCATCGGGGGATGCTCGTGCTTTGCCGCTATACTTGTCACCATTGTACTCATTTTCAGCCTTCTGCCCAGCGTCATGCTGCATCGAGTGAGTTGACATAAGCCGGGGGGCAGTTAGTTCAAGACCGACGATCCTCGCAGGTCGCGAGGAACGCTCCTGTCGAAAGAAGAATCGACCATTGAGCCACTCAATATGCAAAATATAAGTAACGCCCCTTTTACTGCTACAACGCATAACGTAACATATTATTGAAACGGTAATCTTAGATGCAGCTAGCACCTCAGAATGTTAAGTTCTAACTAAAAAGCAACAAGGCGACTTAATTGCCCATTGGAGTGAACTTTCACCTACCGGTTGGTTATTACGCCGAGCTTATAATTATTCTGGTACACTTTAGGGTGATGACGTGTTTCCTGATGTTTAATGGTATATCATGACAGTTTTTTTTTCAGTTCAATTTGGTCAACCAATTAAGTACTTTGACGGCCATTTCCATACTAACTACTTGGCGTTTTGACTAGAGTTGTTTATGATATAGAATCTATAAGTTGTAAATGTATACTAGCTCCGATATATGTTAAGAAATGCTCATGACATCCTCATCTCTTTTCTTGCTGGCTCGTTAGCAGAATTGGCAACCATATATGTTTTTATAATGTTAACTCAATTTTTTCCACCTTCATTTGTAGAAAACGAAATCGCTCACCGAAAAAAATAATCAAAATATTTACCTACTATAGTCAAAGATATTTCGAGTAACTCACTCAGAGAATCGCAGCAACGACACTGCACTTGCACCTCTAACGCTTGCCGAGTAATATGCCTCTAGCATAGAACGTTATTGCTACGCCATGATCACTTTACGTAACCTTCTAGTTGAGTCTACACTTGTCATTAGCAATATATTGGGCATTGTCTTCGCGCGATGTTGACATAACGGTGAAATTCGGTGAATTCTGTTCGGTAGGCCATTGCTGAAAATTTGCAACATCTTCGCGGCGATTGAAAGCGGTGGCTCAGTAGGCTAACAAATGTAACTAAACGTAAAGTGCAAGACGTCGCTGGTTCGAATCTGCCAACATGCATGTATACATAATATTTATTTTCATAAGATCGGGTCATGGAAACTTTCTGAGAACATTTCTAGACTACTACAATTCAAGGTACCCTCTCAGGAAACACGGTTTCGTTTGCATATGTTGCCCTATGACGCACAGATTTGTGTGGGCAAAATCCATAGAGAGATAAATGCGGTTTTACCCATAACAGATTATTCCAATATAACTTATCGTTTTTATAGCTAAACGGGTTTGTTATTTACACAGGTACTAACTAATATACGCCGCCCGTCTTGTCTGAGATGTCTGGCGCCTCGCTCCATAGAGCGCTAACATACACACTTGGCGCCTGTACATGGGTACAACGCTGGATCATTTGCGTGATGTCTTGCGCTTTCGAGGGCGGAAACATAACGCAAGCTAGAAGGAAAACTTCATTCGTGAAAAGTAATTGGTTTGCGGCACACGATTCGAACTAAATTACTGCGGGCAGAGTGACCACGATTACTTGCTTATTCCTAACGTAACTAGCAAGGCCGCTGTCTGCTTAAAAACAGTGTAGCTATCTGGCGCGCAGGTCAACTTCAACCTGGCTGAAGAACTCTGTAAAATACGCTAAAGTGATTGAGAACAAGCGCCAGCTAAGCAAGAGAGGGCAATTACTGTTACTAGAGCGAATAACTTCAACCGAATTAACCCTAAAATTTGGTACTAATTTCTTTCGAGTGGGTTAGCTGCGACCAAGAAATTACATTTCATGGTTGCATTCGGTATTGGGTAGTATTGCATTTCCAATTGACAAAACAATCATAATGCGGCAAATTTCGGGTAAACTCTCAGTACAGGATACCTTTTGAGGTGAAAACAATCTAAAATGTTTGGCTAGTTTTTTTTTATTATTTGATCATGTGGCGATATTTTAGGAAGTAACATCTGAAAAGTCCTTTGTGATTAAATATATTGGTATGGATATTTTTTGTGCTTTAAAATTAAACCTCCTGAAATATTCATCATCTGTAGATGTTCGATCGTTAACCAACAATTATCCGGTACACGACTGTACTGCTTTACTTTATACTGCATTAAAAAGTGCATGATTAGTAACATAAAAGTATTATTCCTAACTATCTTGGCTACCTATACATCGGTTCCTTAACTTACCTTCACAGTCTCCATCGTGAACTATCGGCAACACCTCATTATGGCAATTTTGAAACACAAATTCGATCCTCTCAAACCATCTAAAATTGAAGAAAGTAAGTAACCTTAGGACATCAATATAAGACATCAGCAAGAACTAAGGTACGTATCTCTTATAGGGTTACCAAAAATTATAATTGTTAACTCAAAAATTTTGTGAAAACAGTAGCATGTTTCATAAACCAATTTCTCTAATTTTTAAATCCTGTTCAACGATGTATTTATTTAAGCAACCCCAAATAGTGAATACATTTACCAAATTAGAAATTATTCTCATTAGACGCTAGTCAAGTAACGTTATTAGTTAGTTCTGATAAGTCTGTAGCAAAACGGTCGATCGTATGCAGGTGTCCATGATAAGTGAGCTTTGCAGTTTGTAGGGCTCTGCATGTAGAACATGCTTCATACAATCAGGAACATATATGCATTTCATTCATTTCATCATTTTCGGCAACACACGCAATGTGAGATTCGGAGAAAACTCTATTGGATTGCTTTATGTTGGGTGAATGGGTAGTGTTGTCTAGAAAGTAACTAATTATGAGTAATTACGATTTCAAGATAGACAGATTTGTAAACAACGAGTAATAAGATACCGTCGGAAAAGCTGTAAAAAAAGACTTCCTCGCAAGTTATTAGCTTAGAATTAGCAAAAGCTCTATGAACTTCTACTTTTCCAGATCAGAGAAAAATATAATCAGATAACACGTTTACATGCGCTCTTACAACTCGTATTAGTGTATATGCCAGCAATGGCAAAGCTTCGATGATAAACGCTTGACGATCTGAATTTTGAGTCTAAATACTAATTTATTAAGACTTTGGTAAGACTGTGCAATTTAAAGCATTTCGTAGGTAATTTCTCAATAAGATGGTGGAGGCACACACATGGATCAAAGCTTACATAAACGAGCGAAGGATAAACAAAGACTTTAGACTTTTAAAAGTGACGGATATTTCAAACATCGGCTATTTAATCAAGCTAACACAGTCGCTGACATTGGAAATAATTCCATTTAAAAAAAGATTTTCTATATAGTTACATTTCTATACAAAAATTGCTTATTTTTGTCTAGTGATTACGTAGCTATGGTCGACAGAGTCATTTGTAAAATATAGCTTAACGCTGAGGCATTACATTGCTCTCAGATTGCATACAACCAATAATACTGAGGGTCCCTATATACGTAGGTAAACCACATCTCTGTCCAATAGACCACATAAAACACCCAAAAGGCCCACATTTCGAAGGGCAATACCCCATAACTGTGCTTGTAAAAATAACTGGTTTAACTCATTAACTAACTAAAAAAATACACCGTAACACAACGTTTCATTAACTGACCAATGGGAAGATTAAACAAATACCGCCAAATTTTGAAAATGTATGATGATTTTTAGACCTTGACAGGCCCCACTTATTAGCTGTGTGCTGGTTATGAAAAGACGACAAGAACGACGTTGTAAGCTCATGGTAGGGGCTTGTGTCTCGTTTACCAAGGTGTAATAAGATTCCGATTCCACCCATTCAAAAAAAAGATTGGAAAGGAAGTCGTGCAAGCTTGGCCAATAATGATCCAGAAACGAGCTTTTTGTAGCGATTTCTGATGAAGCGACTGCTATATGCTGGAAAGAATCCGCATGGAAATGAAATTTCTCTCTTCAAATACTGGCTGAAATCTTTCTTAAACGATTCCCAATCAAACTCAAGTCAACGAGTATTCTTTTGAATTTTATTGGGGTATGAAGTCTGATATTATTGGCTTTGTTTCAAAACAGGCATGCAATATTGAATAATATCTGAGAGTTTCAGACTTCTGCACGAAAAACATCCTTAGTAAACTCATGATTTTCTGGCTGAATGGTTTTCACTTACGCCGCATATCCAGTTGAATTCGGATTCATTTAAACTAGTGTCTTGTTGAACTTAATATACAGAAATGTTTGTTCCTTTTTAATATGCTTCTATGGCCCTAGTGCCCTAAAAGAAGACTACTTAGTTTCACTCTTTTTTAGTTTCCTAAGCTGTATATCCTGCATACCACTCAATAATTCTCGTTTTAAGACGCGGGCAGCTCCTTAATACGTAACAATGAATTTAGGCACTAGCAGTGACGTTGAATCTTAAAGGTATTATCATTGCGGAGGAGGCACTCGCAGAAGTAACGAAATGGCAGATCCTAGTAGATTCTATACCTCTAAAAGAGAGCCTTTAACAGTGATTGGCGCATCTGCCTGTGACTGATTGCTGTTGTAAAAAAAAACCCAAAAAAGGGCTTGATATACGCCCGTAATAAGGGTCGTCCCCGATAAAATGCATACTGACACCCACATCATACTAATTTCTATGACGCCATATATACAAATAGATAATAATTTTAAATTTCTAACTTCGCCATTGAGCGGTATGTCAGTGGACGCTGGGCATTAGATGGGTACAAAAATTACCTTACAGAACACTGTCTTGCTGTATATTGTTCGGAGTATCGACTATACTGTAAAAGTAAACACGTCTATAACTCAACTATGGGTAAAATGAAATTCTCTTTGAAGGCTCACTACGTTCGGTATGAATTATGAATAGATTAGGATAATATAACCGATGTCAGAGTTACCACACAATTTTCATGGCCGAACTCACCCAGCAGGTACTTAATGTGCACTGCGTTTCCAGGACTTTTAACTAGATGCTTGCCCTCCTGTCCATTAAACACTGCTTCTGCAGCCTATTATACATGGTGATTCAAGAACACGGTGCAGACAGGGTTTATCCCTAAGTGGGCAGGTGTGCGCGAAATATGCTACCCAAGTGGACACAATGAGTACGACCGATGCGTTCAACCGAACCGCAAGTTCATTGCTGTCATTCATAAACCTGATTTAAACCGATCTACACACTCTTTGGACGCCGCTAAGAGCTTCACCACACTCCTGAATTCGTTCGGGTCTCCACTCTCCTCCTCCTATGTCCTACTACCCCGGCCGCCGATGTTACAATTCCTGCTCCCCCCTGCAACGGGGAAGATGCACGAAGTCAAGGCCAGATGGCGCCACTGCAAATCAGACGCCCACTTTCTACCGCATATTCTACAACAGGATAAAAGGAGAGAGGTTCTCCTGGGTGAATCCTCACTACAACTTGCCTCAGATATCTAAACATTAAGACCAATTGACATATCAGTCCTATTTTATTAAAGCAAGCTTGACTGCCTCATGTTATCAAGGCGCAGTTTATTGATGGTCAATTCGTGTTCACTCTTTCCCTAAGCGATGTTAGTTTATTCTTAATATATACCATTATGCAAATTTTTATCTAATGCAAAACTACAGCAAATCGGCATTTGTGGACCAAAACAGAACGAAATATAGAATAATCCATATATATGTAAACAATATAAGGATTGCACATGATATGTTTGCAGGCAGATATCGGTAAGAGATTCCAATTCGCAACTTCCCGCCAAGCGGCGATTTCAAAAGTGGCTGTCGCTGCCAATGGCGCGCGATTTCTGTTGGCCAGTGTTTACATTGAAAACCGTTAATGACGAGAGAACATGTTCGAGTGTTGACTAATTTGACGGTAGGAACTGCATTGCATATCTTTGATACCGTTTGAATGAATACGCCACTGATTTGTTTTAAATATTATTTCACAACGATTATCATCGTCAGTAATATATATTAGCTTATACCAAATTGAGAGTCGCATTCAATTCGTATTGTTTTATGTAGATATGAATGATATGGCTTGGAGTGGGCGTTTTTAAGGAAGGGACATAAACATGTCATTGTGCAACACCAAAATAAGTATGTCCATATCATTGTGCAGTATAAATTGTCATCGTGTTGATTCAAGAAGGACTTACCGAAGTTTAAACCCGAGTTTAAAGAAGTGCGAACAATCATGGCTACGGGAGTAAACTCTACCGTTGGTAAACCGAGCCAACAACCGGCTGGAGGGAATCATGCCGTGGCAAAAAGGTTAATCTATTCAACATTTTCATAGTATATTCTTCTCATTACTGAGCAGGGTCTATAGGTAGCTTATTTATTGGTAGTTCAATACGTTTTGAGTAGTTTGTGAATTGTGTGGCCCCAAATCTAGCAAACAGCCAGACTGAAAATACTTTACTTTTGTTCAGATTTGCTCCGCTGAGCTTCTGATAAGTTTTATACGTCAATTATTTAAGAAGTTAGGTTTGTAAACCAAATTTTGCTAATGAGTAGTACTGGCTGGAGCTATTTAAAAACGAACTAATACGAAGTAAAAACTTTTGAACAAACAACAATGTCAATACTTCAGTATAAGCTTAACTCGTAGCTTAGCCAAGCCGAAACTGTAGATTCATAGTTCGTAGACTTGTTCTATTCGATTTTAGGAAATAAATTCTGATGCAGTGTATTTTTGTCATGCTTGCAGATACTCTATGTAAAACATATATCAGAAACTTATTTGTTTAGTGACCATTTCAAAATTGGTTAATTTGTGTCGATGAAATTAGAAAAACCTGTACATGCACTTTAATCGTCATTGCTAAAATAAATGCAGTAATCTGCTTTATATATATATATATATATATATAGAACAAAAACAAATAAATTTCGGGTACAAGCCCAGTCATAAATCTTACCCGTCAACATTCCGTGGTGGTAATCAAAGGCAACTAAATACCACACGTATCAAAGTCTATACTGTAATGTAATAACAATAATAATAATTATTATCTAATGCATTTTTTAAAGTAGTATTTATCCCCCCCCCCCCCCCCCCCCCCCCCAAAAAAAAACCTACATTACCAAAATTTATTTTAAAAAAAGACTGTGCATATGGATGGGATACATTGCTAAGGATTTACCGTAATTTATTTTGAAACTTTCAGGTTACAGTCAGAACTGATGGGTCTTATGGTGAGTACCCGTTTTCCAAATAATGTAAATATATTAGTCATCGACAAAGGACACGCGATAAAACACCCAATAATGGTTGAACACATACAGTTAACAGACGCGCAGCTAAGTGCCATATAAGGCATCAGTAACAAGCAGCAACGGCTTTCATAGCCATAGAGGGCTCATTTTTTTTCTTCTTCTTCTAAGAATAGATAGTCCGACTCGCCTGAAACTGTGATTGTAGATTTATTCATGGACATTTTATGTTACGTAGTCAAAACATCAGTAAGATTATCGTTTAATGTAACGAGTAAGAAAACTCACTACGTTAAGGATGCGTCAATTGATATATGGACTGTTTCTCATTAATTCTGCAAGTAGAATTTCGAGTGAGTTGCAGTATTTTTTATCGCTTTTTGCGAATGGAACATAGTAAAATATACTTCTTCAAGGGCCACTTCAAGAAATCTCATTAATAGACCTTTGTTTACATTCTGAGAAACCGCTTTAACACAGCCAATGACGGCCTGTGTCCCATAAGACGAGGGAATGTCTTCAGTAATCTAGTGCACGAATCCATGTTTCATGTAGAGCTTATACCGAAAGCTGCCTTGTGGATAAACGATACATATTCAGGTACTGAAACAGGGTAGTCAACTTGCATAGCAACGCAGTTTAGGTGCTCAAAGTAAATATAACAAGCTACAGTCTTCCTATGCATGCTACATTCACTACAGTTTTTCTTGTAAAGACAAGTTTACACACTTAAAATAATCAAAATTTTAGACCAGTATTTTAGTTAGACATTAGATCAGACATTTCCTTTTACATGAAAGGATATGTAATTAGTTATATATTTATTGCGCTGCTTATTCATCTGAATTCACAGATGACTCCAGAAGCGGGAGTATCAGCTTTCCCTGAGAGCGATATGCTTTTTCGTTGGGTCGGCACAATTGAAGGGCCCGTAAACAGCGTGTATGAGGGACTCTCGTATAAACTCTGCCTTGAGTTCCCACCGGACTATCCTTACAAACCTCCAAAAGTATGTGCTAGCCGAAAAACAATCGTATAAGGCATTTCATATTATGAAGAAATATCTGTAAATAATGGTTATGGTACTACTTATATTCGGCTACAATTAAACACATGTTTCAATATCTGTTTTTCGTACAACAACGATTCTTAAAAATAATACTAAATGAAACATATTACATTATCAACGTAACGGAGTCACTTTGGCTTATAAAGGTGACATTTACCACGGCATGTTATCATCCAAATGTGGACAGCTCGGGTCGAATATGTTTAGATATTCTTCGGGATCAGTGGAGCGCGCTACTAGATGTCCGGACAATACTAATATCGATCCGGTCGTTACTGTCAGGTAGGCAGCTTTTGTATAAAGTTTCCGATAAATATGTACTCGGCGTAACAGCATTTATCGGAATGTTGTTACGCAATAATTATATAAGCAGTTTACAGAGAAGTAACATGCAAATATGGATTTTTATTTTAATATGCAAAGCTGTATACCTACTGCAGTTAGTAAAACGTTATAATTTTCTTTACAATACACAATCTTACAGAACCCAATATTAGTTCACCAATGAATGTACAGGCAGCGGATCTCTGGTCCAATCAGGAACAGTATAGAAAAACATTGTTGGAGAAGTACGAACGTGAAGTCCGTATGGCGGCGAAAACAGCGAAATAGCTCGAGTAGTTCTGTCATATAGCAGGCATCACATATTTTCACCAGTACCAGTTATTACGAAATGATTTTCGTAAAGGATCTACATGACCACGCTGTGTCTTCATCTCACCTGGCTTGCACTCCACTGGAAAACCTTATAACGAACTTTATCTTCTCAATCGATTGTTCGCTCTGCTGGTCAATACAAAGTAGTAACGTGCCGTTGTGTTCCATAGATGGGAGAGGCCGGGCCAAAGAAGTGTTAAAGACCAGATGAGTTTGTATAAGCTTCCTATATAATAAAATATTCAACTAGGAAAACTGTTTCCCTTGTAGTAACATTATGCATATAACGTATATAAAACATCTCACGTTTATAATTGTAATCCCGACTTCAAACGGGTAAAACGGTCGAAACCACAAGTAATAGATGATAATAAACAATGGTGATAATTATGAAAGTCACTGGACGGCTTCGTTTTTCATTTTTATGGCGTGATTGTTTCTAGCGGACTTACAAAAAAAAACCTTATCATCCGAAGTGAAATTTGAAATCAAAAGTACTGGTTACCAGTAGGCTGCCTCATGCCAGCGTAAATCAAATTATCAGCTTAGCGACTCCACTAAAATATCTGAATTAGATATTAAATATAACAACTTTTTATTTATAGCCAAAATGTATAAGATGCTTTTTGAGGAAATTACAGACGATATCTTCAATACAACCTGCATCAAATGGGTTTTAAGGGGCGCGTCAAAATGAGCCTACTTAGCCCTAAATACAAGAAAGGTCAGAAAACTGAAAGTAACTTCATTGCATAGGTTTTCTTTGTTGCAATTGCTGTTGCGATTGTTGCTGTTACACATTTTTAAATGCCTTTCACTTGAGTAGTGGTCACACATACGGGTATGCGCATTATCTTCCTTAGGCAGGCGTTGAGCTTTTATGTTACTTTGAATGGCGTCTACCAGCAGCTTCTTTGAAGTCGCGCTTGACTCTTTAAAACTGAGTTAAAAAAAAACTAAGAATAAAAAGATCTTTGTAGCAGTATGTGACACATGAATTTCTTGTCCATGAAAATGTTAACCAAAAGATAACACAGCGTCACTCATTCTGTTATATATTACTTTCAATGAAGTGTTTTCTAAAATGATGTTAATAATAAAGCCTGACCAGTTGTTTGTTTCTATATCATACCCTTTACTTGTTTCCTTCTGAAGTAGTAACAGAAGAGAATAATATGATGTTTACAAAAAAGATACCCGGCTTACGCTCTCATCACTAGCATACATTTAGAATGTTTTAACAAAATGTTCTAAAAGCAATCATCAGCAAGCGTTTATTTTGATAATTCTGTATCTCTCTACCGACATGTAGAAGTAACTAGACTCTTCCGTGCTTTGTGACTCTCTTTTCCGAAAGAGCTTGTAAGTTGTCATGAAGTGCGCGGAGTAAAGTTTCTCCACGTTTCGATTTCCTAGATCATCGTATCTTGTCTTTTATTACTAGCTTCATCTTGTATAAAACATTAATTTCAGTTTACAAGTAAATGTTATGGCAGACGAATTAAGATGGTGTAAAATTTTTAATTAAGTTAATGGTAAGGAATTTACTTACTTCTAATTCTATTCCGCCATTTTGCCATTTGACAAACAAGCGTAAATTTTAACTAGAAAGTCAGAAAAAACACATAATTTGCACTTCATGTAGTCATTTTCCGTATGTTTTTCCGTAAAAAGTTCACAGAGTCCCTTTACAATCTGGTACATTAGGGTTATGTTTCGGTCTTTGTACAATGGATACAAGTTGACTGAGGCCACTATTTTTATAGCATCCATATTTGAACTAAAGAATTGCGCGCAGCCCTAGTGAACACTCGAACAATGAGAAATAAGTTTAAAAAATCTGACTGGCATTTTCGGTCAACACGAGAAGAAAAATGCTCACGAACTCCAACTGGGTTCTAACTGCATACCCCTGTTTTGATTCGCCGTTCTTCGCTTTCTAACCACTATCAGCAATAAGCAGGAAATAGCTATTTTCAGCAATGTACGGAACAACATTATAAGTTATGAATTACAGTAATGAAATTACAACTCGTTCAATAGTCTGAATTGGATCTAAGCTTGAAAATCTTGTAAAACAAAACATTCGCTCACCACGAAATTACTCCATGATTCACACGTTTGATCGAGTTTAAAAAACTGAGTAGTTCCACGACCACTGATATTAGCTGTTGGAATATTGAGCTGGCATTTGTTTCTCTATCACCGTAGAGCACCTTACACACTGCTGTTTAAATGTTGCAAAATAAGGACCTTTACTTTAATAATAATTTATATGAGTCGGAACTGTGCGTAAATATTAGTAGACTTTAAAATTTTGAGTGTTACTGAGGTTACGTAGTTAAATCACGATATCCGCAAATATCATCGGGGCTTTCTATGCAATTCTATTGACAAAGTGCGACGATTTGAAATGTGAATTTGTTCTCGGGGCTGCTCATTTGTGAAGTCAGAAAAATGTGCATAGCAACGAGAATGCTGTTGAACTGATTGTCCCGCCCAGCGCCTGCCGACTTGATACCTAACCGTCTTGCCTTAACTTGCTGCGACTATAGAGTGTTTTCTAAAAGTTTGGCGTCATAGCCATGATGTGAATAACCTCAGAATTGGTAGTGCTTTAGAGGGAGCCAAATAGAGTGAACCGGACTGCGTGCTAATTACATGCTGCATATGCGTGTTACTGAACACGCATTGCTTTCTTTGTTGTACATACGCACATTCTACGGGCTAAATATATTCGATCATACAGCTATGGCTATACACGTATGGTGCCCATTCTCCCTTCTTTTCTTTGTGCATCTTAAGTACGAAAACACGCAGTTTTTGCTCGCTATATACGTACGTTACTGAAAAGCAGAACTCTTTATTAACAACGGGAAAAGAGTAATAGTTGGTGTATGTGAGGCTGTGAGCAATGACACGATAAGCTAATCAGACAGCGAACTAGGCTCAATAGCATGAATTGCTCTAATGATACCGATGGATGCAAGTTAAAGCTTGCAAGTAACTCAGTCGTATCCAAAGTCCAGTTAATGAAATGAATTCAGTAGTTCTTCGGTATCAACATCTTCCTTGTACTCTGTGTGATATTATCTCCTTGTTTTACAAGATTTCCGACACGATAAAAACTAGATTACTAAATTTTGCTAATTTTCACTTTGTACACCTGCGTTAAACCACCAAACGCCACCGATTAGTACTAGGTGAAGTCTATGGGTGATATTCTGAGCCAATAAGGTTGCACCATATGGTGTCTACAACATTCTTATGAAATTTTTTAATAACGGTACTAGAAGGTATATATATCGTGTACTGCCGTTAAATACAAACGATCTAATATTGAAAAGAATCGACTCCCACGTTCAAAAGCCCTACATTGAGAAGAAAGCTTCCACCATTATATTGATAAGCGCGCCGACAAACCAGCTGCTAATCTTAAAATAAACGTTGCTATATGAATATCAATTTAGTAAACAGACAATTTCCATAAGGTTATATTTAGAACCATCAAAATGTGTCTAATTTTCTTTTTTACATACCACTACATAGGATGTCTAATAGTAAAGGAAAGTGGGTCTTTCATTAAAGACGAGAAAAGAGAAGAGCTATATGTTTGTTGATTAGTACAAAAAAAAACATATTTAGCTGATTCCTATATTATCGTTCATGCCTGAAAATTTTTGTTGCTATAATTAAGAAAAATCATAATATTATAGTCAAATGTATATCTGTTCTCTGTCAATGCTAGCATCATGTAAATTTACAACGAAAAAAATTCAAATTTTGTTTTTGCCGTAGGTCATAGGTGAACGATCCGATATCTACAACTATACAATTCAAAACTCACACCGACCGATTTATTCCACTACTTAAACATCGGAAAAATTTAGCAAGTATCGACCTCGAACTTGATATTGATAATCAATGAAACCATTTTTTATGATGTTTTCAACAACAGGATAACCTCATTAAAAATATTCGAAATCTAGGAAACAATCTTGCCACGTCGCTTATAACTGCGCAGGTGGCCTTACATCTAAGTTTTAAATCTCAACAAAAATCCTGTACTTGCCGAAGTATGCAAGTTTTTCGTTTAAAATTAACTTGAAAGAGTCCTCACTTGATGACTTTCTAAAAAATCTTTCCAATTTCGAACTATATAAAATGTTGCCGGCATTAATTAAAAAGAAATGTTGATAGTTAGTGTCGTACGAATTTTTCATTGATGGTTGTGCAGTCACTTAAATGTATTTCCAAGGAAGTGTCGCTTGAATGCCTTCGCCCTAAGAGATCAAAATCTTTCGGGAATATCTCTTCGGATCTTGAAAATTACAACGTACTAACCGGCAATGTGTTGCCAACACCAATTATTTTTTCCAAAAGTCTTCTTTCCGCTCTATCTTTAGTATCGATCCAAGCTGGCTTCCAATGACTCACTTCATTTCCAAGAGAACATGGATGAAAGCCAATTTAGCAAGCCAGAAAAGACAACCTGCTTACAGAGATGCTGCCCTATGAATTACGAGTCTCAAAAGTGATTTCTTAGGTGCAAATACGCGTCATATTTGTAAAAGGTTGCTTTAAAAAAGTGAAACGTGAAACATAAAGAAAAAGATTTTCGACGATGGAGGAAATAATTCCCGTTCTATAGAGGCTTGAACCCAACTGATCAACAGCCTGCCTTAATTTGAGCTTTGACAATATCCTCGTGTTGGCTAACAGAACTCAGCCTCTATCCACCTCGGATCCCGCAGTAAAACTCGAGGTATTGTAATGTTCCTCCAGGTAATTACGCCGAGTTCGAGCAAGGCACAAAGCATGCGTTATTCATATACTACAAAATATGCACTTGTTAACTGTATATTATTACTATTTCTTATTCAATCGACGTTAAGCATAGTTTTCAGATGATTTTTAGGGCGGAAAAGTCACAATCTATCTGTCACAAACAAAGCAGAATATTTCCTTTGTTTCAAACCTTGCTACAAATACTTCTTCAGTGAAGTCAGTTAATGGTCAGTAGCTGTCTATATAAAAAGCCTTAATCCTCTACTGTACAGACATCATTAAAGATTTTCTGTTAATTATTATATTATATTAACATTAAAGATCTAAAAAGAATTTTCCCACTTACTGTTAGGGAAGTTCGCAAAACATGAGAACCTTTTCGATACAAAAGCATCAATTGTATCGTGTATCGTATGTCCAACAGTAAGACTTAATAGTAAGAATTACATGTTATTTGTATTTAAGTATTATTTCTTTTTTTTTTTCTCTTTTTCATTAATAGTTATACATTTTTATCAGTGACTATTGGAGTTCTAACACTTCCCATAATGGTAAGGAATAAAAATAATTTTATAATGATAAATTATGACAATAATAAATGAATTCTATAATGATGATGAAAATAATGATATAGCTGATGTTTAAAAGCAGCTTGCAATTTTTGCTCACAATTTTACAATAGTCGAAAAATGCGAAAAATAAAAACTCAATTTTCATTCAAATACGTATTTAAGCTACTGTGTTATGTGCAAAAAAATTTCATAGACGTTTAGTTACAGCTTCTTGCACAATTAGTAAGTTCTCGTGTATTTTTACTGATAGGGTACAGTTCAGTAGAACGAGATAGGATTAGGATATCTTTTATAGTCAAATTAATGGTGTCAAATTTTTTTGCTCAAATTTAGGACTGTTACCGAAATAAAAGCAGAGATGAAATACGTCTGTATTAGTAATATTATCTTCTTGATGGGAGAAAAACATTTTAATGCTCTACCGTCGCGTTAATTATGTAAAAGCTATTCATAATTCGACGATTTTATTTAACTGGCCATTTAAAGACCCAATACAATGGTAACAAGTGAGTCTGTCTGCAGCGTCACTTGCTACGCTTTAAATACCATTAGCCAATATTTAACGTCTAATTTATAGATACAAAAAAACAATATTTGGTTAACTGGGAAGTATACCCCTACAGCACGTCAGCGGCATCACTGGGGCAGATAGCGCGTTTACCAATATTGTTTACAAACAGAAAGTCTAATGCCTTAAATTATGGACAAGAAGCGCAGATGACAGCATCACTCAGCTTCTCGATGTGGCACTAGCCAGAATATATCAATTTAGTGAACAGAGTACTGTGCGCAGTTTTCAACGTAGAACGAAAAATATTATAGTAAACTCGACGGAGTCAATAAAAATCTTTCGTATTTCCTCGATTGTCAGGTAATCACTTTTATTATTATTGAGGTGTCGATCGAAGTGTTACTTTATCACAGCCAGCCGCTTTTCTTTAAGCTGCCGGATTATATTTTTTCAACATTAATTGTTAAGCACTAGTGCCATTTTTATACTACTTTGTTCAATCGGTATTTTACTCACCACTACAAAAAATGACACTGTTCTCCGTTTACTAGAGTTTATTTCTTACTAGAAATTACTAGAGTTATTATGCACTTTTATTTCTGGTCGGTTAAAGCTACTACTATTTCTGTCGATTGGGGGTTTGCAAAGTTATTTTTTGCTGCTTCGAAGATATTGTTATTCATTTTTTTACCGAAACGACACTACTGTGGAAAACTGCATAATATTGAATATTATTCTTGATAATTTCTACGTAGTGCTTTAGCTCAGAGCGTATAGGGCAAAATTATCTACCTCCATACCTACACAAAGGCAGAATTGTCTTCTTTTGGAGGAAAATGGGGTGTCAATAGTAATGTTATTTTTACCCGATGAAGAGATTAATATTAATTTCATGCACAAACTTAGGTATAGTAAAATGGATATGTAAGCTGGATGCTATGAACTCTAGGATTCTGTTTATCTCTGTGCCTTTAAAGTATGAATGATTCTAACCATACTCCACAACAAGGCTAGGACCAGCCATACTGAGACGCATTTAAAAATAATGCTTCAAAATATACCGTTACCTTAAACAAGAAATGGCTTCAAAGCGTTTCAATTCGTCTGCCACACAGCCGGCACTCGAAGTTGGCTGGTATTATAAAAAACATGAATTTTGTAAGCGATGTTTTCGTTACTTTAGTACAATTTACTGCAGAATGCCGTTTTTGCGGTTTTCAAACTCGCACGAGATTATTAGGTATATTTTTTTTTAAAGAGAATACCAAATAGAATCCAAACAACAGGTTTGAAGAAAATTAGGTTTATGCTAAAAAGACTACTGGACTATAAGCTTTAGCTCTCCTGAACTTCGTTACCAGATATCGAACAGAGGCGGTCATTCCCAAGGTCTGTAGTAGAACAACATCCAGTTCTCATAGACTTAAAGTCTATGATAATGTCAAGACAAAGGGTTTCATAGATACATCTGCTTTCACGACGGTCACTTATCAGATACGATTGTACAACGTTTACAAGAGTTCTACAAAATATATGATTCGAATGACGCATTATAAGTTGCGAACAAATACCCGCTAACGACACGTGCAAAAACTAAATAATTTCGAAAAACACAAACCTATCCTCTCCTTCTTCTGCAGGATGCTCTTTTTGATAGGGCTGGGGTTTGGTGACTGCAAAGATATCACCGTAAGGGGCCTAGAAGCAGTTCGCCAAAGCAGCAAAGTCTACCTCGAAGCATACACATCCATCCTTACGGTCGGTGCTGAGGAGCTGGTCAGTTTATTTGCATTTTCATTTATTTATATTTATACTAAACGTACCTAAAGTCATAATTAGCTAGCAGCGGGGTTTCACTTATTTATACTACAAGAAAAATAATGGAGATCTTCGGAATTATGTTAAGTAGTCACAATTCTAAACCCTTCCAAATTACGTGTTTTGAGTTCTTCATCACAGGAAATTGCCACTCCACGGCAGTTTTCATTATTTTAGGTGGTTCTTTTGTGTTTTTCTTTTACACAGGGCCTTGTAAGCTGAGTTGCTATGCGAATACAGACGTTAGAAATATTTATTATAATCCAATAAATCATTCAGTTAGGTTTCCACAAAAGTACAACAAAGTAAAACCGAGGCGTTCAGATTATTTTTTAACGTAACGTTGATAACTTCTCATTTTCAGGAAAAATACTATGGAAAGTCAATTATACAGGCAGATCGATCGTTTGTCGAACAAAAGTGTGGTATGTTTTTATATCTATAATAAACTTAGTACGGCGTAAATATAGATGTTTATAGCGGCTCATCAAACGACTAGAAACGAGACATCAAGATGCTTGTCAAATCATGAAAAATATGGGTAATTGTGACCCACACGGGATATACTTGCTGGAGAACTGCTTGTTAAGATATATTTGCTTGTTTTCTTAGATTCAATGTTGCAACAAGCTCTCATAGAAGATGTTAGTTTTCTAGTTGTTGGCGATCCACTCGCAGCGACAACACATTCTGATCTTATTCTGCGCGCCAGGAAAATGGGAGTCAAGACTCAGGTGAGTTTATCATGGATATTCCTGGGGAAAGTCTGAAATAGTTTAATTTAAACCATTTAGATTCAATTTCGCAGTCAGCCGCACAAACTCCAAGAATTTAATACAAAAGATATTAACAATTAACTTCCGATGAATTGAGTTATATCTGTTTGATTGCCGATGACGTGTTTTACTATGAGTGTACCTGGTTTATTACAGTCTACGAATAAATCATATTACCACTTCAGGTTATTCATAATGCGTCAATCATGAATGCGGTGGGATGTTGTGGTCTGCAACTCTATTCCTTTGGAGAGACCGTTTCCATTGTACTCTGGCAAGACAATTGGAAACCGACTAGTTATTATGATAAGATCGCTTCGAATCGCCGTGCCGGGCTGCATACACTGTGTTTGCTTGGTAAGAACATACGTGCAAATATAAGGAAAAGACTTCGCATCATTTTCAGGTTTAGGTCCTCTAAATTCGTACACTCGTAAATCTACACACTAAATATCACCACAGTATATTAGAAAAATGCATAATTTATATGTGGGAACGTATCGACTGAATTCAGAAGTTTTTTTTTACGTTCAACTTCCGTTTTTGAAAAGGTGGTTTTAAAGAGCAAAGGATCCGAATACCCAAAGTCATGGTTATCCCTAATATTTGCTTGAATCTCATCTATGGCTGCAAAGTAGTATCCGAAAAAAGATGAAAAGCCAGAACTTTTGCCTTATAATAGTGTAAATATTAAGATAGAGACATTTGATTAAATATGTCGGGTGTAGAAGTCCTCGGTAGTCAGCCAACTTGTAACTCGAAAGCTGCCGAAATGTGATTGAACTCTATTACCTGGCCTACTTGTTAGGACCGTATAGCATCTTGGTGCTTGCGTATGGAAACCGATCACACCTCCTGTCGAAAGGGCCGCAGTATTAGTGAAATATCAGATGAAACCATATCGCATAAATCTGAGATTGAGTGCGTTTTGAACGCAACTGTTGTCATTCAGCGTGTATAGAAGTAGGCCGTACCTTTCAAGATGAATACATTATTCTATTTTTAAAATGCAAATACAACGTATTTGTATTCTCTATACTAACTTCACCAAAAAATATCACGTCACAGTTAAAAGAGGTACCGTTTCCCAAGCAAGATTACTATATTACGGGATAATAGTGCTTACAAGTTAAACGTATTTCCAAGAAATTTAATTAATTTTGGTTGAGAGTTCTATTCCATTGTCAATTTTGTTTTATTCCCGGTGGATATACTCGAATGAAGAAAAATTCTATTTTTTAGATTTTATAGGGCGATATATAAGGCTAATACATATATCAGAAGCATGGACTCCAGTATGTTGTGCGGTAACGGTGTGGTCATAAAATGATTTTGGATAAAGTTCGCCGAAGACAACGAATAACCCCACTTCTCGTAAATACTTCTTGGGAAATCGGGCTGCTTCAAATACGTATTAGAAATAAGCATTTTTATAACGTTATAGGCATTATAGGCACATTTCTAGCATTTCTGCACTAATTTTGATGTGAAGGTCGGTGACTGGCTGTAAAATTCTTAGGCTTTTTACTTCATCGAAGAAGCGGAGTGTACATATTCTAAATTACGAACGGCGTAAATGAAATTAGTAATGTACCACCGACTATGGTTTAACGAGTCACATTTGACAGATATAAAAATTAAGGAGCAGTCGTGGGAGAACCTAGCGCGAGCCCGTGACATTTTTGAACCACCGCGCTTTATGAGAGTCTATGAAGCAGCACAACAGCTTATAGATATCCTGGATATCCGCTCAGCCGAAGGCGCCACGGCGGACAGTTTAGGTGAGCTTTTGGTTTAAAACTATGTACAGGTATGCTCGTAGTACAAAATATTTAAAAAACTGTGTGTAATTCCGCGTGGTCAATATGGTACTCTTTATTATTATTATTATTATTATTATTACTAAAGCTAACCTTTAACAACCAGGGCAAAAGGTTCGCTACGTAGCAAGTCTTAGGCATGCATATCGATACATCATTGCCAAGTTTTTCCAATTTGGTTTCGGAAATTAGTCTTCATATTTAATGCCTATTGCAGTATTTTGCGGCCCTCGATTAGATAAGTTCTAAATTATCAGGCCAAAATTATGATTCTAGTTTTGCTGTGTATTTTCTAGAGGGCAGGTTAAAGTTAGCATGCTCATATCATTACGTACTGATTTTTTTACTTTACAACTGGGGCTATCGACTTTTGACATGAGATTAGCTCATAGTGTTACATTCCGTAGAGCCTCATTTTTAAACTCATTCAAATAACCTGTCGATATGACGCAGCCTTAGTGTGCCATTATGTAAAGAGATCACAATAACTCATGGTTTCTGCAATTATTTTAATGTTTCAGCGTATTCAGCTAATAGTTTGGCAGTTGGTTTGGCAAGGGTAGGAACGGATTCTCAACAAATAGCTGCAGGGAGCTTGAGACAATTGGCTGATAGCGAATTGACGTTAGGCAAGCCACTACATTCTCTTGTGTTGCCCTCCGAGAAGCTTCATCCATTGGAATGGGACATGCTTGAGATTTATGCTATTGACGAAAACTGGTTTTCTGAAAACAAGAGCAGATACGTCAAGGACTGACTGTGGGCAGTCAGTGAAGACACTGGAAGACACTAGTGACCTTGACGACAACTACTGCAAGTAGCAGTGGGCCTAATATCATCACGATGACCGTTACATGCTAGTACCTTATTGTAATGCAAAAGGCTGCAATAAATTTTCTGTTACGGTTCTATCAAAATTGTTTTGAATCTCGTATCCCACATGCCGATTGTTTAAAAGACTATTCTATTATTGTGATTTTTTGTAATTAGTATCAGGCCATTAGGAGCCACACCAGGCTCTATCTAAAAACGTATCGACAAATAAAGCTACGCTGGATGTTCTTCATCCGATTCTTTCAAGCAATGGGGTCGGAGGGAAAAACAAATAGAACTTTCGCAGTGCAAAAAAAAATAGAAGTTTTATGTCTTCAGATGTTTCAAGGGTCATGCACTTAAACTGTAATTCGTAAATGTCAAAGGCGTGATATTCTTTTTGGACTTTCAATTTTCTTTGAAGTCTTGGGAAGGTAACTGTGTGTGCGCATATACTTTCAATATGAATACAGTGTTAAAGATAAATATCTTCATATTATGCTGTCTTCGCTATTCGGAGGTATTATTACGCTTTAAAAGAAAAAAGATTATCTGGCGTATCAAAGATTAATTTAAATTTCCTTAATTGCATGATAGATCGTGTCAACAGCTGCTGTCGACGGTGAGTCGTGCTTATCTTGTATGGTATGCATTTAATTTAGGTTTGAATCATAAACACATCGGTATTGATCGTTGGGTTATATTAGTGAGTAGAATACCGTGACGATGCCGTATCAAGTGGAGGGCGATTTTACAGAAAAAAGGCAATTCAGCTTTTATAAAATTAGGCGTCGTTAAATGGTAGGCCCATAAGATTTTCCAATTATTTGAACTTGGCGAGAGGTTGTATATCTTCAGACTATCTCAAAAACGTCTCTTCACAACTTTCATTTTGATTTAAGAAGAAACAACAGCATATCTGGGGAGAATGTGGTTTACGTCAGAATGCAAAAAAAAAATCGATCATGTAATAACAAAAAAAATCATGTAGATTGTTTAATTCACTAATTTTTTTTACAATCTGAACCATTCTAAGCTGTTAACTATTAGTACGGAAAAATCCAAACGCTAGACACGGTTCTTTCCATCTGCTAATTATTAGTTTTTAAGAAAACACGTAACCCATCCCAATTCTAATTCATTGCGTTAAGGTCAGCCTGTACTTCTTATCTTCGATTGAATTTATTCTCCACTAAACTGCACTACACTACACAAGACTACATAGGTTGAATACACCTTGTATAATCGGGAAACATCAAAACGTATAGAACGCTATTTTACATGTCATTTATGAAATGTTTCTCAGATAGGATTAAACATCGTAAATAATCTTAACGCTGTACAACCTTTGCTATAGAGTTCATCTCCTACAACAACCTTTTCTTTTCAAAATTTGACGCTGAAGTATAGACATTTTCATGAACTTTACGGAACTGGTGAAATATACCGCAGGAGATAACGATTCACGTTGCTATGTTTTTACCATTGAAAAGCGTGTGTAGTATTCAAGCGAACTAAGTTTTTTTTTTGTAAATTCAGCACTGATTTAATATAAAAACGTTCTTCTTCTTCTATAAAACTCTTCTTACTATAGTACTATCACCAATTATTACTTCGTCAATCCGAACCCGAAGCGCCCACTGAATGAACATTCGCTTTCAAGTTGTCAAAATACAACTGTACACTTTGTATATAATGTAGATATATACCGTTTTTATAGATAATGTTATTTTAATGTCGAGCAGATTGCAGCAGATGCAGCAAAAAAGATTGTCGAGCAGATGTAAAAATGTAATTTAAAAGTCACTGTGTGAATATGACAATGATAGCTCATTGATTGTTCATTATATAACGCTAACTGGACGGGAAGAAAAATATTTGTGTTACGAATTTTATCAAAATTTTTTTAGACTTACCTGTAAAAAAATTATAATTTTTCGTTATGTTATTCAAGTTCGTTACCTGCATTAAATAACTTGGGCTAGTAATCTAATGCTGATTTCATTTATACAGAATAGTTTTAAAACAATATTGGGACTTTTTTTATCGAAACGTTTATTTTCACAATTCGGGCCGTTTGACCGTCCTTCGATATTCGCCTTAATACAATTATCGGTATTATGACAAACGAGGTACATACGTTTCTATTTTATTTTATACAAATGACATAATTATTGTGCTTCGGCTATAAGCGGTGTCAGTGTATATACAAATTCTATGATCAATCTTACGACACATCTTCAACTTCCCAGTTAGTAAATCATGCGTAACCATGATCCTCCATATACTTCGATGATATTTGTCTGCCGGTAAAAAAAATCTGAGACTAGGTTTTATCTTGTCAATGTTAATCTTGTACGGGAGGCTTTCTAAAAACATTCTGCAACACCGTCCTGCACGCAAGAAAACTAGAGACTGACTATTCTGTTATCGTTATTATACTCGAACGATGGTTTCAACGAGTAACTAGTTGTATTGGCTTACTAGTATAACCTACTGACGAGCGATTATTCAACTCGTGCAGGTTAGTCGAACTCTTGTGAGGCCTTTGTACCATTTCGGCCGGGTTTCTCGCTAGTTCTCTTCGGAAGAAGGACGGCGTTGATATTAGGCAGGACGCCTCCCTGAGCGATCGTCACTCCGGAAAGGAGTTTATTTAGTTCTTCATCGTTACGAATTGCCAGCTGGATGTGGCGAGGGATAATGCGGGTCTTCTTGTTGTCACGAGCCGCATTGCCGGCTAACTCGAGCACCTCGGCGGCTAGGTATTCAAGGACGGCCGCCAAATAGACAGGTGCGCCAGCACCAACACGCTCAGCGTAATTTCCCTTACGTAAGAGACGGTGCAAACGACCAACAGGAAATTGAAGTCCCGCCCTAAAAGACGGCAACACATATTATTGCCATCGATGTTTACATACAGAACCATGATTCTCATGCATTAACGTGTTTACCCAGAAATTAACATCTTTATTATTATTATTATTTATTTCTTTATCTTGAAAAAAAATTAAAAATTCCACATTCCATACGTGTTTCTTAATATACAGCTTAATCATTAAGTAAAATCACTGCAGTAAATAATAGAATCTATAGTTTGACACAACACTGATGGACCGTTGGAGCTTTGTATTTTTCATCACTTCTCAACTTCTACTACAGACTCCCATAGCGTCTGCGATAATACATTGGAAACATTTTTGAATTAACACTGCAGAGGCAAAGGTAAATACAACAAAATAGTTGGCGCCAAATCAGTCTAACAGCGCTTGCCGCTAACTCGCACCTGTGATCCACAACAATTATAAACTTGTCTGTAGATTCCTGAAGTCAATAAAAGGGTTGCCATCTTATTAACGAGTTGAACTGACCTTTGGGATCGCGACTTTCCCTTGGTCTTCGCTTTTCCTCCCTTTCCGCGACCCGACATGACTTGGCAAAGATTTTCTTTCGAAAAATCGATAGAACACACAACACCCAGCACCGCTCAACGTGCGTCTCAGAGTGAAAATAGCGCGCACTGGTCGTCAATTTAAGGGCCGTCGGCTAGCTGGTATTGGCGGCCAACAGTCGCCTGGGAGAGGGTTACAATTTTACTTGAACCAGGATTAAGGTATTCCCCATAACCGTCTTGCTTATCTTACGTCTTCCATCGATGTTTATTGGTTTCAATTTACAAATGACATTGATCGCTTCATACTTTCATCGCTATACGTCCAGATTTCAATAAAGTTCCTAAAGCTTCGGCCTGGATCGCTCGATTGTAGCGCCGCCATATCTCATGCAAAAAGCTTGTGTCGCACCAAAATAGTTTCTTCTAATTTGAACTACATCTAAATGATGCTTGAGTTCAAATATCACAGCCTCATGTCACTAACGAAACTGAATAGAACGTCGCTAACATGTCGACATTGTTTTTCGCTAAGTTAATTTGATGAATTAACCACGTTCAATGGGGCCAACTTTAGGAAGGGGCGGGACTTGCAACTGTCAGAATCTGCCACGCTCTACCAAATAAAAGACGCTGGCAAGAGATATACTCGACTGCAAAGCTCATAGGTTGATGTGTTGCTTGTGGTTTGTTAGTTCGTAACAAGTTCTTAGCGGTGAGTTGCATATTTCCGCTCAATAACTTATTGCACTACTTTCCAAATACCGTATGTCATTAAGTTTCTTCGCCAGATCTCGATGTAGACTATCTATAGAATATCGATATTCTTATACTGGATGTTTGGAATGTTGAAATATGCAGCTTTTAAGAGTGCATTATATCAGAGGACTTACGCCATGATTAGATTTTGATTGATGGATTATATTTCGTATATAAGAGTCTTGCTTTTATCTTATCAGAAACAGGGAAGCAAGGCTTTTCATTATCTAAGCCGATGCATGGGTTAATGCAGTTGAAGTACACTTAAATAACTCGTTGGTCCCGAATTTATATTGTGATTCCGCATGTTGTATTTACAGAAAAAAACGTCGCAATGCCGCCGTCTGGAAAGACAGTTAGGAAAGTCGAGAAAGTATTGAAAAACGGTAGGGCATTAGATAACAAAAGGAAACGACGTAGAAGAAAGGAGTCGTTTGCTATCTACATCTACAAGGTCCTGAAACAGGTGCATCCTGACACGGGTATCTCTTCAAAAGCGATGTCTATTATGAACGCGTTTGTCAATGACGTATTCGAACGCATCGCCGGAGAAGCTTCTCGATTATCGCACTACAATAAACGGTAAGACCCACTATATATATTATGAGCTGATTAAGGCTGCGCCCCATGGGTCTTATATAGATTATATATGCATATTTGATAATATTTCCAGACTCTAGTCATAGGCCGAAATGTGTGCGTTGCATATAATATAGGGAATTTCTCGCATGTATTTTTAAGAACATTGCTCCTGCTATAAATCCTATTCGTTCATTGTTTTTAGAAAACTTAATTGAGAGAATTCCTCATAAGCTTTCTGTCGGAAGTGGCTTATTTGTTTTAGGAGAAGTGATTTTATGTAGTGAGACGCAATGTAACTGAGGTGAATTTAAATTGCTCCAATGTTCCCGGTTAGCTCCACGATTACATCCCGTGAAGTCCAGACTGCGATACGCCTTCTGCTGCCGGGAGAACTGTCAAAGCACGCAGTATCCGAAGGGACGAAAGCTGTGACAAAGTACACATCAACGAAATAGAAAAAACGGCGAATGGAAGCTAACTGAGAATTTAGCGTATAGCAGCACCAGCAGCATTAGAACCAAAAATTAAAGTTGTTTCTTGATCAGGAGATTTTGTTGTCACCGGAAACGGAATGACGATTGTTTATGTATTTCGCGGGTTGCGAAACAACAGGATCATAGTTAGCTTTTCAGAGACGTTCATCAAACGCTCCAGTAAAAGCCCGGATACTTGTCGCAGAGGTTTGCTTGAACAGAATAAGGACCGTACACTTAGTTTTTCAATAAATATTTTTTAAAATAGGCAACTACTTGCCTCATCTACACGTGTGACCTTACTTACAATTAAAGTAGATTTGCATAACAATTAGACGAAGGACATACGATGTTGGTACACTGTGAATAAAAAGAAGTGATAAAGTAATAGTGATAACTTTGCGACTTGCAGTCTTTGCTTAATATAAACATGATTATTGCTATTATCAAGCACGACATGCTAAGCACTGAACATTTGCACTGTGACATGGAACAAAAGTTTCGCAGTAATGTCCTTAGATTATGAAAGCACTCCAGGCCATGGGTCGATTAAGGATCAAGGATACCGCGTCATATTTATCATTACATAATCTGAAATTCAATATAATAAAGTTCTATCAGGTACTTAGCCCGGAAAGAACTAGGTACTATATTTTTTTGGGTGCAGAAAACACCCAGCCAGATAAAACAGTACTTTGATTTAGCATGAGCTATAACCTTTAAAGTTAAGATTTCCATTTATGTTGGAACCTCTAGAAAAACCATGAAAAGTTTGCTCACTAAATATTTGTCGAAATTTACCTATAAGTATATACCGCTTCTTGCGAAGCGGAATCAAATCAAATCAAACCTCGAACAGTATTCTTGAATCAACTGCTTTGTTCAGTCAAATCTTAGGAAAATTTCGGCACTATCTTGAAATAACTGTCGTAAAATTCTATTGTCAAGGATCGTTAGCGTATTCGGTAGCTAATACTTTGCCAGTTTGGGAAACTCGGGTAACAATTTCAGAAACCTTCGTGTTTTAATTGTTGCTATTTTTCACAAAGGGCATCCAGGAAAAAAAAATTATTTTATATAATTGGTTGTGGTTGGTTTGCGCTCTTAGGCTAGCTATATATATTCTTTTTTATATTCTGATTCACATACATTAGCGCGGATGATATTATTTAAGAAGGTTTTACACCTTTAACATGGTACCTTGTCATGAAGCTTTTTACGTTGTGCTACAGATATAACCGTCAGAGTTCACAATACATTCATCATTCGCAATAAATATATTCGCATATTCGTTGTTATTTAATATACAACTACCCGCTTTTTCTATTCGGATACTCTTTAATCGAGGCAGCGATGCAAAATCAACATTTTTCCGCGATTCACCGCCATACGGTATTCGCCAACTATCCCGGAGCTACATTTACCTAAAACTAAAACGTCAACAGTCGATGTGTACACATTGGGAATCTGTGATGCAAAGCGAGACTATAACTGATTGAAGGTTGAGGCTCTAACCAATAGTGTGCCCTATACGAAATAAGTTATAAAAATCCGTATATATCTGTTAACATAGGGCTTTACAGCTGATCTTTTCGTAGATACAGGAGTTGTATCACTTGTCACCGTGTTGTTAAATTGGGTGGCAGATCAGCAACAGCTATGGATTATAAAGAAGAACAGGCCCAGGAGTTAGAAGCCTTGCAGTCTATCTACCCCAATGAGCTTACAGGTCTGTATTGCATACTGTCAGAAAAGCAAACACATGTGAATACGTTTAATACTGCCGGTTAAATATTACTAAACCCACTAAGCCTCAGTTCATACTAATATAAACATCCAAAACCGCGCAGCCTGGTCTCTTCGTGAAACCGGCAAACATCTGTTAAGCTATTATGGCACTTGAATGCCTTGCACTGCAAGATATTTTTAAAGTGAATGGAAGAAATGACTCACATTCTGAGTGGCACTTCGGGTTGTTTGTAGGTAGAGCAGAGAGTAAACCAGCAATCCGCACTGTGTGCCATATGTATTATACCCGACCCCTTTGATTATAGTTAGCCGGACGGACCTACGTAAATTTTAACTGAGTAATTTATAATAGTAGCAGTGGTAATTGATAAGCATGGTGTCGCATCACATTTTATATAACTTAATGGTAGTATTACACGTTTCCATTAAAAAGTCATCGAAAAGGAACCTCGCCTCATTCTCGAGATAGAAGTGTGCGTGGAGGACGACGACAACAGAGAAAAGACATCAGAATGCCTAATACGATTCACTCTTCCCAAGGAATATCCAGAAGAAATCCCAGAGATCGAAACCGATAGTGAGGTTCTACTTGAAGGACTGCAGGACGGTAAGTTACGTTTGCTCCGTGTTTCGTTTTTCATAAATATAAATACCAAGTTATTAAGTTATATTTGGCTGATATATTGGTGAAATGCATTAAATACTCATTCGTCCGACTCTATTTGTGTGCTACGGCCAAAGCCGTGAAATGAGGGCACTTAACCTTGCCTTATTTATATGCCTCCGGCTTTGCACCGTTTTCTTTCGCTACTTCGGAAAAACCGTATAAGGAAGGCGTCCACAAAAAGTTTCACGCGAAATTCTAGATTCGAATCTATATTATTTTCTTTATAATGAACGACTCTTCCAAAGAAGGCAACCAACTATAATTCGCTGGCCATAAACTTGTGTAGAACACTCTGCTTACTCTCTGTCAGACGACGTTAAGGCAAGACATTGTTTCGTCGCAAAATTGATCTAACGAAATTGTTTTTTTCTGGTTTTTAGAAGCAAAGACGTGGGTTGGTAGCGTTATGATATTCATGCTAGTGAACTTTGCTCAGGACCATCTTCGTAAAGAAATGGAAGAAGAAAAACTAAAAATGAAGCGCCTTAAAGAAATTGAGGAAGAGGAACTAAAGAAGAAACTTGAAGGTAGTGGATCAGGTTTCTCAGTGATTTTTTTATTATCTATATGGTCATTAATGAAAAATAATATTTTCGATTAGAAAGTCAAACTAGGTCGTTCAAGCTGTTAATAAGTCTTACATGCAAAGGGTTTATTACAAGAAAAAAATAACCTGTTCAATATTAACTACCGAAACAGCGCAGTTTGATGCAGGTGGAAAAATTAGAAAATAGGTATTTTCTCAGACTTAGTTGGCGGCCAGGAGACCCCACGTCATCTATATGGGCGCGTCAAGTGGTCACAATTGCTGTATATTTGATTACAGGCACTAAGGTGACCGTTGAATCCTTTACACGGTGGAAAGAGCAGTTTGATGCAGAACTTGCTGCGCTTAACTTAAGGGATGATCTAACAAAAGGTCGTTTGACAGGAAAGCAGATGTTCCTAAGGGATAAGGCACTAGCCGAGAGTGACCTCAAGTTTGAAGGTTTTGGGGAAGATGTGGATGTCGATGAATCGCTGTTTCAGGAAGATGAGCTGGCTGACCTTGATGCATAACTTATCTCTGCATCATCGTATACATTTAGGCGATAAAGAATGTATAGGCCTAGTTTTTCACAAGCCCATATGTATATCCATGTTACGTTTTAGGTGGAAAGTGGGTTATTGTTAGGGGGTTACACTAATTGTATTTTGATACGTTTGAGGTTGACTGTGAAAATAAATGAATGGTTGAAATTAAAGCTAGTTAGTTATGTTGTGCAGTTTCTAAATGAGCAGTGCATAAGTGCGGTGATCAATGCAACAAACATCTAGAATTAAAGCGTGATAAAATAATGTACTTATAGTGGTACTACCGTTTACGCGAGTTATAGTCTAGTAGCATACAATAAATACTATTTGTTAAATTTTAGGTAAAATTAAATCCAATGCGTTCGAAGTATGTCGAGATTTCAGTTGAATCTCTAGAATAGGAAGGAAAACTGAATTTTTACCAGACTTTACGAACGAAAACTGAATTTTTACCAGACTTTAGGAACCAAAACTGAATTTTCACTAGACTTCCGATTAATTATTTTTATCCTGTTAAAGGCAAGTAATTTATAGAACCCTAGCAACAAGGCACCTAAGTTATAAAATTGATAGTTAACATTATATTTGAATATAAGGAAAGAGCTGACTACTAAATTTGTTTTCGCTAAACTCGCTTCGAAGTGTTAAAAATGAGCGTTGGTATGACGAACGCGCATAAGGAATAAAATAAACAAGAAGTGCGAGCTTTAGTATAGAGATACTTTATTTTCCAAGCTTGTTCCACTCTCCATAACTCAAATATGACTATGTAAGTACAGAAAAGTGTTAACAACGCCCTATGGTCAAATTCGATACCGTAGACTTCGACAACATTTAATTAACCCGATTTCCGTTAAGCGTCCAATACATGGTCGCACAGTTTTTCCGACCTAATGCCGCTAGATGTGTTTCTTTAATATTTGAAAGTGTTGTATAGGTACAAAACGAACTCTTCAACAATTGGTGAATCAAAGTAGAGAATGAATAACCTATTTGCTAAACTACACCATCATTTGATTAAAAAAATTGTTAAAAATTGTCCGATAGATGCCTTAACAAGGCTATATTCTTACGTGAAAAAAAAAAATATTAAAATACTATATGACAAAAGCCCAACCCACTTTAGGTACTGGTTCCCCTGATAAGTTCGTTTCTTCAGTCTTGTCATTTTGTGGATTACAAACATTTTCGAACCATATTACACTGCTCTAGTGGCATCAAATTAACAAGATGATCTTCTTGAAATGAGAGTCAGCATGTCGCGGTCACCTGGAAAACGTTAATCATGGTTTATTGTCAATTATCCCTTAACTGCATCACCAATCATGATCAAACGCAACCGAAACTGATCTTGATTACCTTTTAGAAGCTGATTGGAAGCTAAGACAGACATCTTCAAGTAATAATAGGCCTCTTTGCGCATGTACCATTATCGCGATCGTAAAAATGGTTACAACTCTTCTGAGTTATAACTTTTATTATCGTTAAAACAAAGGAGCTTTTTTTTGAATTATAAGTTAAATAACTCCCGATGGGTCATACAGGCAGCATATTTCATCGTTTCAAACTTAAGCCTGCAATTAAGCTGTGCAATCATAGCTCAGACTCAGGAAGCGCAACGTTAACGTTTAATAGCCGCAATTTCATTGTCAGAGTGTAAACAAATCATGCGTCACCTAGAACTCTTTTCTCAAAAACAAGCCAAATCAGACACAAAAAAGACACCAACTTATCTGGGGACCTAATAATTTTCGTGTAACTCACGTCCGCACCTATGTCAATCAATCATTTAACGGTTGACGTATTTGTCTTCGACTCAATGCAGACAAAAAATATCATTAAAAAAAGCCTTCCCTTTTGTTATTTGGTCATATAGGATTGACCTTATAGTTTATATTATAGGCCTCTTATTTACTAATAGACTGCTTTGCTTTGCCAAAAATTATTTTGTACGGAGTGTAATAAACCTGTTTTAGTTTACACAAATTGTGTATAATTGCTACATGTTATAGCGCGTCCAACCGGCTATGCTTAATATCAAATAGTAAGTTGTTAAATCAATCAAAAATCATCAAGCATTGATTCAATGTAAAAGTGAAGTACTTGTATATGTGTAAAACACTAAAATTGTATGCAAAATACACATTGCAAAGAAACCGGGTTTCGCGATTGTGAATTTTCGCGCCATAATGTTTAAAGCGATTATTATAACGATGATTTTGTTGACAAACATTCAAAAAACACGTGCGTACCGCGTTAGTTCAAGAAGTTGTTGGTCGAATCATTATAGACATTGTTAAATTGCTACCGATTGCATAGCCCTATGAAAATGAATGTTCTACAGGAGACTTTGGAAAAGAATGTGAGCGACTTTATGGCAGATCACTCAGAGATAGAGTGTGCAAAAGCAGTAGTGAACGGATTAAAATCGAAAACAGATCAACAGCTGATTCCACTCATCGTCCAAACCAATAAGGTTTGTCACATTACATAAAACTAGCGAAATATTTCTTTCTAATAATGCATCTAGTGTTTATGAAATCTGCAGCGTATCTGCAGGTTGGTTAAACATGGATGTATTATGTCAACAAAGGCATTCTTCCATTTTACCTGTGCTAAACAAAAGTCTACTGAAGATCTATATTCTAGATCATAATTTCGCTTGAAATAGATTGTGAACTTTTAGGTTTGCTGTTACTGAATAGATCGTTATGAAAATATGTTTAATTAAAACATTTGTTTGTATTATATATCATACGCAGCGTCCCAAAGGCTTGCATTCTTTTTCGAACTTCTTGCGGATTGAATCGTGTTTTTGTTCTCTTCATCTGAAGCACAAACAGTGGGATAAAGCGCTACACATAGACATTTTGGCAAGGGCACGCTTAATAACACCTTCTTGTCTGTTTACCGTTTGGGTTCACGATAAACAAATTATGTTTAGGAGAATATCCGAGATAGAGTTCGTAAGCAGCTTACGCTAGTACACATGAAAAGTAGTATTCTTTAGTAATAGGTTTATTTCTAAAACTGGTTGATATTTCACAGTTTGACAGAGGCCTGGACTAACAGTTATCTTGATGATAGATTTTCAGCCAAGTGTTTTTATCGGAACAGAATTTCTTCAGTCCCACCTTTGAAGCACCTCTGAAAACTGTGTTCGCTGCGGCATGGGCAAATCTCCTAGATATCTTAGCGGAATCAAGGATCTCTGCGGATCTGGCCCTACAAACACTACTGAAATGGCTAGAGATCGAAACAATCAAGGGATCGAACGACGAATTATATGTATTTCCAGAGTGCCATCTAGAAAATCTTCTCGTTGTGCTGTGCGGAGGGAATGCAAATATGAGCCGGTATACCGACAAGCTCGTAAATAAGATGCAAGCATTTGATGATCTCAATTACTATGTTTGTAAGGCCTTATCGCGAATAAGCGAGAAGTTCGCTAAGCCAACCACTGATCAAGCCATCTGGAATTACTTCGGTATTATCAAAGCTGTTCGAGTAAGAAACAAAGTTTCTGGCGACAAGGTTTTACCTGCATTTGGTGGCTTGGAAAATTTTCCTTTCGATTACAAAAAGTTGCAGACATATTACCAGTATGCATGGATCAATTTTCTGCGTGCCTCATTACCAGAAAAGATGTACATACACGTTTTAGTTTTGTTAGACGACAAAAAAGTGTCGCTTTTTAAAAATCCTTGCCTTTTGGCTGATTTCCTAATTGAGAGCTATAACAAGGGTGGAGCTGTGGCTCTTCTCGCTTTAAATGGACTCTTTACACTTATTCACAAATATAACCTTGAGCTCCCCGACTTCTATTCTCGTCTGTATGCCCTGTTCAGGGCTGAAGTTTTCTACACAAAGTACCGCGCAAGATTTTTCTTCTTAGCTGATGTGTTTCTTACGTCAACTCATCTTCCCGCCTATCTCGTTGCTGCTTTCGCTAAAAAGATGTCTCGTCTTTGCCTCACAGCCCCGGCCTACTCGCAGATGCACGTTATCCCGTTTATTGGTAAGTTACGAATAAGTCACATGATGCAACGCGTCTACACTCGTGGAATTTGCAAATATCCAATTAATCAGCATACAAACAAACGAATACATTTAATTCATTTACATATGCTTTTTTTAGGAAACTTGATTATAAGACATGCCACGCTTGGAAGAATGGTTCACTGCGAAGATGTCAAGGATTTGAGCATGGATCCGTTTATTGAAACTGAGACCGATCCTGCTAAGTCGCGCGCGCTGGAAAGCTCTCTTTGGGAACTCAAAACTCTACAGTCTCATTGGTTCCACCGTGCGGCTGCAAAGGCCCGTATTATCGATAATCCATTTCCAAAGTAAGCTTTACATATTTTTTAAACCTTTTTTATAGCGGCTTTGCTTTTGAATCTAGCTCCTTTTCTGCCAGATATGAAGCCAGCGTTTAGTGAGTTTTTTTTGGTTACGTTAACCTGAGCTACGTACTTCTTAAACAATAGGTGTGCTTCGTAAAAGCCAGTAGTTAATATTTCTATGCATCATTTTTCATATAGAAATCAACCGGAATAAGAATATTGCCTAAAAGTAAAACAAAATGTTTGTTTAATTATTAGTTGGAGGTGGAGTCTTTCAAAATTTTGCATTCTAATGTAAATGTCGTTAATGATTTCCTACTGCGTTTCGAATTTTTCGAACTCTGCTTCCAGTAGAGAGTTTATATTTAGTTCACCTGCTGAAGCTTGTTAACATTAAACTTTCATTCATTAGCTAAATGTTTTTTTACCTTACAAGTAGTCACTGGAAATTATAAATGACAAACAGATTAGGACCTCGCTTGCAGAAGTTTAATAGAATTGTCCTGATTAATAAAATTTTAGCAGAAGCCGCCATACCATGTTTTAGAACAGAAGCAGCTTTATTATTTTATTACGAATCTTTTAAAGCAAAATCTGATATTCTATAAATTTGCTAGGAATGAAAAAAACCAACGAGTAAACTAGTTTTACTACCTTTTAGAATCGAATGGGACCTCTCTGATGTGTTGGAAGCAGATTACCCGCAGCTATTTGAACAGGCTGTCAAGGAGAAGTACAAGGGGGTTGTTCCCATTAATTATCATAAACCAAAAGGCCTTCTTCAGCATGCTGACGATCGGATGTCCACTACATGGATTCTTGAATAAGAAAAGCATTTTTTAACGTTTAAAGAACGATATCCTCTGTAAGTTGTGTAGAAAAGCACTCTAATGGTACAAGCACTGGTATAACTGATATATATATATATAAATATGTATAAATTAATAGGTCACTTAGTCTCATGTGACCTACTAATAAACATCTTGTCATGGTGATGCTTTCTCATTCCACAGACTTTGTTGAATACATAGTAGTGTGTAAGAAATAAAAAAAATAAAATAAAAAAGACACGCACGTTGTTTTGGGTTTTTATTTAGACACTGCGTAGTTTTACTAGTCACAAAATGATTAGATAAAACAAAATGATTTGATAGATGTTGAAGATAAGAAGCAGCAGCAAACCTGGGCAGGAATGATTTACGGCGATTTCCGGTACCCACTGGGATCCATAGTGAGGGACATTATGCTGAATATTAGAAATTGGCCGGAGAGACCTGCAGATGCTGACTTATTTTCTCACGTAGATTCTTACATGTCACGATCATTTTCGAGCCATTTTTACCAAATCGAAAAGACTCCTTTGAATGTCTGCCTGTCGTGGCTAGGGGCAGAGGGCCGTCACACGTCAGCTCAGCGCAGGGCGTCGGCCTATATCTGTTTAATGTACATAAATGAGTTCGTTTTACGAAAAAAAATCACTCACCTACGTCCCTGTATTTTGCTTTCGAATTTTAGCGTTTTCGGACGTTTACACACTATATTTATAGTACATGCTAAGTGATTTACAAGCACTTTGCTACTACTAGGATAATTTAACTAGTACAGATCTCGTTTTTCGTACATACTATTTTTATTGAGTGGTTGTTACAAAATGACTGATCTTAAAATAGTTGTAGTGATCAGAAAATATACATAGGGGAGAGTAGGGCTATACAGGACATGGACTATTAGCCACTTTGCTTTTTCTAACCAGGAAATACTGATTTGAAACTCTAATTCTATTTAAGTTTTGGACTTTCTAAGATGCGTAGAAGTCTGATCTTAGATGCAATTAACGTCAATGGATTTTTTTCTCTGACCAAATTTGAAGCAGCAATGTGAGACAGCCAAGTATTTTTTCATATTTGGTAGAACCTTCGTTGAACAATAAAGAAACAAAATAACCATTTCTAAGTTTTGCCTGCCTCAAAGCTACATTTTCAATGCCCAACTTTGCGTAGGTTACGTTTCATAAGAGTTACTAATAATTAATTATAATTATTACATGATTACCCTGAGGTCCCCCAAATTGAGCAAAAGCTATATGGGCCAGTATTATTTCGAGCTTACATAAAACAAAATGTCATCGATTGCTTATAATATAGGGAAAGAATAAAGTTGCTCTTCAATAAAACTTACCATGGGTCCATATATATGTATATATATATATGCTATATTGAACTCACTTATCATATTTTCGTTATTGTGTGCCGCACTTCTACGGTTGTGTTTCTATAGAAATTGTACCGTTCGTAGTTCTATGAAACACCGTCGCAGAGAAGTGCTATCGTCGATATGGCTCCAACTTTCTGTTGATCAGCTGTAAATTCCAAGCATAAGACGACTATTTACGATTCTCATTTCTCGAAAGGTCCGAGGACCATGCATCTTAATTTTCTACTGACGTGCTTGTAATTTCGACTTCATTTGGCAAATTCTTTTAACGCCCCAGTGAAACTATCGTGGATTTATAGCGCATTGTCAAGATCGCACAATATTATGTACAGACGAACCATACTCTTAAAGATATCATGTTTCTAAATGATTATCGGACCGCTGTCTTGTTGATCAGCGCTCGATGCTATGCATTAGATGATCATTTAAAACAACCTGTTCTAATACTCTTTATCGTCATTGCCCACACGCGAGCGAGCAAGATTAAACTTGTTGTTCTGTTCTGTGAAAGGTTTGTACAGGGTTAGCTGCTAGTGGACTCAAAATTTAAAAATTGCGCGCACATACGAAAAAAGGCATCTAAAGATAGAACATTCCTAAAATGTGCAAAAGCAGCGGTTAGAGGCTTTCCCGTTGAAAAAGCAGCTTGTGAATCTGGAATGGGCAAAACCAACGTCGCAAAATTGTAGCTGCTAGCACTTTAAGGGTCCTTGTTTTAACGTCCATTGCGATTCTTTATTTTGATGCATTTCAAGAGACTAGATTAACAGCAGCTTGCGAATTCGCTCTTTCCTGTAGAGGCCATGTCTGCTAATTATAGATAAGTAAGAGACCAAAAAAAGGCCTTAAAGCTCGTTCGCTTCAACTGTCTCACAGGATCAATTGCACTCAACTAAGCCATCCTGCCGGTTGCTGCTCATTTGTATATCGATATCTGGTTTCTTTACGGAAACAATTAAATATTTAGGAAATGTTCAACTAACAAGACTATAGGAGCGGTATTTGACCGCTCCAATCACTGTAAGTGTCTTCTTTGCGTAGAATTATTATTATTTGGGTCCACCAAGTTATTTTGGGTCAACGATATAGATTTCTACATTGATTGTTTCCTGAAAACTAAGAATTTATTGGTTCTCAGTTTTCCTTGAGGGGTCTTTGGCGAACATACTGGCATAATTTCATTTTCTTTCATGGCATGGTTTTCTCAACGGTAACATTTAGTAAATCTTGGTCTATATATAACCATCCTTCTCTATGCGAAAATATTTAAATATCATGTTTAACAGTTAATACACTTATTTTTAGTCATGTTTAGTTAGGTTATCTAACATGAAAAATCAAATCAACACTACTATAAAGACAAAAAGTGTCCTTTATTTTCATCTTTGCATATCACTCGCGCATTGGCGTCCGACTTCCTCGTTATTATCACTTACAAGCATCACTGTCTAAATTTGTGTGACATTCCATTCAGCTTTTATGCTACATTTCAGTAGATTACAGCCCTTGTAAATGCTTTAGTTAAGGATACAGTAACACGGAGGCTGTTACAATGGCGTTCATGTTAAATGCATCCTTTTTTATACCTTTCTTCTTCGACCCCTTCGAAGGATTCCGGTAATTAATGTCTCTGATAAGGCACGCGGTGGTTGAATCTACGTTCAGTCTACGGTATATTACACATATGGCAGGTGACGGGGTACTTAATATTTAAAATGACCTATATAAACGAATAGTCATCGTGAATGTGAAAAATATACGATTCTATTATACTTAATAAATATTAAGCACCTTGTCACGGAAAGACTTATTACCCTCGACGAAATGTCTGCTGATCCCCATCTATTATTATACTGTTACCTTATTTTTATTGTTATTGTTACTGTTAAGTATTTGTTTCGGAATATTCACAAAACAAAAACAAGAGAACAAAACGATTCTCGAACCTCGCATAAGTATGTCCAAATCCTAAACTAGCTACCATCTATGTACATACTTATACCTAAAACGCTCTTCAGAGCAATCTGATTGCATTTATTCTGTATTTTCTAATCAATAAACTCAGTTGGAACAGTATTTACCTAAATATAAGATACTTTTTTTCTACCATGACGAAGAGCGGGGCAGGTCACTAGCCGATTAACTCTCCAATGAAGAATTAATTTTTCATTAAAAGGCAATTATTCTGACCTTTACTTGTTAATAAATATGACTCCGCCTTACTGTCGCGTTAAACTAGAAAAGACGCTTTTGTACCTTGTTAACAATACTTTTAAATTGACTCTTACATTTCGAGGGAAAATACGCAATTTTAGAGGCTATAACTTTGATAGATAACAGCGCTAGCACAACTAATGCACACGACTTCTACCGGAACCATCACTTCTTTTCTTATGTATTACATTTAGTTTGGTAATTCATAGATTACGAAGCCAAATCAATGACTTCCTCTATATAATTTGCACTAGTTGCAAATTATATTGAATAAAAATGTGAAATTTTATTCGAAAGCGACACCCATTGTCAAGGCCCAGTAAAAATTTTCAGTTGCCGAAATTCGAAATGTAAAATATGGGTCCACGAAAAGAAAGGAGATTTACCTGTACTTTTCCTATTTTATATAGTTTCTTTTATGTGTGACAAAAGGAGTTTTGTACCATTGAAAAGACGAATCTAATTTGTAGATGAATTCCTAGAGTTCATTGACCAGGCTCCATATATTCAACCGCACATTTAGTGTTGGCCGTGCTTGTAAGGCGATGAAGTGGAAAAATGTCTTCTAGGTACCCAAGGGACTAAGTAGATACGTCGTGTGAACAAACAACGAGTGGGAAACGGGAAAAACAGTCCGCCGAATAAACTTCATTGCAGCGAGCAACTTGTAGTTCCACATTTCAAAATAGAAACATCGTTCTTATGTTCTTGACTTAGCTGTATTTCGACCGAGAGACCTGTAATTGTCAAAGTATAAAAAACATACATTTTCCCACATCTCGGCTGTGTTCACTACCTATCTTAGTATTTATAAAGGTAACCAAAAACAGTTACTTAAGAGATTAGAAGGAGAAAACCATACTCTACAATTACTAGTGCTATGGCATGATAGATAGGAGTGCAAGTAATACTGTAGTAACGTGCTACCTGCTAAACCGCCGAATGTTGCGCACATCTATAGTACAACCGGTGAATTTAAGTCGGAGTTGAATCACTTTCTCACCTGACTCGTGCATAGCCGCCCTTTTGAATATGGAATGAAAGAAATCGAACCCATTCCTGTTGGATACTCTCGTTTTCAGCAAGACATAGCAGATCGCGTGCCTGACATTTCGAAGGCACCGAACGAACCTGCGAAAAAATAATTCAGAAATTTTTACTGGGCACAAATTATAGAACCATGTTGAAGATCGAATTAGTAAGTAGAACAGTAAATATGATTACAGCAAGGAGCATAAATTACTTTGCATGGTGGAAGATTGTTGCCAGCACTCTCTTTACTACTTTCGTCCTTGTCCTTGAGCTCGTCTTTGATATGCTCCTTGTGAATTTTAACTCGACAGAGACGGCATTCAAGAGCAGGTGTCATCGACCAAAGATTTTTCTGGCAGATGTCACAAGCGGTTGGTATGTAGAATGTGATTGGGACCATCTGGTGCGAGCGATATTCTGTTACCGACTGTGACAACTGTAAATAGATGCGAAAAAATGCAGTATAAAATGTCTCGTATTTGAATACTCCGTCCCATCAGATAACGGCCGTGGATATCATGTAAATATTTGATTTTAATGCCTAGGAAAGTGTATGTACAACATTTAACGAACTTGAATTACAAAGCAACATATTATTTAATCGTATCGGGTATTATTTTTTTCAACGTATTTTGATAATTCGCATTACTAAGGTAAGACGTTGATGTAGGCGTCCTCGACAATGATTTTTAGGAAGGCCCTTACCTCTGCTTCTTTGCGATTCTCTCGTTCATCGGCATATAGAAGTTGAAAGATTTTGGGAATGTCGCCAGAATTTGCTCGAATGACATCACCCTGAGTTACAGGTCGCACATGAAAGAGGCGGCTGATGTCTAGAGATAAAGTTGGCTCTGCTGTGCTTTGATCATGTTCATGATTGAAGAAAAACACTTTTTGATTCATTACTACAACAAACTGCCGTTTCCAGCCATAACGCTTAATGTTTTGTTTGTTCGGGATTGATAGCCAACCTTCCTTGCGGGCTGAAACGCATATAGTATAAGGAATATACTGTAAGTTCTTCTTCTAAATTCATTTAGTAACCACTTCAATTATTGTCTAGTAAACAACATTAAAATGGTTGAATGTATATTACGTAATTTGTTAACATGTTCAAAATCAATCTCTATATATAATAGATTAGACTGCTTTTACTAGTGTTTGCAAGTCGAGCAAGCTATCACTGCTATTCTTTGAAGACAGAACTCACCTGTTTTTTTCGTTTCTGGTTTTGTAACAGGTTCTTATATAATTACAAAATATTATATTACAATTAATTGGTCGGCAAAGTGATGACTACGTAATATATCACAATATATTTTGGGTTTGTGCTGCACACTACTAACATAAAATTCGAGGAAGGAGTCTTACCTAGTTCTTCATCATTAAGAAGATCAGTTAGGCTGTTTAGACTACCAGGATTCTGCAAGCCTGCTCGATTCTCCAGTTGTCGTCGTAAGTCATCCAATTCGCGATCTTTTTGCTCCACTAAATCCTTCATCGTTTGTATCACCTTCTCTTCCTTTTCTCGGCTCATTTCCATCTCGAACTTCATTTGATCGTATTGCGCGGTCTATAAAACACAAGTTGCAATATATATTAAGACTGAACTAAGCAAATGACGAAAAGAGCTTGCACAGATATATGCTGTTAAAGCTTAACATGTTATAGACGCCACCAACTTTTAAAGTTAGTACACAAAGCTTTTTTTCTGTCTTGTTTCTGCTGTGACTGGGTTGGATTATTAACTTGAGATATTCGGAACTACGATTATACGCCGATTATACGTTTTCCAAACTGCTAGGGCACACTAGCACCTAAATTTTTAAGTCTGCTAAGGGTAGATTCGGACATATAATTGAAAATGACGAAGCCAAAAGAAGAAGAGAATAACCAACGGAGGAATTCTTAAATTTTTTACTCTCCACTTAAACCGTCTTGTTCATCGAGTATAATACAATGACAACAACTCAAACTAAAAATAGCATGTAGGTCAACGCCTCGAATTACAGATGGGCCGCCGTCAACTCTCTCCGTGCATCCATACATGGTCAACTGCTTAGTGAGATACAGAGGTTCAAGTGATTCAAAGCAGTTTGGTGAGGTCACAATTATTAGAGGTACCCTTTCTAGTATAGAGGATAAAGTATAGCCGTTACGAACTACGAGACTGTTTTGAAGAAACAGGCGCAATATACGAGGGCGATTGATATTTGTAAGGAACATTTTTAGTAAAAAAAATTCACAGCTTTCAGAATCATATGGGAATAACGCAGACGCTTTATTGTCAGATTCTGGTTGGAAAAAATCCGATTGTTAGCCTGTTTAGTGCTAGACAGCAGAGTATTGATTAACTTCAAGCAGTTTTAGTCAAAATTCAATAATATATCTGGTGCATTAGAACTGTGGCTAGGGTTACGTTGAAAATTTCCTAGTGATCAGAGGATTCTGCAAGCGCCTCAAATTTCCATCACTCTGTATAATTAGGACGTAACCTCAAGGTAAAATTACATGTTCTAGACGGTAGTACATGTAGTAAATGGTAGGGGCTCGTCATAGGAGCGTATGTTAAATAAAAGCAGCTTTTCCTAGAAATATCAGAGAAAGGGAGTTCTGATGGAATGTACCATATAGATTATCGATGTAGAATCAGTCTATATGTTTCCAAGCAAAAATATGCACGTAAAGCATTTAGTAATATGACCAAAATTACACGATGCAAGGAGGAGCTGATGTATACTACAGAAACAATGGCTACAGGACAAAAGTTGGAACTTCAGACCTGTGACAGTTCGACAGCACAAGAGCCTTTTGCGATCCACAGTACTCAGCGAAGCGGAATTTGCTAACCAACTGATCGGACTGTCTCTACCACAATGTAACTCACACACTGTTCTGAGCTTCATCTGATCATCCGACCCCCAAGTAATCGAGCTAACAGGGTACTGCAATGGATCCCAGTTCAGGTTGGGCCTGCGGAAGTGCATAAGTTCATAAAGTCGCTGAACACGGAAACAATATTCACAGAGACATTATCAAATACGACAGTATGGGCAAACAATTGTGTAACAATCTACTCTAATAACGTGCAGATTAAAAGAGAGAGTAAGCCTACGGCCTAGTGGGAATGAAGTGCACACATGAGGGCATCTTTGAGCGAAATACGATAATTACAGTGAAGGCAGGTAGAATTAATACGCTTTTATCCCATTATCAGGGGCTGAAGTATACGGCCAATGTTATACGCACAATTTATATGATAATGTCATACTATTACTACATTAATAATAAAAAAAATCGTTATCAGTAGCGTGAAAACGTCTGTAGAGCAAAAGATATGTGCACCATACAATTCGCGTTTTTTATAGTGCGCAGCTTGTTGTACAGTAAGTGTAAAGTCTCTAATGTGAGATCAAATTCCATCTCCAATGCATCTGTAAACCCAAAAAACTTGACAGATCTACAGATAGAGACCTCAGTTATTCAAGTTAACTAAAATGATGTATGAAAGCCCACATAAACCTATATCAAAAGTCACAAAATATGTCATGTTGGCATAGCGGTATGGACAGCTAGGTCTTTAATTAAAAAGCCAGGGGTCGCAGATTTGTATCCCGCTACCGATACACGGCGTGTGTTATTATATAAAGCAAGGTCACAATGTCTAGGGGTCACCATTTCGTCTACATGTCTTACCAGAGAATGGAATCTGGCCTTAAGTGTGGTGAGATCTTGCTCAAGTTGGCGACATTCCTTTTCCTTTTTGCGGTATTCAACGCTTCGAGTGCCCCCTCCACCACCGCCAACGCTTTTTACAGGTTGAGCTGCAGCCGCGGTTTTCCGATTCATTACTTCAGCAAGTTTGTTAACAGCCTGTTGTGTTAGTACTTTTTCTTTAGCCAGTTTTTGCTGAAGAACCTCGATTTCGTCTTCGAGCTTCTTGTTGTAACTATTGCCATCGTCTTTGATATTAACGCTGTCAGTTATGTTGTTGATTATTTTGTTGGCATTGGTTGTCGCGCTGTTGTTGTTGTTGTTGTTGTTGTGGTTGTTAGTCGTGTTATTGTTTTTGCTATTTTGGTTGTAGTTGTTGTTATTGTTGCTAGCAAGGGCCGTTCGTTCCTCGAGCTTCTTTTGGATTTCCTTTTTTTCCTCAACGGTCTGCTCAAGCTTCTCGTGCGCTTCCTTCAGCTGCCTTTGGAGACTTTCTCGTTCAGCCTCCATTTTGCACTTTTCGATCTCGCGGTCGAGCTTCTCTTTTTCTTGTGTTAAATGCTCGGCGTTCAACAGATCTTTCTCAGTCGTGAGTTGGTCTACGCGCTTTTGCAGTTGTTCGATTTCTCTAATTTTCTCCTCTTCAAAATCTTGAAGAATCTTCGTTTTCGTCTCCAATTCTTCCCGCAAGTCTTCACACTCTTTTTTGTAGATCACCTGTTGAAGGTTCGAAAAAAGCTTTGATTTGACTTATACTCGCCATTCGGTTACACTACTTAGTAGCTTACAATAACTTAGATAAGGTCCGAAGATAAAAAGGTCCACTCATAAACTTACCCTAAAGCTACTTTCGGTTTCGAGGTTCTCTGTGAGATCGATCAGTTGCATCTGCAGGTTATTGTGGGTAGCCTTAAATGTAGATAGTTCTTGCTGAAAGTGACTTACAGCTCCCTCTAGCTCACGTTTTTCTATTTGAAGCTGATTTTCGATTCGACTTAAGCGGGACACTTCAATCTCTAACTGGCTAATTTCGTTCTGCAAATGAATACGCCGCGAACGTTCCTCCTCAATCTCATGCGAAAGTTGCGAAATCTGCAGGATGCGACACATTACCGTTATTGAAGTCAAGCGTTCAATGGGGCGTATCTATAAATTACTTATTGCTAAACACTAACTGTACTTTCGAAAAATTATTGACGTTAGATCTGCTCCGCTTTGCGCTCAGGATTTGATGGCCTATGCGCAAGCAACGGCACAAGGGGACAAATGTTTTCCAGAAAAATACATACAGCGATGAAAAATTGGCTAAAGTACAGATGCTATCTCCGGTGGTGGGCATAGCAGCCACAAGCGTTTTTCCAATATAAAAAATTCTTTCAAAGACGGAAAAACTTTTTGGACAGTTACAAGCGTGGCAAACTGGAATGTAAATCAACCTCAGCGGGACGCCTCTCACATGTTTGTGATATCGGTGTCATGTTCCTGTTGTATTTTCAATACTCAGCAGTCTTTTACACACCAAACAAAAGTAAGCATCACCTTTGCATCACTTGCAACTGGGTATCCAGATCGCCAAACCAGCTATACATTGGAAAAGACGTGAGCTTCAAGATAAACGAATTTATTTAGTAATGATATTTAATTGACAACCGACTGTAGCATAACAGACTAAGTAAAGACAATCTCAAAGCTATAATGTAATTTTTAAACGTTCTAACTCTAACTTTTCATTTTCCTGCACTATTCCAACAGAATGTTTGCCGTTCGATTTCCTTGTATATTTCAGTGTAAATTTTTAATTACGTTTTTCTCCATCAGTTTTTCAGTAATAGGAAAAACCATGTGCAAACCTTACGTACCCTATCCGCTTGGGCCTTATAGTCAGACTGCTGCTTGGCCCATTGCTGCTGGAGTTGTTTGCAGTCTACTTGAAGCACCGAGACGTGTCGTTCGCTTTCTTGGAGTTTCTGCAAGGCCTGTTGACGTTGCTCGACCTCGTCTTGTAACTTGCCCTTTATAGCCTGAACCGCGTCAGCCGTGGTCTCCTCACTAGAACTCAACAACTGTTTATTTTCTGCTGACAAAGACGCTACTTCTCGTCGAAGGGATGACGCTTCAGCTTCAAATCTGAAACCATTGGCATGCTATTTTATTAGAACTTATAAACCATGGTATAAGACATGTAAGTTTCACTTATTTTTTTTAAATCTGAAATAACCAAAACGCAAGTGTTCATTTGTGATGGGTTGCATTATTCACACCCTGGGTTAAATTATAATTTGTTATATTATATATATATTATAGTAAGTTTGAATGAAAAATATGATTGCGAAGAACTATTTTTGTATAGCTTATGAAAACACAGAGAATATGAATGACGTCAAACTAAACAAGCACGCGAACTGCTTCACAAACGTTCACCTATTATGTGCATTTTTAAGTTCGAGTTGAAGGATAGCTTCCTGCTTCTCCTTTGCGGCAATTTTTTCTTCTAGCCCTTTAATTTCTTGGTTCCGATCGCTGTAACCCTTACGCAGTCTCTCCATTTCTTCTGACAACTCAGCATATCGAACTAAAAAGGAAGTTAAAAAAAAAATAGGTATTTCTTTTTGTCAATAATACTTTACCCAACAGTCCGCACTATTCATTGTATAAGGGTGTCAAACCTATCACATTATCGCATACAGACAAAAGCGTTTCTCTCATTTATGGAGTCCAATACTTTGCGAGTTTACTGGTTTATACAATTTTGAATATGGCCATGACAATCTTTTCGAGGTCCTGCCGTTTGAAGCTGCACTGGAATGACTGCAATCACTAACCTTGAAGTTCCTGGGCGCGGTCTCCTGATTTTCCTGAGAGCTGTCTCTCCTGATCTAGTTGTGTGTTGATACTAGCCAACTCCCTCTCTTGGGCACCGCATTTGGCTAAAAGCTGCGCCAGTTTCTCCTTCTGTTCGCGTACTGTTCCATCGAATTGCGTCACGTTCTTAGTCAGCTCTGAGTTTTTCTTCTTGAGTTTCACAACTAGTTCCGTTTCCTGTACCAGTTTGTCCTTTGTGTCTTTGAGCTGTCGCTCTAACGCAGCTAACCGCTCGTTGTGTTGCTGTGAGTTTTGAGCAATATGCGCCTGTAAAAATTTCAGACGGGGAACACTGCTTAGATAATAGGTGCAAAGGTAACATGCGAGACACAGCAAGCTACTATGATTGCGTATGAAGTCATCGGAGTAATTCATCGTAGCTGGTAATCAAGGTTTGTGAATTTATGCTTGAAATGTACTTGCTTTACTGTAACCTGTTTGTTAACCTCTTTAGAATCGTCCTGCTCGAGAGGCTATACAATTGTTTCTTGTTGGCAAGCGGTCGCTGATTAATACTTGCGCAACAGTCGAAATACATGCTAATTGATAGAGCACTTTGCATCAAGCAAAGAACGTAGGGATATAACAAAGGGATTCACAGTCGATCGGAATGTGGCTTCCGGCTGGTGAACTTACAACTGATCTCTGAAGTGGCTTTCTATTGACATATAACGCTGTGAATCATGTATCGATATATTATAACACACCGAAAGAGATAAGGCTTTAGACATACTTTTTCAGATTGTTCCTTTTCAAGCCTTGCGATAAGTTCCCGTACAGTTGCTTCTGCTCTCCGACGCATCTCCTCTTCGCTTTCCAATTTTTTTTGCTGCTCGAACAGATCAGATCTTGAGGCCGCAACAAGTCGGCTTAACTCGTGATTTTCTGCAATTAGCTTAGATACCTGATCGTGTACTCCATCCGTGCTGATTCTAAAGAAGAATTCAAATAAAATTACTATAGTCTAATCGGACAAGTGCATTTATCATTATGGAACACAGTTGAGAATGTAGAGACATAGCAAAGGGATTTACAGTCGTTCTGAATGTTACTAGTGGCCCATAACTTTTGCCTGGTAACCAATCGTAACCGATCTCTAAAGCGACCTTATATCGATATATAATACCACAGCGGAGATGAGATTGATATTTTCTAAAAATTCGGATAAATTTTTATTTCATTTTAGAAGAAATACTAAAAACGCCTAAAAGGGTCATTGCAACTAACTAGAAAGCACGCTATTCGGCCCGCAAACACACCGATTCACTTCCGCAAAAGTCGATATATATATTTTATATATTAGCCTCCGATATCAATTAATGGGACTAATTGATAGAAACGGGAACTGCGACCGCGACTGCTGTATGTTTAGCTGAACGTGTAGGTGAAGGTATTAGTAGCTACGTAATCAGCGATAAGGGTCCGTTAAATGCATACTCTTATTCCACACATAAATTACGAACAGTGGAACCTAAACTGAACGAACTGGGTTTCAGTTAATAATTCAATTGATGTTCTTATCTAGCAGTTAAAAACACTAACTTGTTAGAGCTGTCAACGTGATTCTCTGTAGACGCCATGCTTTCCTGCTCTAACGGAGAGTCAGCTCCAAGCAACTGATAGTCACGATTGTATGAGAAACCGGCAAAATAGAGATGGTTCCCTTCAAAACTGTTTGCAGGCTCGAATGTGCCCTGCTCGTGCTTTTTGTCGTCTTCCGGCATAGAAAAATTCGAAGAGTCATCGTCGGCTTTTAATTCTGGAGCAATTGGTGCCATCGCATTTCTAAAATTAATAAAAAATTCGATTTGTCTGCATTTGTTATAGTCAATCTTTATGATAAATTACCAGATGACAAATTCATACCAATGACAACTATCGTAGGTAATGAGCAATTGCAGTGAGTGCAGAAAATTATTTTTTTCTGGGTATCATACGGGTTCTCTTGCATAACTTTTTCCCAATGTCTTTTTGGCGAAAACGATATGCTGCGACAAAATTGCACAGCTCTTATCGTGAACACTATCGGTAAATGCATGATACAATTATCTTGAGTCCGCAGGCGGTAATTAGGCGGACAACTCAGTGTGATGCGTACCGAATTGTCTCGAAGTTCCACACGTCGTTATGGAAAAATCGATGCGCTTTTATCTCATCGATACCCTGTCTGCCGAGCCTCCTTGAGCGATCGCAGAGAAACGCGCATATGAGATTTTTGGCATGATCACTTAGGGCGGTCTCCGACTCGTCCGGAAATACAAGTGATTTCTGGTGGTTCATTATATTTGCGTAGGTAAACGACAATGACTCATGGTAGAATGGCGTAACCCCTGTGATAGAAAAGATAGAGATGAAAACGTTACGACGTGCAACTTGTACGAGCCACCGTACTAATATTTAATACTTAAAGCAGAACAGAGATATTTAGCAATTAATCTGACTAATATTTTAACGCTGTGTTAATTTTGAACAAATTAGGTATATAGTAAGGCTCTTCTAATATAAATCTGAGAGGCAGAACTAGGCAATTCTCGGCCCTTTGTTCCGAGTAGGAACTACGTACCGTAATTTTATCTCTAAAATTTTTCGCAGGATTGCAATGCTGTAAGCGAATGTTGTTATTTTGGTAAAATGATGGGACCATAAATTCTGCATTATACATTTATTTTCACAATAAAAAATAGATGACTGCCTATAAGCATTTACAGTGTTAGCGGGCGCTCATGTAGCCATGCACCGGACCGATACCAGACATTTTTTTAGGAAAATGTTAAGCCTATTTTAAGTAAATGACCTTTGGTCTAGTACTACGGATAAAAATGTCAATCGAAACTTGCAGCCAACTAGCCTGATACGTTATAAGCAATCGTAAAACTTTATTCTGCGAAGCTTACCGCACAGCATCTCATAAAGGCAAATGCCGATTGACCAGAAATCGCATTCTCTCCCATATTTGCCGAAACCGCGACCCTGTTCCTGGGCCCTTAACACTTCTGGTGAAATATAGTCGGGGGTGCCCACTGGCACGTCACACCTGACCAAACCATCTTCACCCATTCGGGTGCACGTTCCGAAATCAGCAAGTCTGAGGTGTCCTGACGAATCTAAGAGCATATTGTCTGGCTTCACATCTCTAAATATTAGAATAAACGTATTAGCAATACCATTTTAAATGCGGTTTATTAACAAAAATTGATGTCTTATCGTGTAGTAGGATGCTCCTCTATTACGATACAATATATCGAATTTAAATATTACATTTAATGTTTTTTTTTCTATGTATAGCTGCAATAAAGCTAAGAGCGTTCGCATTCGATGTACTTACCGGTGTACAAATCCCATCTGGTGGATCACATCTACAGCGAGCACCATTTCAGCACAGAAAAATCGGGCCCATTCTTCGGAGAAGTCATACACATCTAACAAGTTTGCCAGGTCTCCGCCAGCCATATAGTCCATTACCATGTACAAGAATCTGTAGACGATAAAGTAAAACGAAGGAGCTCAGCTAGATGTAGGCACATAAGCGCTTCAAAAATAAATATCTAAAAATGAAAATATTTCGTTTACTATCGCTTCCAATTCTCTCTTTCTAAGAATTTTTTTCTTGATAATTTCTTCCGATAACTCTTTCCTTTAAGCGTCCTATAATAAGATACCTTGCGTAATATTATGATCCAAAGAAAGCAAAGACTTTTATCTTACTTAGAATCTTGGAATGCATAGTAAAGCCTAACGATCCATTCTGAGTTAGCATTGGCTAAAATGTAGCGTTCTTCCCAGAAGCAATTGGGCTCGCTTCGCTTAACCATTTCGTGTTTGTTGAGCATTTTCATAGCGTAAACCTTTCGTGACGGTGTGTGCCTCACCAGCTGGACCATACCGAAGGCACCTGAGAACAGTTATATACACAAACGAGATGGGTGTAGTTAACTAAAAAAACAATACATTGTAATATTGCTAGATTTGGTAATGCGTAACGTATTCGCGTTTGTTCTTGTTCAACGTGTACCAACAAATGATCAACATGTATGAACGAATATATTAATCATTCCATTTATCGCATTATTTTTTTATATTTATTATTATTATACTGCACTGACCTATGAAATCTAGTAGCACCGAAAGCCTAGATAACGTTCTTTGTTCTCACAGATTCTGGTCAGAACTAAACCCCCAAAAAGTAATAAAAAAAAACTGCGCATGCGTCACCTCGACTAGTGATACAGGAAGCAACCGATACGAGGGACATATAATCATAGAACTTCGGCCTAGGGTCATGCAGACGAAACTTGAACCTTTATAGAGCTAGATTAATTTTATCTTGTTTAGTTCCTACAGCTCCAACAAATAAGTTAATTAAAGTGAACTTTAAAAACTCTTGACTAGAGCTATGCATGTGAAGTACAATAGTCGGCAGTCTACGCAGCGTACGCCTATGTATACGGTAGATCGGTAGATCTAAAAAGCTGCTCATCGAGAATCAAATACTGACTGAATTGAGTTTGTAATAATAAAAAAAATATTTATACTTATATGTGAGTTTATCCATGAACGTTCTGAACTTATCATGCCGTTACATCAAGTTCACATGCAATTCAATTTTTTGCAGCTCCTCAGATACTTAAAACATAATAGAATTTGAAATCAACTTAAATTATCTGCTTCAGAATGTAGATCTCGAAAAAAGAATCACTATCTACGCGTTTTAGATTTAATAAAAGGCTTCCGCAAAAGTGATTAATTGAATTTTGTTGTATAGGTAGTCTAGTTGCACTTCTTAATAATAATAATAATAAAACATCCCCGTATGTATAATTCATTCGGATGGAAGATTTCAGAAAGAGCTTCTTAGTTGAATTTTTCCCGTATTTCTTTGACGCCGCCCTTCTAATAAATAGAAATATCATACAATAAAACTAAGGTGTAATAAAATTGGTAAAACATAACAAGTAGAAAATGATAAGCGAACATATGTACCATTACTTAACTAGGTAAATAGCAGTAAGTAAAACGTTTGCCATTATTGATGTTGTTAAGTGGCCAGTAAGTACTTATTGGTCACTCTACATGATAGATGTTAAAGCCAAAACATCCTGGAATAAGGACCACACATTGTCTTGTGCTATCAAAGATAGACCGTTCAACCGAAGATTATAGCTACGGTGGGCAACCAGATGGATGGCATACCTCTGGAAGTAGAAGGTCGTTCGCCAGACCGCTAAGCATTATGGAAGCCACCATCGTCCGATTCTTAGTCTATTAGAGGTAGAAAACTGAAACGTTAAGCTCACGCAAGCACAGTATATCGCAAAAACAGCCCCGACTTTTCATTAACTTCCTTGTGCATTATAGTCGTACAGATTGGTGTGATCATTAGTTTGACGAATCCCAAGTGGCTAGGTTTCACTACGGCTTGTCACATTGCTGTGCTCTTCAAACCTGAAATATTCGCGCGTCCTATGTGAGTTTACGCGGCTCAAGGCGACTGCGAGTCTCAATGCGATGCCGTCATTATCGGTAAAAGACGGTGTAAGGGATACGGATCAGGTACTTCCTTCGAGGTATCAACAGTTTTTTGAAGCACTCCACGACAGCTCAAAATTACAGGATATCTAACATTTTAAAGTACGGGGTCTTTTAAAGTCATTGCGAGCAGCATCCGTAGACATCGCCTTCGGTACAAATAATGGCGACATGAAACAATGGTCAATAAAATAATTCCGACGATTTCGGTGGCGCATGTTCGCCGAGGTGGTGGCTCTGTCAAGCTGATATATGATTACAGAATGTGCTAATCATAACAACTTTACGTGAAGAGCGTTTACACGGTACACAGAATGACTGCAAGTTTGACATGCCATCGGTATGCCACCTTGCTATGTACTAATGCGTCAGCACTACCATATTAAACCACCATCTGTTAAACCAAACGACTTAAAATATTTTAAAGGTAATTGGTTGAAGTATAAATAAAGTTGAAAATTTTAAAAAACGTCTAGCCCTCGAAAACGAGATATATCTATATATATATATATGCCAGAAGATGTTCTAATGATATATATATATCACTAGAACATCTTCTGGCATCTCTTTGTAGCTATCTAGCATTCGTAAAATGAATCACTAAAGCATAGCTGATCTTACAACGGGTGTGCAAAAAATTCGAACTAAGAAAAGGATGAATGTTTTGATTTTTTTCAATTGTGTTCTATCAATAGCATAAAAAAGTTGTACAAAAAAAGAATCTCTACCCCCGTCATTACAGATCCTGTGTGAAAAGAAATCGAAGAATCAACACCAATGGCACCTTCTTGTAATAGACAATATGAATGTAAGACTATTGTCGCATTGTTTTACCTTATTACGTGTTAAAAAATACGTAATAACGCCCTTAAATGTTTTGCTGTCACTAAGCAGAAGTTGTGGCAACATTCCCAATCTAATTTAATTAATTTAGGTGCAATTGAGCCCACTCTCATTGTTCTACTGTTTGAAGTTTGAGTTTCATTGACATTAGCGCTAAAGGAATAAAGAGTCCTACCTTCTAAATGTACGAAATAACTGGAATATAGACAAATATCAGGAATCCGATTTAGTATAGGGCATGTCTCAATTTGTTATCATTTCTCAAGGTAGAATATATGTACAAAAGCTAATATATAGGCTGACTTAGTATTGAATCCCTTTGGCTTGCTAATAGGTAGCAAATGGAATGTGCGGGAGATCACGGATTTGTCGGAGATTTTTCGTGTTTTAGAGGCTGTCTTTCTTTTAGTCACTCATTCTCCTGTTTTACATGAATGTTTCCATTCTCAGAAAAAGATACCTTTTCCAATGGTTTTGAGAACGTCGAAGTCTTTATAATTGGTTCGCCATGTAAATATGTCTTTCGTTTTTGCCTGGAAACGCTCGAGGAACGCCTCTATGTTGGCCACACGTCTCAATGCCGGGCCTTCGCAATCAAGAACTATTGCTTGGAGTACATCCTGTAAGAAAACGCGTGTGGGTCCGTTAATATGTTAATTAGTATTCAGTTGTAATATACATGCATGCCCATATATACGACAGCCTCCAATATAATAGCCGGCATAATTATAAATTGCATTGCCTTCAACGCTTAACACACCAATACCTATTTCTAATTAGAGACTGGTTTTTCGTTTGTTGTGTCAAATTCTTTTTCAGCTACCAAAAGCGTGACGGCGCTTTTGACAACTCAGCTATGCTTGTACAACTCCTCAAATGACTAATAAACTCTCAGAAAGAAGCCGCATTTTTGGAGGCTGTAATGCCCTTGCAATAAACAATAGTACAAAAGCTCCTATATAGATACTGCACAAAGGCCACTATACAGTAAGAACAGAAAGCATATCCCTGGTACATATGGGTTGGTTACAGACAATTCTTTAGAGTAATAGCCTTAGAAAGGTCGTGAGGTGGACTTCATACACGTACGCCATTACTATACATACTATCCTTTGAGGCGTAGTAGTTTTTTTTTTTTATTAAATATAGCATTATGTTTACCTAAAAGCTGTGACTGCTTTCAACTAAATTATTCCTAAAGCAAAAAAAATATACCTAAAAAATATGGACAAAGAAAGGACACATTTTTGTTAGCTTACCAGTAGTGACTCAATGTTAATTTCCGATCCGACATCAACAAGGGCACTTTCTAGGGCCCGAAGCCGAAGAAGCCGCTCCGTTTCGGCGTCCTCCATTCTACTCATAAAGCTTCGACAATGACTGTTCTGCTAAAAGCTGCTGCTGCTGCTGCTGACGCCAAGAGTTCGTGTTAGCAGTTCCTGAAGAGTTCGGCTCTCCAGCACCCTCAGCGAACCCAGTCCACGCAAGCTGCAACAATAGTTCGCGAAAACACAAACTTAATCGATAGTTGTTTCACATAGAACTATAGCTGGAAGGCAAATATTATGTATGGCCTATTGTTAATCTTAAAAGTTTAGATATTATTATTATTTTTAGGTAAAAATGACACATTTCTCGTACGCAGTACTTTGAATTGAACATTAGATATTGAATCAGCACACTACGACCACAGAAGCGTATTGCATTACATCAAACATTCAAGCCGCAGTAAGTTTTCGACGCAACTGATAGGAACGACAATATAATTGAATAAACTAATAAATAAAATAAAACTTTAAACGGTTTATGATGCTAATAATGTTATTTTTGCTGACATCCTGACATTGCAGGATCATTAAGAATTAGCAAGACGTCTCACGTAAACAGAGCGACTTTGAACATATACTCGTTTTGTTACCGCTCAATATTTGGAATATATGCCGAATGTCAGGCATTACAAACAGTGAACAATGAAACAACGGTCGTGCTTTTCTAGCAAACCTAAACTTTTTTCTAAATAATTGCTTTTTATCATTTCCTAGGTATGATTTCGATCTTCGATACGAACAGTACAACTACACTAAGCTTTGGCGTCTCTTTGTAATTGTCTGTCCTGGCATATTTAATAGAGAAAAAAAAAAAAAAGAACAACGTATCACACGGCCCCAATGTAGAAAATACGGCTGACAGCCATTATTACGACCAAGATTCTACTCCAGGTTCTGTCGAGAGCTGGTCAAATGGAAAAAACTCAAGCGGCCACGTGAAGGTAGTGGGATAATACGAGGGAACGCAAATTACTATGGTTATGTAAACATTTGTACTAACCGTGTGAACGAAACTGATTCAATGACGGTGTTCTAATTTGTGTTGAAGGCAAAGAATTTCCTCGATTCCGAGATTCATGGGTATAATTTAATACTACTATTATTATTATTATAACTAGATAAGAATAGTAGAGTAGCTAACTTGAACCATAGTGAATTGGTAGACCAGTGTCGCTACGAAGGCTCAAAACAGCGCTCAATTCTCGGTTCTACTTCACCAAAGCCTAATCCACAACAACGTTTAGGTCAGCCTGTGGTAGTCATTTGCATCTGTGAGATTTCAGTTACAGTTCAGTGAAGCGGACTACGTATATGCGGGCCAAGTTCCTAACTTAGGGGCAACGTTCTTAATTACTATTTTTTTGTGGTACGCGTACTGGTTCCACTGCGGCTCGCTTTACGGCGACCGAACACATCACGGTCTTGAAATGCACGTTTTTTTTTAGCAACTTTGCCACTGGTATTTTACACTCACACCTTCTATGTATCCATGATAAGGGTGATGCTTGATCTCCTCACTCGATGCCGAACCTTTTCATGTCTGTTGCATCACGCGCATGAACTATAACTCCCTCCCCCAAAAAAATAGAATTCTAGGGTGTTTACAGGTAATATGGTCTTCGATGTTCGATGAAGCTGATCATAAAGTACTCATTGATCTTTCTGGTGATTTGTTAGGTTGACATGAGTGACTCTGAGCACCGCTACCACTTCGGCCATGATCCAGTTTATTTCTAGTCTACGGCAGCTCTTTACAGACTCATTCTCTATATGAACGAGGTAGCTCAACGAGCCAACGGTGATGATGACGCTGATGGCATTGTCTGTGGCGGTCGCGAACTAGCGCATTGCATTGGCCTTCGATCCAACTAGCGCAACGACGCCGATTTGCAATCCCAATTGTCGTCATCACTCGAACGGCCGTTTTAGTCGGCACGCAGGTCCGTCGCCGAGCTATCGTAAGCAAGCACTCTTGCCAGCACCATATCGGCATCAGTGAAACAGCGACAACAGCCGCCGTTCGATCGGTCAGGATTCGGTAGATCGACTGGCGCAGGAGCATTTACTGGTATTTACCGACAGCCACAATACAATACAAACAGCAATTGGGGCAAGCCGCATCAGCGGAAACAGCAGCTCGGGCTAACGCATATGGCTGGCTGGCTGGCTGGCTGGCTGGCTGGCTGGCTGGATCGTAGCTGGCCAGCCAGCGCCGAGCAGTCGGCTGCAGGATAAAAGCGTGAAGACAGCAATAGGACAACAACCGACAGACCAAGAAGCATCACTCAGTCAAATTAGGTTCAATTGCAACGACGTCATGCAGAGGATAATAACTGCTTCCGAGGAGGATGCTTTGCCAAAAGATCTAGGGCTTACGGAAAAAAACACTTACATATATACGCTGACGACGTGCAATATTGCCAGTGGTAACACCTTAACATAGAATGAAGATGGCTCTGCTAACCCGCGTCATCATATAATTTAGAATATATTCGCAACTATGCCCGGAATACTAGAAATCATCCATCAGACTCGTATAGATGTAGCTTTTATTAGAACGCATACATATAGTTCGAGCCGTTCCTGTTGCTGTTGTTGTTCCGTGTCAGAGTGGCGGCACCGTGCCACTGTATGCGAGGCTATTCATTGGTCATGTTCTTGGAAATTAAGCGAATTCCTGAAAAGTATTTTATAACACTGGCTGACTGTTTATGCGTGCGCCATTTGTGTGAGTAACGAAAAGCAAATTTGTGTTTTGCGCAATAAATTCATCTTACTCAGACTACGTTACATTAACAATGCCCTGAGTGAACACATTCTCTACTGTAATTGAATTACTCACAGTTGTTAGGAGGACATGATGAAATCCCTTTGAGATAGCATTGTCGTGAACTTTTATCCACCCTTATAGTTAGTCCAGCGATCGATTGCTACTATACTACGAAGGCTACGATAACTGAATGGATGGATTGAATCTGACTAACTGTACATTATGTAACGTGCATTTTCCGATTTAGTGGTAGTCGCAGCTGGCCTTCGGAATCATCACAGCATCAGTTCACCATGTCCTGTTCAGGCTGAAGAGAAGCCTTGTTCTGTCGATTGACTTCGCTGAACTATGGTCGTATGCGTAAGCTCACGAATATGCCTATACGCACACAACATTGCTACTCACTGCCAACTAGAAAAGCTTTCAAGGAAAAAAACAACAGAATTAAAGCATATTTGATAGTATTCGTATTCACTGCGGTATAGCCAGCTGACTTCCCAGTAGAAGACAAGCACTGTTCACAAACGTTCCTTGAGGACTGAAACTGTTTTACTACAACAGTCGAACAGGTAACAGCCACCGTAACAAACGTACTTTCTTTTTTCTCTTTACCGCATCAACCATCCTCTATGGTTAAGGGCATACAGCACAAGTGAAAATGCGTCATAGTCGTTCGTCTTCGTCGTAGGATCAATCGAACCTTTTCTAAGCGCACTTTGTCCGATGACACGATCTGTGTGTGCTCGAGACGAGTGAACTACATGACCGGCGGTCGCCGCATCGGCCACACCAGATGACGGCGATTGACTTTGCCTCAGTAGCTTGTTCTGTTAGTCCTCTTTCGATCGACCAACCAACTGCTTTGTCTGCTACCGCCAAAGATAGCAGGTCAACCACTATTTCGATACCACTATGTCGATTTCTACTGCACAACCCCCACCATCACGATTGCCGGTATAAGGTGTTATGTTCGTTTGATTATTCACTGTCGCTCTCAGCACGAATTGTCGGGAGTATGATAGTGGGTGAAAGCCTGTAAACAGTTGAACGGCGATGCAGCCGGTCCTGCAGAAGGGTACACAGACTGACAGACGGCCAGAGACAGGCACACATAGACACGCGCACACATCGATACATAGAGTCTGAATATGCAACAAAGGAACGACGCCGCAGCTGCGTCGATTCTCTCTCTCTCTCTCTCTCGCTCTTCTCGACTGAGCGTCAAGCGGTAGTACACACTGGTGCGCCCTCGGTGAGAGAGGAACGATACTGGCGGCATATTTTGAATCGTAGTGTTCAGCTCTCACAAAACAACTTTCTGAGACTTATTTTCTAGACGATCCACGATAAAAAGTGATATGAGTTGCTTGGAAAATGTTTTCACATGGTTAAATGTTTAATTGTTATTGCCGTGGCTACCTAAGGACTCAATACTTGCCTAAATCAATTAGCATTTTAAACTGGACTTTAAGACAACTTCATTGAAATCCCACTGAAAGTAACTGTAAGCGTTAGTAGCAGACGGAGTTTTCGTCTGAAAAAATATATATGACAAATAAATCAAACACAAAGGCTATTGACAGGGCCAACAAATCAATAGACAAATGAGCGTACGTCAAATAACTGTTCACCCAACCTTTGCCTGGGGTTCGCAAGCTTCTATGCGAGCCATTCCAAGCTAGTTAGCCACAGGCAAGTGTTCGATAACATTAAAAACGACTACACTCGGACAAGTGGCAGCATACCCAATCAGTACCGTACACTCGAAAGAATGGATACATGAAATTGCCTCAGGCTGTTGTACAGTGGTTCGGCATGCGCGCCTCTTGCGTATTCTTCCACCGCTTAGTTTGTGGTTTTCTGCGATGGGAAACGTAAACATTATCTGCAACATGTGGCCCTACGCCCCTTTGCTACTGCTCTCCCTCTGGTCGAGCGGCGCCGCCTCCGTCGTCACCGCCGCCGCAGAATAGCGATGAAAGCAAGCTTCTGTCAGGGTCGCTGAGAATCAGCCTGTTTGTTTGTGTCCTGCGAGCGACTAGCAGCGGTGGAGGCGGATGTGTGGTCGCGTTGTTGTAGCAAGTTTAACAACAAGCGGCAATTCTTTGCTGAAATTTGAGGATAACGTTGGGCGACATTCGCCGTGGCATGGATCGGCAAGGTTGTAATAATCATCAGCGCATCGGGGGCTACGCACCCCCTTATCACCAGCTGCAGCAATACAATGGAAACCCCTCTGGACGTTCTAGTTTTCGCCAGTCGTACCATCACGGTGAGTTCGTTAAAGAAAAACGTAAGGAAAAAATAGTGATGGTACTGATAAGCAGGCAATAATGGATTTTGCCTTCATTTCTCAGCGTTTTCGTTTCATTATAGTAATAACAATCGCTGAAGGTCCTGCTGAACGTTCGTCCCCACCGCATGTTACCGCCCATGAAGAACAACCGTCGTGATGAGGCAGTATTAATGATGACGACGACGACAACGATGATGGTGAACGAAAAAAGGGCCCTTGATTAAATCAACTATTTTTACTTATTTGGATTATCAGTCCTAGTGGTTTACGAAGCTATTTAAGAGCAAGAAGCACAGGGGGACGGACAGGCGGAACCCAGTCAGTGGTAGGAAGTTGGTAAGCCCATTGGACAACTGCTGTACAGAGCCGGAGAGTGACAGTAGGTCCACCAGATGAAGAGGGACAAAACGATAAAGCCCACAAGATGACATCGCTATGAGAATGTCGATGAAGTTTGATTTCACTTGATTTTTATAAGCTTTCACGCCTTGAGCAGGCTTTTGTAAATCTCTAAGTGATGTCAACTCGAAGGTGCGTTTCAGCTAAGACATGTAAAATTTTGAAGAGAAAGGCAAGTTCCCTAGTTATTCGGGTTTAGTTTTGAATTAGCGACTGTGTGAGTAAACACAAACATTTGTGACTTGGCATTCTCTCATTGTTATAATCTGGTGGAAACTTGAAAAAGTATAATTTCCCTATATAATAAAAGTAGCATGATTTGGTAGGATAAAGACTAGCTTCAACGAAATTGTTATGAAGTTGTCTTTTGTCATATTGGGTTGTGACCAGCCTTTGTTCGGTTGATATTAATCGAAAATGAACAGTGATAACAAAGTATTGATAGAACCTCTTCGGAAACAGTTTCTTTTATGTGCTTTGTACTTAATCCCAGAGGTATTAACAAGTGCCAATCTCTGTCAACTGCTATATAGCTAGTTACACTATTTTAGATTTGCTGTAATGGATTTACTTACTTGATATTAGGCTCTACAGAAAACTTCAGATTAGTTTTTTTTTTTTTGTATCGACTTTCAGAAAACCTCAGATTAGTTTTTTTTGTACTGACTTTTTTCTGGTGAAAGGTTGAACTGTGTTATTTGCCTTCTAGCAATTGATCTTTAGGCACGCAGCATTAACGGCGTTATTAGCGTCTTTTAGAGAACACATGTGCACGATGTTAAGGCCATGGTCAACGACCATGGCCAGCACCTTTGGTGAATTCGAGGAGCCCTTATATAGTTTCAAAAAATTACCTATATATTATTTAAGCCAAATAGATCACGAAACAAGACCATGTCTTAGAAACTGTCTTTAGAGTAACGTTCTTTAATTGTAATTCTTTTGTTTTTGAACCCAACGATCTAATCAAGCTGCGCCTCTTGAATTTTAAGAAAATCACCCTTTGTCGCCTATGGCCAAGTCTCCTTAATACCTAGCTAAGTCATATTGATAACATTAACTCCGATTAATATAGCCCTTTTGCAAACGCCTCATGACAGTTATTTAAACCAATCAACTAAATGCCCTTGTGGCAGCCAAGCAGCTATCCTGCGAGAAAGAAAAACTATGTCACGAGATAACAAGGTAAACTTTTGGCTTCGACCTATTTCCTTGACGAATGATAATATTGACTTCGGGAAACACGTAACTCCGAAGAAAACTGTCCCGCATTAATTAAAACGAAATTTAAAAACCATGACGACACACTTGATCAATCTGCTTCGCAATTCAAATAAGTTAGGCAAGCGATCAACACATGCAAGAAATACTAAAGAGCCCCTATAAAGGACCAAAAGCTAAGCCAATCATCATTTGCATGGACCACTGGAAGCAGTCCTAGCACCATAACGATCTGGGTATAAGAAACGTGATAAACGGAAAGTCAAGAAAATACGGATAACAGCAGGGAAGTGTCTTTGACGGATTAGAGACCGAAGGATCGCTTGGCCGAGGGATGAGTCGCTAAACGCTATAAGAAAAGGCATAGCCTACGACTTGTGGTGATAGCGGAAGACACTAAAACATGAACCACAAAAGAAACTGGAAACAATATCCTTCAAATATATTCGTTAGAATACGATGGAATCATCCGGTTTTAAGGAAACTAGACGAGCGTTAAACTGGGATAAGCATATGTAGCGAATCTATTCTGCATTGATCTAGCGGGAATAAATAAAAATCAACACGGTTAAGATGGGAATAGGGCGCCTATACTGGAGAAGTGTTTGTCGAAGATTAGGATTGATGGCTCCCTCAACCTATTAACCTATACGAGGTGGTGTCTCTAACTTCTAACCTTTTTCTTTTACACGTTTCTAGGATTGTATTTTGACAAAAACAGACATTTCAGTGAACTTCGGTGCATATGCCTAAAGTATCATTCCTGGCGATTATGTTCATTCAATATAATCTTCGTTCACCTTAATTCGGGGCCTAAACCGCTTACTAGCGATCTTCAAAATGTTTTTTCTTTAATCCGTGGACAACTTTTGAAGAGTACACCGTGTATCAAGCGATATTGGTAGGCGTAAGCTCGTCACTTATATGTCGCGTAAATGCGCTACAAAAAAAATCCACCGAAAATACATTTTAGTAAAATAGCTATGGCAAAAGTCATAAAAATGCAAAGACTCAGAACGGCCAGAAAAGTTTAAAAGGCATAAAAAGGCGTAAAACATCTAACCGTTAAAATTTAAATGGACGATTTAATCGACTATTGGTATTCTTCTATCTACAACGGGCGTTAAGTTCTGTATACAAAGCTTAGATGCACAAAAAATGGCTTTTTTCATGGACGAAGCAACAAGAAAATCTAAGAATGATACAAAGTACATTAAAAAAACAGACGAGGAGTTATTAATAATCCTATTATCGTTGCACTGACGTCTATAACAGAGATGGTTAGAAACGAGGGCAAAGGATAAGAATATGCCATGCTTGATTCTACAAAGACCTATAATGAAGTAGACAAAGGTAAACTTTCAGAGATACCAAACGAATGTGGCGTGTATCTGACATAAGTCATTGCAATGAGTCGGTTGCTAAACGAAAAAACTGCCTAATCGTATACCATTGACATATAAATTCGAAAGACCCAAGGCGTCCGGAAACGTAAAACGAGGCCGTCTATTGATGGCTATCTTGGGTGCTCTGTATACGAACTGGAAGGTTAAACTGATAAGATCGTAGAACAGATTTATCATCCAGCAGTGGAGTATTCTCAAAAAGGAAAGTTTGATATTCAAAGCTACTGTTCGTAGGCAACCTGGTAGTAGTATTGCACACCTACCAGTGCGTAGGTGTGCAGACTTTATTGAATATTACAACACAATAAGGGCACAGACTCTAGCAGACAGTTAACCCCCTAAAAGACACAGTAGTATCCTTTTGAAGAAAGGGACGAGGACCGGAAGGAACCTTCTGAATCAAGGGAAAACACTAGCCGACGAAGGATCAGCCAAGGACTTACGGTGTACACTTTGCAGCTGCAAAAAATCGTAGTCGAAGAGTGGGCCCACGCATGCAGGTGACTATTGTAGATGCGTGGACGTGATAGGCGTCGATAAGATTAGTCGACTGGACGGTAAAAGTAAATCATTGGGGATGATAAGTACGGTGTCCCATGAACACTGATTATGTTAGAAACCTACACAGATGTGAGCAAGTACAGTTTCAATTGTCGGTCAGCAAAAAAAAACCCATTTTGAACAAATGCTGTCTAGCCGTCAAACAACAAGCGCGAAACATGGCTTAAGATTGCAAACTAGACAATAAGACGTAAGGCATCGTAAGGATACAATTGCAGAGATATAGAGACAGCTTATTATTGGTCTGGGCATGTACAGGAACGCTACACATCAAACAATTTCATCGAAATTCTGGACCTGCTGTATTAATGTACTACGTATGTGACAGAGCCAGAAAGAAAAGGCCATACGGTGCCTGAACGTAACGTAAGTCACCTGAATGAGCGAATATTGTTGCGGCGATGCCAGGACTGTCAGAGTGTGTGTATCCCCAATTTCGGTAGCACTTAGAGCGACCGTCGTACAAGAGAACTCTGTTATGACAAGCTGTTGATACGTCTGAATATCCGTACCATGCTGATAGGCAGAACCAAACGAGGATGATAATATTAGTGAACACAGGGCATAGTTTCACTCCTTTGTTGCATATCACCACATAAAGATATGTCGGTTCGGAACTGTGAAGTTTCTCTGCCTTTAGGTTAAATCACAACGACCAATGACACTCAAGTGAAAGTCAGGGTCTCTTCAAATCCTTACGACTTCAACAATACGTATAAAAAAAAATAGCGTTTTGTAGCTTCCGTAAGTACACTATTCGGTTTTCGAGCCTATAATATCATGATCATTCTTTTCTAGCGTCACACACGGCATAAAAGTGGCTGAAACTGTTTTTAGCTTCTGATATTTAAGAGTTGATTTTATAAGCAATAATCTACAACAGAACTTTCAAACTTTAAGTTTAAAGAAAACTGCATTTTTTGAACAAAACGTGCAGCCAGTTGATGACCAAAATAAGTTTAATGATCCGGCAGCTGAATTGATTTCATATTCAGATATAGGAGAATTTTACTAGATTATTAATAATTACTGCATTCGATGACAGTTAAAAAAGCACAGTATACATAATACACACTGAAACCAGTCTGAGTGAAAAGTTGTACACTATGATACTCGTCAAGACCGAAAGAAAGAGAAAAAACTAAGTGCGTAAAACGGAAAAGCACAGAGCAACAAAATAATAATAATGAAAAAATGAAGGAATAGAAAGCGAGTAGATCTGCGTGCGTTGGGTTCGTGGCATTGAATATTGCTTCAAATTATCCAGTCACTGTGTATGCGCATTAAATATAACGTTACGTATCTTAAATTCATATGGTAGTTCGTACAGTTGTATCGGTCTCACTGTTTTCTGCTCCCTTGAGTTACCGGTATGCTCTTCTGTTACGTAGCAGATGAAAATAACGTCAATATTGCTAACATTCAGTTGTGATTCGCAGCTCTGTTGCGCGAATCTCAGATCAACAGGCGCTTAAAGGCGGAAAGATAGCTTCATGGTCTGCCGACCGATGGTACTTCTTAGCTGGCTGGATGGTTGTTTGTAGGAGTTTAGGGGCAGCTCTGCAAGCTTCTATGGCCAGCGGTGTGCATTGGCGTTCGGCGATCTGCGCCATCGCTGTCGTCTGCTAGTGAGGACCGGAAAGGGGCTGACGGTGAAGCAGTGATGAGTATCGAGTGGAGCTGATTCACAATCGGCGTGGCAAAGTATTGCGGAAAAGACGTTGTTTTAGATGGCACTAATTGTTTGCGAGTGTTGATACTAATATGTTCTAATAGCAGTTGCTAGCGTTAGGCTGTTCCACTGTGCTCCCGAATCAGAACTGTATTGGAAACTGTAGGTCTTGGCATCGTACCTTCCATAAGTAATAATGTTTTAAATAGAATTTAACAAATATGCTTAGCCCATTAGTATACGCTCACTTTCTGCTTAACACGAAAGGTCGTTGCGACCGGCAACAGCTGCCGAAACAGTGACGTCCCGATCGTAATACACTGTCATAATTAGCAATGATTTTTATAGTGTTCTTTGACAAGAAATTGCACGTTAGAAACGAGGTTTGGAAAAGTTTGACGACCTCTGTCGGAAAGCATGTGTTTTTTTATTGACAATTAGGTATGAACGAGATCTAGTTAATTTGTTTGTTCTGTTAATATGTTCTTGACAACAGTTAAATAAAGAGCTAATTTACCCAAAAGCTATCATTCTTCATAGTTTTCAAAAACTCAACTATACTATATGGTTGTTAAATTCTGATGTGTTACTATGGTCAGGTACTAGCCGAGCATATATATTAAGTAATGGCTATTTGTGTTTTGTTGTTGTACATCCGTTTATAGGAAACCAGCGATATAATCATCCACAAGCAGGTGTTGGTGGATCGCAATGTTCTCCTCAGCAGCAGCATCAACAGAAACAACAACAACAACAACAACAACACCATGAGAGACAGCAGCAACAGCATCAGCAGCTACATCAACAACCTTCTCATCAACATACTCAGGGCGGTGTTAATGCTTCGCCCTTGTCATCCTTCCCATTGGTTTCGCCCGCCCCACCTAGTACTCTCGCGACTCAGCAAGTGCGGGGGCCTCAACCTATGCATTCGGGTAGTCATCCTTCATCCAAGCATCAACATGCCCAACAGCCGACGCATCAAAGCGCACAAAATCCCGTCCAACAGCAGCACGCTTCGGTCCATCGTCCAATCCACCATAACCAAACACAACAGCACCATCATCAAAACCATCAGCAACAACTGCAGCAGCAGCAGCAACGTGTTCACGGTATTATGGATCAGCAACAGTTGCAGCATCAAGAAAATAGCCACCATCGGCAACCACAACACCAACATAGCCCATCAGGAAACAACAGCAATGTCCCCCCTGGAAGCTTTCATCATCAGCAACCACAACAACAGCATTTGCAACAGTGTCAGCAGGACACGTCAGGGCGAAGGTCACAGCAGTATCAAGCACCACCGCAGCAAAATCAGCCAATTTCTGGAGCAGCATGTGGCATAGTATCTGGTACGACTGGTATTGGTTCAACTAGAACGACTAGTCTAGCGACTAGGCCTAGTGGTAGTAGTGGATTCACGTTATCGCCCACAGCACAAGAGTTCGTGCCGGCCTCATTTCTCACACCCCGTGACCGACAATTCACAACAGTGTCAGCTGGGAAGAGTAGCCACCCTCAACAGCCTCAGCAGCCAATAGCTAGTGGAGGCGGAATCGGCGAAGGCAGCCATCATAATCCCTACGACGATCAGTATGGATCTGGATATGGCCTAGGAAGTTCATATGATGAGGAGGTCTGTTACTGCTTGGTCACGAAAGTATTTAGGAGTTTTTTTTTTACAACTAGATAAAACATCTAGCTATGCTTACGCATGCATGCTATCTTGCATACCTATTTTAATACCGCTACAAAATTGGATTAATACATTTTCGAATTAACCGTATCTTTGGTGATATTGCACTTATATGTAGGACGATGCCTTGCTTCAGTTGCAAATGTTCATCACGGATGTTACACTATCACCAGCCATGTTTGAATCAAGAGTATGCGATTTAGCAGAGGTTATCTATGATGATTTGAAGAAGAATCCGGCAAATACCCCACAGATTGTGGCTACTATATTTCAGGTACTCAGTCTACGCTTTTGTCTATGCGAATACTAATGACCGCACCATGAGCTTTTGACAGATATTACCTTCAAAATTCAAAAGATATTAACTTCAAAAATATTTAGTTCGTTATTCTAAAAATTGTCTATATAAAGTCGCAAACAATAACTGCATAACCTAACTCAGCAAAGGAATTGGTTTTCGACATCCATTGGCGTTGGAGTATCTGTTCGAATATTTAGCTATAACAACCATATTACACATAACACCTATTTCCGAAAGATATAGGTAACCTTATGCGAAAGGGATAAACCTTTATTGTTAGCAAGAAGAAAAGGCATTAAGAAATTTACGGGTTCGACAGCTGAAGTTCAAACCCACGACTTGTCAGAAATCTTTGAGGATGGATCGTTCTTGTCTAGATAATTGAATTACCCGAATATGGGAGCGAATGCTGAGATAAATCTCTATGTAGTTATAATGAAACGTGTAAATACGAAAGGGGGATATTACCTGTAGAATTCGATTTTTACTAAGATTACCATAATTACACAATAAAGTACAGCGCTGCGGGAGAGCAAACGGCACAAACACGATAATTAACATTCTATAGAAATTTAGTTATAAGTCACGCCCTAAATGTGGAGGGTTCTGTCTACCAGGCTGGTGTACTTCAACAAAACTTCCGTTACTCTGGTGCCCGGCTGTGCGATTACCTGTCGGAACTTGTTGTAGTCCAGGGAAGACATCTTATCCGCGAGCAAATAATAGAACAGTAAGTCTTGTAGACTGTGCCAACACCAGAACTGGTGATGACGACCTTAGATAATTTGTTCATGATCCTTAATGCATTCAGAATTGGTCAGTATTCATCGGTATCCACCGTATCTTCAGTGTTATAAACGTATACCATTTCATGTTTCATCTTACGCATTTACTGTCTACCTTTAGAGCGCACAAAGCGGTAAGTGCCGGCCGGAAAGTGTATGGTGACAAGGAACGAGACAAAGAATCCCGAGGAGTGGTACTATTTTGTGCAGAACTTCTTTCTCAGCTTGATTTGGGCTATGGAATACCTTTAGCACATTCGTATCCCGACATGGGCCCTAAGCTGAGTAGTATAATCAGCGAGCTGATTCGTTCTCTTGAAAAGGATAATCAGAAAAATGCTATTCAGGTTAGTCATGGCTTTACTACTGTTCTTGTACTCCAATGATGTAAACAAATGTATACATATATATATATGTGGCAAGGAATATGGGCTCTGTTTATATTCTGTCAATTTCTTTTAATCATGAGCCAATAACTGTGATACCAGCTACTAGAACTTTTTATCTAAGAACCTTCTTTTTCCTAATAATCGTGGGACAGCTAACCTAACAATATCAGTGTCCTTAGAGAGAAAGCTATGTAGAACTCGCGTTGATCCATATGAAGAATCCGATCCGTCTTACATGGCAGCCCTAAAAATTTTTTCCTAAAATAGGCTCTAAAGCTATGCGGAGGCAACTTGGAAAAATTGTGCGAGGGAGATTCCGCAATGGATGTACTTTTAGCTGAGTGTGAAGCTGTGGAGGCACGCGAAGGAGTAGATGCTACAATCAAAGCCATGCTACAGCGTTTGCCCCAACTTCGGCAACAGCATTGGGGCTATGTGGCAAAAACAAAGATTGAGCCTCCTGCATATGTATATGGCCAACATGCTCAGGTCGATTATAGCCAACTTCCAGTTATGTACGGACCAGATGGCCTTCAGGTCTCTCCAGAAGAAATGGGATTCCTCGATGGCGGTAATGGCAATGCCAGAGGAGATTATCCCAGCGACCTTTCGCAAAGTACTAGTGTTGGGTAAGTTTGGTGGAATAACCGTCTGTTTTATTCTGCACGTCTGCACCGATGCACAAATCTTAACATATGCCTTTATTCGATGTTCTCCTATGTCGGCGGAGCCAGCGCAATAGTCAGTCTGAGCATGAGTCAAGTGTGATCAAGCTACAGATCCATGCAACTAATATTAAGAGGAACTTCAAGAACGGTTTAATAGGTTCTGCTTAAAGTAATCAAAACGACCGTATGCTTAAGCACAATAACTCTTAGCAACTATACAGTAATTTTTTTTACCTTGATGCTTAATTAAACTAAAAAAAGCTAACGATGACCTCTTTTTTTGTTTCAGAATGGACGATGAGGCACTGGAAGCGTACGAGATGTTCTTACTAGAGACTGGCCAAAAATAGTTCTTTCTAGTTACTCTCCCCCTCGCCTCCCCCCAGCGACAACATAATGCACCTCCTCTTGAACGGTGAAATCTGTCGAAGTAATCTCGGGTTGCATTGAGAAAAATAGAAGCGCGCAAAATGAAAATGACGCAGACGACGAACGTTGTGACTAAGTCAAATCATTGTATAAACAACTGTACAATAGCTTCTAATTGAATGTTTATGCGAACACCATATACAAGTGACGTTTTGCATACGGATGGCCCCTCGTACAATGACTTCGTTGAGGTGAACTAGATAGATACCATTAGAGACGTTTATGTAAATGTAATACTTCATTATTACTAAGCAGGCTACGCAATAAGTGTTACGCTATTATACAAGTCACACAACGATTGACAACACACGACGTCAATGCTGTATAAGAGAGATATAGTTAAGTATCGATATGCAGCCTACCAGGTTCGCCTGATAGAGGCAAACAAATGCTTAGATATACGAATGAATATACCAGACAAATTATATAAATAATAATAACAATGGCACTAATAACAAATGTACATTGATTACTAATAAAGGGTAGTATATTCCTTCGTTGCTTGCCAAAAAATCTCTATCAATGGTATATAGGAGAGTTTCCGAAGAGTTTAGACGGAAGAGTCAAAGGTGTGGGGCATATTGTTTGAGAGCGAAATCACGCTTTGTCAGTTCTTTAGACACCACTTGTATCAATGACGAACGACATCAAAAGAAAAACTTGCTTGTATCAAAATAATAATTCCGTAGAGTTTTGTGGTCCTTTCGAGCTTAGTTTAAACGGCGGAAGCTCTCCGTCACTGTATAAAAAATACTGCCTTATGCAATTAGAAAGAAAATAATCCAACTAATTTAGGGCTGGGCCGTAGGTAGTTTAGTCGTATTTATTCCAATTACTTAGATGTTATTGTTACGGTCGTGATGCGCAAGCCTCTAGCAGTTGGCTAAGTTGCTGATCAAGGTACTTATTTTCCTTTGATTTTATTGATATAGAGCGAGACTGCTGATGACCACGACGGGAACAATAACGATAACCAACCACCACCACCACCACCACCACCACCACCACCACCACCACCATCACCATCACCACCACCACCACCAACAACAACAATAACAACAAAAACAACAACAACAACAACAACAACAAAACAACAACAACAACAACACCAGCAACAACAACAACAACAAAAACAACAACAACAACAACAACAACAACAACAACAACAACAACAACAACAACAACAACAACAACAACAACAACAACAACAACAACAACAACAACAACAACAACAACAACAACAACAACAACAACAACAACAACAACAACAACAACAACAACAACAACAACAACAACAACAACAACAACAACAACAACAACAACAACAAGAACAACAACAACAAGGGCGTGCAACAATGGGCACGTATGTTGACAGATACGTTCATAATGATGATAATAGTAATACTGCGCGTACATGACATGAGCTAGTAACAATGGCTGTACTGATCACTTTGTGTTGAACATCATTGAGGGCATCTATCTACCACTGGAGTTATGAATGTATATGAGAGGTTATTAAGATTCGTGTTCAGCTCAGCTAGTGTAAGTATTACTGTGTAATTATAGGGCACATTTTTCAATAATAAAATAAACTTTGTTTTCTATATTAACGTTTTGCCGTCTTCTATACTAATCACAAATATCTTTGCAAGTGTCAGAACTTTGCCGGCATTCACCAGCTTTCTACTGGTTTACCAAGAGAAACTGTGAATTATATAGTTGCTTCATGAAGAGGAAAGAATTATATGAGTATGGTTTAAATACGACGTTATACCTGGCCCTATCTAATGCGGTATGACTCACATTGCAATTCCAATTAGTATTCGGCAAAAAATACATTTGTAAGGATTTTTCTATAATACACACTAGCTCGAGGACATATTTGAGCACCTTATTATTTCAGGCATTTTTGCACGGCAGCAAAACCTACAAGTAAGCAAACAAAATAATCGTCCTCGAATAACTGGTTGTATCGCGATACCGCGAAAATTTAAATAAGCAAGAATATTGATAAAGATTAGCTTTAAAAGATGTTAAAAAAGAGACGCTGATTTTATGTTTATCGTGATACAAGGATTTCATTTACTAAGGCAAATAATCGAAGGCCTTGCGCAAGCATATAGATCAGGTGAATGTCACACTTACATTATTTTTGCTGACAAATTTAAACGCCTGAAATTCTGTTGACAAGATCCAAAATGTGAGCATGGGTCGGAGATTTGACTTTACGTGCAGTAAGGATTGTCGCTAGGAGCCAGATGCAATTCCTCTAATTTTTGCCTGCACAATCAACATTTTCTTGTCGTCTAAGAATCAAAGGTGTTTTGCCACTGCGTCCCTAACAGAACTCAGAAGCAAGGGACACTGATTAAGTTCCTTAACTTGATTGTCTTCAGAAGGCTCATATTCGGTTTCGATAGCATAAGGCACAAAGTAAGGCGCGCATTGAACAACCAGAATTGCAACGCATTTTCGCACCTTTTCAATTTTTGTCGAGATGTAATACTGTATTTCCTACTCATGCTCGTGCCGTACTGATGTGTAAGAACCTGCTTCTGTTAAGAAGTTATTTGGATTTCCGTTTAACGCGAAAAAAAATTCAACAAATGAAGTACATCAATTTTTTTCAACACCAACTGGTAAACTTGTAATTTCTTTTTAGAAAAAAAAATTTTCTGTCGATAATAGAAATAGCTGATGAGCTCGTGCCAGTGGCAATAGACCGTTCGCGAACATTGGGTTGATGATGAATGGCGGTTACACTCGCGTCATACAGGTCGTACCGTAGCTGTCGTGCTAACGCTAAAAGCACAGTGCTCTTTAAAAGACTCTGACTAAATCGGGAAAGACAACATGACTTGTTTTGCTTTGCGGTAGGTGACGGACGGAGCCGTATCGGAAACATTGAGACAGCTGTCGGATGTCATCAGTGCAACGGTCCAGTCGAGCGCACTACACTGACTGTAACGGTCAGACATTAGGCTTCCTAGTACTTGAGTGCCGCAGAAGCCCTTATTTTGAGCAGCGTCTACGTTCAACGTGTCCAGAGGCGAAAGTCTGGGTAAGATGGCGTTTGAACTGAAAGAAGTTGCTACGTCAGTATTTACCATCGTACAAAAGCGGCTCGACCCTCTTTTAGAATCGTCACGTCTCCCGACCGTCAGATGACTGGGGACGCGAAGGATATACGGCCGCATGTTGACAAACGCTACCGGGGTAGGTAGCGCGGCCAAATGCAAAAATACATCTGTTATATTATAATCATAGTAATTAAACTGCAGCTCTTTTGTTGCCAGTAACCTAGCTGAGAACCAAATTGGTAGTGGAAGAATTGCTGACTATTCTGCTGCGGTTGCGCCATTATTTATCAACACGGCTAAAAGGGCTTAATGGTAGTAATAATGTCACGTTCCGTGCGAGCTGGCATAGTGTTTATAAAATGTGTTCCGACCACGACGCTGCACTGGGCAATCAAGCAGAACAGTTTAAACCTTGTACAGTGTCTGGCCCCAACCCATGTAACTTGATAGAAAAACGTCAACCGTTGGGGAAACTTAAGAAAAAACAGTAACGCAGTTTAGGTCCGAAACCGCGTGCAGAAACACTTCGCTTCGTGCTGGAAGAACCTAATCGGTTCCTGTAATGGATTAATTAGTAACGTATTTGCCTACTAATCTTGGGGACTTATTGTAGGCTAGGATCGACCTCGGGCACAGACACACGGTTCGTTTCGTGCTGGAAAGCACCAGTATGATGGAACCATGCCGAACGGCAATACCTGATGTGAGACGCGAAACGTAGAGAGAGGGAAGGACCTAGCCGTCTTAAGCAATGTTTAACGGGAGTACCAGTTTTAAAATTTGGAACATTTGTTAATTATCAGTGGGTGCAGTGTTAATACATCGCATTTGTCCTGGAAGTGAAATTTCCAGTTTGCCCGAAAACGAAATACGACAAAAAACACGATAATAGTCTATAAAGAGCACTGTTTCCTGTAATGTTCGCACATAGTTCCGTCTGGAACATCGCAATTAACAATAAAGATACGGTGATTAAAAAACTTCCGCGCAACTATTTGCCATGTTTGGATTTCGCATATGATTCCATGGACCAAAAATCGACTTCAGAACACGAGCTGGTTAAAATACCCTGAAAAAAACCTTTGTAATTGACTCACGTATTGATACGTTTTAAGATCAACCGAGTCATATATGCGCGTACGCATTCGAAGTACTCACTATGTATAACTCTAAGTGCAGTGCAGACAACGACAAAATAACCGTAATAATCTGGAGAGTTGAAGAAAATCCTACTACACTTTTTCGCAGCTATCTAAGTAGATTTGTATAGATCGTGAAGCTCAATCCACTCGAAGTTCTTTACCGAAAAATTAGCGATTTAGCACCACGTTGAGAGGGAGCTGCCTCTAGTAAGATGGTTGACTCTGACCGAAACCATTTTTGGACCGCAACTTGATTTGCGAAACGTTCTGTTTTGGCAAGGCGAGAGGCACACTGTGCCGAAGCGTAGATGATTTGTTTCACTTGTGGTTACCAATATCGGTATTAACGCAGGAACTCTTAAATGATGTTGACGAGAACGGGCGCTCGGCGGGCAAGATATTTTTCATCATGCGATCTAACAGATACATATGCGCGTGCCAGATGTTCTCGATTGAACCGTTCTATAGGAAAACACCAGATGTAAATTCGACAAGGGACGATTTTCGACACTTGAACAAATGATAGCTTTGCATACCTGGCCTAGCCCTCTTACATACATGCAATGATACGGATGTTGTGGAAGGTGTGGATATTTGCACATGAGTAAACAGCGTACAGCGTCCAGCAGTGAGGTAATGGTCACGCTCAGGGTTGGCACGTTAATATGGCATGTGTGTTCGTAATTACGAGTCAACACGTTGAGATGCACAAGCAAAACTGTGTGAGCCCTGCAGCCTGTTGTATACAATATAGGGCAAAGATAATAACGCGGTGTGAATTGGAACAGTGTTATTGAAGACGCTTCGCAACTCTGACTGTAGACTGATCGGACGGTATTTCAATGGCGAGCAACCAGCAAGATGGCGGAAAGAAAACTAGCGAAACACCAAACAGGTGCGTCAGTGTTTCCCTTAATTTCAACGATACCTTTTCGAAAAACGATCTTAACAGAATTACACTAGTTGCTGCAAAAGGAGATCATCTCACGTGCTACGATTCTCACTACTACCAGCTAGCAGTAAAGGACTCTCGTTTCAAAATGATTCCAGTAGCTTGAGCAGCCTTACCCTTCCAATTATAACTAAACCCGATTTAAATCTTCCAATATGCAACCACCTATTGGAGAATATTATAGATAACCATGTAAGTCTAGGGGGACGTGCAGTAGGCTGTATACTAACGAACTTCCGAAAGGATAATGGCTAGCTGTTCATTAACTGTCGAAAACTCCTACCGGCGTCCACATCACACTGGATGCAGATTTTCTACGGCGTTTAAATGTATGAAACCTTGGAGGTTACAAGCTTATGGAGGTTTCGAGTGCAGTGATGAGAGGGTTCATATACACTAGGCGCTCATTATTTTTGGTGGACGTCTTCTTTGACAGATCTGACATTCTCTAACGTTAAAACCATTGATTCAGAGTATTAGCTGCGCGCCATTTAAATTCTCAGAGAGAAGTTCGATTTAAGAAGATCACTATGTCGCCATCGGGCTCATAAGATGTGACTGATAAAAATTGCTACCTGTTTCGCCGATCGTGTATCTTAGAGGGCTTTCAAAACGAGACCCTGATTCGACATTGAATTTACCTAGCGTCCGACGCACTAATTATTTTATAACGCATGTCGAATGCCTTTTATCCTTCTGGAGGTTCGCGTGACCACATGCCCTATTAACTATATGTAGAAACGCCTTAGAAAGATCCGCGCACCAGGAATACTACGCGATTCACGTAAGACTGAAGAATGATACTAAACGCCTTCGAAAACGTAGGCTTATACATTGCAAGTAAAGGTTTAGGAGAGGTAAATGAACCTACTTATGTGTGAGAAACGAAGCGTTGTATTTATACATATTTCATAGATTGTCTTTAAGGAAATACCGTAAAAGCTATTGCCATGACATGTAGAAGACGAACTGGCCGATAAAGATGGCGCTGAAGAGCAGCAGCAGCAGCAGCAGCAGCAGCAGCAGCCGCCGCCGCCGCCGCGCGGTTAATGGATGGTCGGCGCCAGAAGTAATAATAGCAAAAAAAAAGAGAGCCCTGCACCAATGCGTTAACCGCGTGTCAATACGGACTCTAGAAATGCTAGTCACTACAGCGCGCGGCGACGGAGAGGAGTGAAAGGAGCCAGCCAATCGTTTCCCGCTGCTTCTGCTAGACGCAGCGACATACATGCGGTGGGCGTCTAGTCGCTCGCCACGCTGCTAAACGAACGATCCAACGGCAGCAGCGGGTGGTTTGCTGAGTGCTGCCGCTGCTGCGGAGTGAGTGAGTGAGTGAGTGAGTGAGCGAGCGAGCGAGGGAGCCAACCGGCCGGCCGGCCAGCCAGCCAGCGCCAGTGGCTCAACGCGATTCAGTGGTGGAAGGGGGCAAACAGCGAGGCGGACATATCGACAGACAGATGCACCTACGGACTGGTAAAGGGCAGGAAAGTGGTCGGTTGAGCTGGCGAGCGGCAGTTACGGTCGCGTTGGTTGGCTGAGCAAAGAATAATGCTGATCATAATGGCGATGATGATGATGTTGCGCAGTTGGAGTAAAACGTTGGAGGAGGAAGTAACGCGCATTAGCGCATTTCATCGTGACTCACTTCCAACGTCAGTCTCACTTAGTCGTCACCGCAGGCAGGCAGGCACCAACACGCGATTACAAAATACGGAAAAATACGTCGCTAGCATCATCACTGTCGATAGGGCACCACCAACGTTTAACGCCGTCATCTTAGCTAGTACTTACCAGAAGTTCCGTTGTGGTCCGAAACCGCCGTCGCTGAAGCAAGAACTTCGAACAAGTTTCGGTGAGAGTTAACAATATAGCAACAGTAACAGGCTGGGGCAGGCGTCGATGCGCCCGACACACGTAGTTATATTCGCGCTGACATAATACTAATAATCACTATAATAACTACTACTACTACTGATAAAAATTCACTGCCGTTGGATAGACGATTCTACGTCAACCATTGTTTTTATTTTTAACGACTTCGTAGTGATCGTCTGAAGTACAAGTGTGTAAAGGTTTACAAGCGACGGAAAGACCAATAGTGTGAATGCAAGAAAATCACTATGCCTCGAGCGAATGTGATCGAAAATCTCGTAGGAGAAAATTCGGTGACCCGCACCCGACTGTTTAAAACTCCAGACGCTTCCAACGACTCCCTGTTACAAAATCTACGAAATAACTGGTGAGATAATTGATACGTGTGCTACATATAGACTGGTGAAAACTTGCTACATCATATAATGAGGCATGAGATAAACTTTCCTACATACATACATACATACATACTATGGAGCTTGTCTCCAGCACCAACATACTTTACCTACCTAATAATTAATTACTTTATGAGAAAAAAAAAGTGCACAAATCCATCGCAAATAAAGCCATAGTGTCGCTATGTCAATTATGTTAACATCTATTGAGACGAAGAATTTTGTTAAACAGACTTTAAACAGGATGAACAAACGCGTCTAATTGTATACAGTAAATAAATAGATCTATAACGTTATGTTTGCTATAGCAGCTCAGATTTTTACTAAGCAGGCCTAAGGACCGCAAATAGGCCTTGTGCATTATCTTCTGTAACCACAAGTGCTTGGGTCAATTTTAGATAACAGATTAAATCGCCATGTTAATAAATTGCGTCACACAAAAATGGAAGTTACCCTAGGTTTAGCTGTTCTGCAACCGTAAAGGCGGCCATCGACTCGTTGAACAGATCGATAATGTCGCCATAATAGTATAAGCACAAATACAACAATTAGGCGTACCTGCATTGAATAACAAACCTTGTGTATTGGGTCAGTTACCCATAAGTACTATAGAATTTTGAGATATGAGCGTCTCAGAAAATCGTCTATGATCAACTTCGATGTATTTCTGGCTGGAATTAGAATCCAGATGATAGCATTACCAATTCTTTCACGTGCCCATCCATTGTATACGTATTTACAGTTTTTAGGCTTTTTTTTTTTTTTTTTTTCTATTTCTCTCAATAAAAATGCTGCGCGTAATTTTTCAGTAGAGCAATTGCCTTTGCTTATGGAGTTGTGACAAAGACTGCAATAATCGCTGGCTTACCATTAAAAGAGAGCGAAAGCCCTAACTAGTCTCTCCAGGACATGCAGGCAGGCAGGCAGACAGGCACCATTCGATTTGGTATAAAACAAATAACTGTGTAAAAAATATGAATGTAGGAAGAAGAGCGGGGTGACATTAAGAGGGCGTCCGACCGTTTCCTAGGATCCAAGAATGTCTGAGTAAAGTAGGAAACTGTTTGTAAATTTCCATCGTTTTCTTGTATTGTACATTTTGGAACGTTCGATTGGCTTCGAGGTGAAGAATTACTTGTGTCTCTGATGTCTGTTCTTCGCTGGTTGTCTTTTGTGGATGAGTAGAAGAAAAATTACGTTATCTAACTTACAGTCTATAGGTACTTCATAATAACTTGCGCTAGCTAAATGCGCAAAGCTGTGGAGCTAAAAATTTTGTAGCAGATTTGGTCTCGTCGTGGTCCGTTCAGCTACTGCATTTCACTAAATATATTATTAAAAGAAGAAGAAGAAGAAAAAGAAAAAAAAAAAAAGGTTTAATCGATTTGTTTGTTTTCGACGTAATTCGCATTTCCTTAGTTTTGCGTACATAAAGAAAATAGAAAAGAAAAAAAAAGCAACTTCAAAACGTATCCACTCAAACGTACGTTTATTACTTGCCCGAGGAATTACCGCTCGGGAACCTACCGTTCCGTTTTGTAAGGATTGCAATTATGATATTACCATATAAAATAGCAAAAGGCACAATTTTTTATATTTCTCAGTAGAGCCATCATATAGATCATGATTGCAAGCATTTTGAATGGTATCTGAAGGTAGGATAGAAATCAATGCGACGTTCCAACATGTGTGTGTGTGTTGTATTTTTGTGCCTTTTATCTACTGGAAAGCAGCAAAATGACGTTGAATCCGAGCGCAGCTGTATTTGTACCATCGATGAAGACCTTGCACCTAGCCAAAACATGTCCAGTACCTACTTCAAGTACAGTAGGACAATCTCAAGGAGTAAGCACCCACAGCAGAACTTCGACTGGGTTGAGACACGAGTTTCGGCAGGCACACCCTCCGCATCTGGCACCGCTTTACTTAAACGCTGATGAAATTCGCATACAGCAACAAATCAATCGACAGCACGGCCATGGCCTGTCGTCCCGGGCAGGCTCAGGAGACCAGCAAATGGACAAGACAGTTATTGAGACCGGCAGTTTCGACGTGAGTTTAATAGTTAGAATGGCCGCTCAAATATTCTTCTCTAGACGTTTGTAACCCTAGGCCCTTTATTCTGTCGAGCTGAATGTTCTTTTATCATACGTAAATAGCGTTCAATTGAGTCGTGCCATCTAACTGTTTTTCGTACAACAAACTATGTCTGCTCAATGGAAACGCTCAACAATTAATAAACATTTTCCAAAAGAAATAATAAAATAGGTTCCGGCCATCCTTCAGTTGGTCACGAAAGGTTAATCTGCGGCGGATGGCCACTTGCGCTTCAAACGAATCAGAAGCTTCGGCTGCATTTCCGTCAACGCACAATCCAACTGCCCATTGAAGCTTCTTCATTTTATTTATCTCGAGCAGATGTATGCGCGTAGCCCTGATGTAAAACCTGTTGTAGGGGCAGCTTAAATACTTAGCTATGTTCTGTCTGTTCGACCCAACGCTTTTTTAGGGCTGTAATTTTTCGGATTCACGTTTATGTACAAGCTAAGCGTGAATAAAGCTAGAGTTAGGAAAATCACTGGCAATGATCCAGAAAATTCGCGTTCTTTCGATTTACACATAGAATTCTGTGAGTTCGCAATCGTCATCTCTAACACAACAGTGACGCAAGGCAACCCAATACTTTTTATCCATGTCATACAACTGTAAGGTAATTTGACATTGATGCTGCTACTGCTGCTTTTTTTGTCGTTACGTGTGGCACAGGTGGCAAGCTTCCTCGAGGACATGGTGCATGATGCGACAGAGGATTTCCTCAATTACTTGACGTTTCGCTGCGAGTATTTACACGACTATGCGCGTGCCTCTCCGCGTCATGCGCTAGAGGTTATCAAATGCATAATGCATACCAGCCATCCTAAAAACGCGCATGACTCCGTGAGGCCGGATCGACTGGCCAAGCTTGTCGTCGCCATGGTCGAAATGAACGCGAGGTTCTTCCATCAGTTGTTTTACAAGTATGATACAACTTCCCTTTCCCAGACCACTTTCCCCAAACGTACTCAATCTCAACTCACGCATTTGTCGAAATTGTGCCTCTTTTTTTTTTATACGAAGAATAACTTTTTATTGAGGATTATTAAAAATCGTCCGTCTTCTTTGCGATGTTACAGATTGGACCTGGTCATACAAGAGTACCTTAAGCGGAGTGGATGCAGTTCAGGCTGGCAGCACCCAGAAAATGTAGGTGCGAAGCTCAGCATCTTCGTAGGCCGCCTACTATACGAGCTGCATATCGGCCGCTGTCGCAGTTTGCCTAAGCAGTTCCAGCATTTTGCACGGAACGTCTGCCACTGGTTGGCAGAGTTGCTTAAATTAAAAGCGACGAGCGAGTATGCTATCGTGGTACGACCCTTTCTGCGGTTTTCACATTCGAACAGATAGCAATAGTCACCGTTGTGAGGTTTCTAAAACGCTCAATGTTTCCTTTTTGCTGCTCGATACGGTATCGCTTACTGCATAAGTACTGTTAGGACGCTCAATATGAATTAATTCGCACGTTTATGTAGAGCGTTTCACTCGTAAGTAAGTTGACGCAATCGGAATATGCTGTATTAATATCGCACAAGCATCTGTATTGGTACGCAAACTCTCGAAACGTTTCATGCTAAACCAACATTACTAATATTAGATTTTACTTTTAAACTTAGAGTTTATCCCATTGCTACCATGAATTGCGTGCTGAAACATCAATGCGTGAGTTAGATACCCTTCACGTAGCGCTACAACGGACACCGAACCCGCTCAACGAAGAGTTCCGACAGCTTCTTTCTGAGACGCAAAAAATCGCTCGTCAGAGGGACGTCCAGCCACGCGAAAGGTGTTCGAGGATACATAAGACACAAGTGGCTGAGTACGTAACATTTATTGCTACTAAATATTTTAATTTTGCGTCCTCAATGGATATAATGAGTAGTAGTAATAATAAAAGCACTGAAAAAACTATTCGCTGATTCTTCCCTCTTGAAATTTTCCTTCTGTTTACGATTAGCAAAATCACGTCTCGATTAACTGAGAACCTATTGTTGGAATTTTACTTATGTATGCTACGAAATTTTACCCATAGGCTTTGCGCCGCGGTCATCGAAATTTCATATGAACTTCGTCCTGGATGTCCAGTATGGAATTATATACGATGGTGATATTTAAAAGAACTATGTTTTCCCCTCTAAATATGGATTATAGACTGTTAATCCCGAGTCTAGGATGTGGAACTGGGTAAAATCTAGTGGTTTACCCTGAATCAGTGCAGGTAACCGTGAGTTTCAATCTGTTCAGTTCAGATTAAAGCTCGCAGTTGTCAGTAACAGCAGCGGTTCACAATAGCAATACTGTGATGCTAGATTTCTGGAAAGTACAAGGCAAGATGGACAATTCAGTAGTAGACATGTTAGCACAAATCAGAGTTAATGATGGGGGAAACCCCCTCTCTGCACGAGGTTGTCCTGCGTCGTCGTTAGCAGTTCCGAGAACTAGGGCCATAACACGACAAAGCGTAGAGTAGGGATTTTTTTAGTCACACTGCGAATATCACCACAAAACTTGGAATACTTGTGCTGCTGTAGACAGGCGCATGGATGCTGAAGTTTAGTTAGGCAGCTAACGACAAACTGCGTAACAATAACTTACGCGGACATATTTGTGTGTACGCTAAGTTTTAGATGGATCTAATGCTCAATACAACATCTGCTTTTCTGTGTTTCAGTCTAAATGACGAGGAGAATAAGGCATTTGAACAGTTTCTTCAAGAAATGAGAAGCGAAGCAGTATCGAACCACAACAGCAACAACCACAACAACAATAACATCAACAACAACAACAACAACAACAACAACGAACGCAATAATCTACGCTAAACACCACAACCACAACCACAACGAGTACACGAACTAATTGCACAATAATGATGCACAAAGCAATGATTACGTGCAATTCAAATTCATTTACTTACCGCCGTCTGTGATTGCGTATTTTTGGGGGTGATGGAGAAGAACTCTATTGTTGTAATGTTGATGACGATGTTGACAGCAATGATGACGAATAATCATAAGAATGATCATGATCATCAGGCGGAAGTGAAGAAGATCATGAAGAGTGATTAAGTTGTTCTAACAGTGATAACATATCGTACTGTCGTCATAAAAATACTGAAGACATAAAAAATGAAAAAACTTTAAATGACGAGTCTTAAGTCTTGTTATATATTATGATTTGTTGTGACTCATAAGTCGACACAACAAAGTCATCATCCGATTCTGTTTATAACAATGTAAATAAATTTGTATGAATAGACAAGGTATTATGCATTTCTCTATTTTGAAATACTTAGATTAAATATAACTAAGTTTCATCTATGTATGGTGTAGAAAATAACGATTCAACTAGTTTGTAAATTGTCGAACCTGATTGGAACCGTTTCCGCACCGTTGAAATAAACACGATGTATGACAAGAGAGAAAAGGACACATAAATATTGTAAGTGTATTTTTCAATGTTCGACTCGAGACCTAAACAAAAAAAAAAAAAGAAGTCCCGGGATGGGCCCTCTGCCAAGGCTGTCTTCGAGTGCACCTTCATTATACTGTAATTGTATATCTTATTATTATTATTATTATTATATTACATTGTATCTTTAAGTTTGCTGACGGTAAATGCGCTCCCTACGCGCAACATTTTTAAGTGAAACTACTGTAAAAGGAATTACGGTAGGAAGCCCCCTTTTTAACCTTTGCGAAAAAGACTGGAAAAGGGCAGCTTAAACACAAACCTTGTTTTTTTACTCTTTATGAAATAGTAGTTAGTATGTATGTATGTATGTATGTAAGCTCGACACGAAACGTGCGTATCCCTTCGAAAGCTTGTGTAGGAATTAGCTCAGGGATATACTAGAAATAGAGAAATTGAATTCAATAATTAGAACCTTGTATGTGCGCTTACCATAATCGCGCTTCATACTTGGAAAGGACTAATATTATCAACTTACTGGCAATTATTTGTTACCTTTAAAAAATTATGCTCGACCTCACCTGATAGTGTTAAGTGCGTTAAGCAATATTTTGTTTTGCTTTTTCAGGATAGGTCGCTTTGGAAAAGTGCTAGGTTTGAAAGTATTTAAATAGTGCACTTTGAAGTTTCATCCATCTGTCATTATTATTATTATCCAGTCCATATGCACTTTGAAATAAAAACCTATTTCTGTGAACCTTTCTGTGTGCAGAGTTTTCGAAATTATTATGCACGATTACATCATAAATCAACACTGAGCAAATTTCAAAACAGAAACATGAGAAATCAACTGTTTCGGTGATCGTAAACAAAATATACTTTTGAACTTCTCTGACCAGATCTGAAACGTTAAGTTTTTTTTTTTTGAAATCAAATAAATATTTCGAGTTTTATGTTAGGCATCGCCGCTACATATTGCTTCAGAAAACCGGTCCGTTCGCACTCGATACAAAATGGATCTGCGCGGCCTGGTCTCGAACCTGCGCAGCTTCGTGACAATTACGTCATCGCAAGGACCACACGAACTAACAATATAAAACAATGAGATAATCATGACGTTCTCTGTTACTTACAGAGCAGGTCTTGTTAATTAAAAGAGTCTAAAATTATTATTATTATTGAGATTCATTTAGGCCTAATGATCATAAATAATTTCCAACAAAAAAAAATAATTTTTATAGCACGATATTTTTCAGTGGGGCTTAGATCGCGTCACTGTTGAATTGGCCGCGATAGTTACTAGTGATACTATGTGAGGTGAAAGATATACTAAGTAAGATACATCACAGTACACGCACTCCAAAAGCTTCTATTTAGATATGTTATTGCCTTCCAGTTTTACGACTGAGCAATCGGTCAAATATAAATTACCTCTGTTACCGGATGCGTTTCACCTACGTTACACTTCAATAATACAGTCTAGGACAGTATTTATATATAAGTACGGTAAGTATATATATATATATATATATATATATGTAAAGAATAACGCATGCATAATTACCTCCCATTAATTTATTTACTATTTACTTGATAGAAGCGTACCTAGTTGATTTGTTTTTTGTCTACAAAGGGGGGCTTATGCACCCATCTTCCCGTCTTCTTTACAATGAATTATCTTCTCCATGAGTCGAAGCATTTAATATTTATACACCATTTACTGTGCAGCTCAAGATTCGTCCAGTTGAGCAGTCTAACCTTTCGTGTTTTTCAACTTGTACGGTTTGTCACCCTATACACTTGCTGGCTCGTTTGCCGTGATCAAGATGGCCCTCAACGCTCTCCATGACAACCTCGGCAAGGGTCTTCTTGAGTCTGGCTACGTGATCTTCCAGTTTCCGTATTCTGTCTGTTGCATCACCCAGCTTTTTACTCAGTTCGAATGACTTTTGTTCGCTTGTGGCCAATTTCTGTTTCAAGGCATAATTCTCTTCGACTAGTTCTTTCCATGATGGGGACTCAACGGGATGTGGTCGTTTTTGCGCCCCTGAAAAAGCAAAATGTACATGTTTATAAAAAAAAAAAGTGGTAGATAAAAAAAATCAAATACATTTAAGATTTAAACAAATCTTGCTAAGTATCTAAGTTTGAGATTTTCAATGAATTCATCTTTTGATAAATAGTATTCAGATTTATCTTTTTTCATCTCGTCAACCGTTCAGATTAATTAGTTTTTAGTGTTAGGCAGTCCGTACGAAGTTCTCTTGTTTGCGTCTTGCAAATTGGATTATTGGCCATCATTATCATCTCTTTAAAATAATGATCGTAAAAAGTTAAATGTTATATAGGTTGTAACATAGTAAGGCTTTATAATAATATTTCCTTTACCTTTCCACTCTGTTTACTATTTTCTATAGCATTTAAAAGTGTTTTTCCTCTGTCAGTCTGGCATACTTTCATTGTGCAACGAGCGAGGTGCCAAGTTTAAGCTCCAAAAATGGATATTCCTGGTCATAAAATGCATTTCCGATATTCATTCTTATTTATTTTTTCCTGAGGTCAAGAGGCAACTAAAGCAGCCCCAGGACATACGCCGTGTAGAGTAAGGACTGTACAATTAATAAGATTACCTGAAGGGATGTACACAATTAGGTATCTTTTACTAGACTGACCAATAGGATAAACCGTAGACAGCTAACTTTTGTCAGGAATCTTGAATCTATGGAACTTTTATTGGGGGCGTCTGGGTGTCCTGTATATGAAATTGAGCACAAGCATAACATGGCTGCTCATTCTATTTAAATACTTCGTTTGACACTAATCAGCGAGCACTTGGCCAATGTTATTATAGGCAACTAGAAGTGACGTCCATGTGAAGCAGAAAAAGAAACGGGTGACCTAGGGAGTACGCCTAAGTTAAGCGTCAGGTATCTATTTAATGAAGACTGTATTTTGCGCTTAGTGGGACCGGATGGGTCTTGTACACAAGGAAAATCTTGATAATAACAAGGGTATCTATATCGTTTAGTTACATCGAATGAACAAAATGGCCCAATGGTGAAAAAATCTGATAAAAAAAAGGTACAGTTTTAATTGATCATGACAATGGCAGGCCTATTGTCGCTATTCTTTATGATGCTTAACATGGAACTGTTTTGAGTGCTTTCCTTTCAAGTTGTAAAAATAGTACATGCCTTTATTCGGTGAAACGTTTAGCATTACGGTAGCGCTTGAATCGCAATCTGACCCGCAGGTACCGTTTGTTTCGTTCTTTCGATGATTATACGTGTGGTCAAAATTCCTCAGTCCGTCTCCAGTTTCTGCAGCATCTTCCGCTCCGGACTCGCCTTTGATATTCTGTATGTCTGTCGTCGCGGACGCCATTGCTATATTCGTTGCAGTTAAGAGTACATCAGCCTTAAGCGTTAGGGCTTGCTCTCCTCTATTATACGTATGATCATCAAGTGAGAGCTTTCCGGGTAGGTTACTATGGTAAGTGTGATCTTCTGATGCTTCCTGAGGTTCTGGAAGAGGTGTTACGCCTGAAGGCGGCGGCGCAGTAGTCGGCGCGACTCCGGTAAAATACGAGTGCTCTTTCATTGCAACTTCGACTGATGGGGGCGGTGGTTCTTGGTCACCCGATGAATACGAGTGGTCTGCCTTTAATGAATCCATATCATCGTCTTCCGCTTCGGACACCATTTCTGCGGTTGACACAATAGGCGGTGCATCTTTGGCTCGAAAACTCAAGTGTAGCGTTGGTAATGAGTTGGGTTTGAGCTCAAGACGAGCGCCCACTTTTTGAAGGCATTCAGGACCAAAATGGTCGCTACAAATTCGAGATTGCGCCGATGGCAACCAATCACCTGGCCGAGAGATATTGCGCAGCCAAGCTTTTAACAGTCGGGAATCGCGAAGAGGAAACCTGGCAATAATAATGTAAATACGAAGTACATGTAACGGTACGTTACGTAGTGAAGTGGACCACGCTCGTTTCATTAAAACTGCTTTTCATTGAAATAGTATAATTTGTCAACATACTATCGAAGTCAATCTGCCAAAGTCAAAGAGATTAGCTTTCGCTGACCTTAATATACTTTCATACACTGCGCGGCCTAAATTACTGCGAGTAATTGAATGCTGGGCTAACGGTCTAGATTTGAAATAGGTGTTAAGCCTTTATTTCTTACCACTTCGACCTTGGCTATATTATATTCCGCCCGTTTTTGATCCATTTAGCTAAAAATGGGGTTTCCTCTCTAGGAAAACTAGCTTCACCTCATTGTCTTTTTTTTTTTCTCGCCTAATCTGTATTTTTGCGCCCAGTAGTTATCGCAGTTTTATAATAGGCATGAACTTCTGTGAGGGAAGATTATCTATCTATCTATTCGATGAGGATCGCGCATACTTCTTAAGCCAAGTTCAGATTTTTCCTAGACAAAGACTGCATCACTTAATTAAGCAACATTTCGCTGGTTCGTCGCAGCTTTCTCTAAGCAGAAGGAATATTATTTTTCCATTTGAAAAAAACATTGTGATTAAATATTGCCATTGTTTAGGTAGCTACTTTCTGATAAATAATGACGAAATATGAATTATACTTACTTGTAGAAAAAAACACCCTGTTTGCGCCAAGCACAACTCCTGTTTTTGCACATCAACACCGAACAGACCATATTTAGTTTTCGAGATCATTCAGCAATCAACTTATGGGCTAACTTGTTCGCGAGGCTGTCATGAAGATTTAGTCAACGTGGGATTTTAGTCTCACCATGTCAGCTGATTACGGTTTAACACACCTCGACTACCGACGACAGTCGGGTTGATACGCACAAATCACCATTAACAACAAACATCATTCACTCCCATTGAAGGAAAGGACAACCGTTTGGGAGAGGGTGGAACGTCTAAACGTTATCGTTTGTAGGGCCGAAGTAACGGTACTATGGCAGAGGCGCAAAATTTCCATCTGTTCATTATCGAATTTGCGTTCGCCTGCACATCATTGCAGTCACAAATGACACTCTATAACTGAGTTCAACAACATCACATTAATCGTACAATAACTAATAAAAAAAAACGTAGGCTGTTTTGCTTTTCATATTGCAGCGATAAGCAATTTGCCATTTGGGTTAAAAAAAGATACGCACCACTGAATCCCTCTGTCAAAAATACAGTGACAATAAATTGCTTATCATAAAATGTACGAGTAAAGCAATGGTAGGAAGTTTTTACCAATGAGTGAGAACATCGGCTATGTGCTGGCAGGAAAGATCACAAGCAAGCCTAATCATAACATCTCATTCCCTCTTGATGTCACTGGTAGCCGCCGCTGTTGCGGCTTCTGTCGGGTACCGTTCTCAATTCCTCTATGAGGACTGCGATCAGAATTGCAGTTATATAGCTGTGTATGTTACTGGAATTAAGGTGTCCTGATCCTGGCAGCAGCTCTCTTAATCGCTGCCTGCTGTAACAAGGATGAGATTGTTTACTGGGTAGCCCCACCCATTACCTGCCTTCGCGGCCTTCAAGGTGTCTTACCGTGGCCAGAGTTTGAGATTGGAGCCGTGTGATTGTGTGTGAGAATCTGGAGCACTCTATACTAACAGTGCTAAAAGAGGAGCGATGGCTCCCCGAGGTGCTCTACAGGCTTTGGCAGAGCGCTCCGGCTCAGATTCGGATGAGTGCATGTTCGATCAGACAAATCTCCTTCAGCGACGGAGGATGGACATTACCCGCTTTCGGAGAAGCAGTTCTACCATGTCCGGTCAACGACTGACGGTCGCGCGAACGGTTAATCTCTGCCTTTCATTCTTCGCACTGGTAAGAAATTCTCCCCCTGCCTCGTTATGTAAACACACTATAATCAGGTTTTATTTAGTCTGGTTGACAAATCCTAGTTCACATATAGAGTGTGAAATGAATTTGCCAATAGACCTCTATGTAACAAATTATTATTAGCTCTTATCTGAACTTACTTATGGCTCGAGTCTCGAGAACTCGCTGAACCTGTCGCTTAAAAGACTAGTTAGCAAAACGTAGTTTACGGTGCGATAAACTGGCATTCTATTCATTCTAGCCAGTGCTGTGTCATAGCAAATTAGTAAAAATAATATACTTTAAATAATGTACTAATATAAAATAGTAAACAACGATAT